GGCCCCAGCTTCTACCCCAGCAGCTCCTACTCCTACTCCTACTCCAGCAGAACAACCATCTCCTGCACTCTCAATGAGTATGATACAACAACTTTTCAAGCAATAGCAGGAGATGATGAAGGCCATGTTTATGACTCGGTTCTCACCCTCAAACTAAGAAATGGAGATGATTAAGAATAGATAGACAGTTCTGGCTAAGAAGAGTCCCCAGGTCAAGAGACGGCATGGGGGACAGCTATCTGTATGGCCGTATGGCCTACCCCCAGCCGACCATACCGACCAGCCAACCATCCACATTCACATTCAGCCAGCCAGCTGTCCAACCAACCGATCAGCTGTACTGGAGCCTACATCAGCTGTCTGACCAACCGTCCAGTCGCCCGGGTATAAGTTTCCAAGCTTTTTCCCTACTGTGATACATGGTCAGCTAAATCCTTGCTTAGGTCCCAGCAGGTTACCGCAAGACCCGACTCCCCAGCTAAGACACCGTACTCCAAGGCAACCCAGCCGACCATCAGGCCAACCGTTAAGACACCATATGGTCACAGCACGGACTGGTCTGCCGACAGAGATGAGGATTAACGTACAGGCTCCACATGGACTTTAATCACAACTGAATCCTGGACACCAGCAGATGATGAATCGCACTGGGAATATGTGGCGGGTATACGAATATCCCCCACACACCCACCCACCCACACTGGGAGCTACCCACAGTCACTCGGGAGGTGAAAGCGGAATGTTATGAAGAGACTTATCAGGCTGATGACTTACCCCAGCGGGATTATACAGAGGGATATACGTTTGTTGAACTCATCGAGGAGTTAAATCACCTCATGCCTGTACTCCAACCTCCTATGACAATATTTGCAGCCTAAGATGCCGGAATATGGGGGAGGTCATGCTCCTACATCATCTCAACACATCCACCAGACATTGCCTTGGCTGAGTTATGCAGGCAAGGTAAAAGACCTGATGTCTTAAAGTCTACTCAAGCTCAGACATGATGAATGACTACTCTTACCTCCATTGAAGAGGAAGTTGTATAGAACACACAATGCTCCACTTCCGGATCATCAAAGTTTGGACGAAGAATTTTATTAAGCTAGTACGCAACCCTAGTACTAATGTCAAGTTTCCTGCTTGACGGATTAAGGATCTGTCCTCGGTATCCAGATATTCAATGGACATTGGCACTTATATCAACTGGTTTGTTAGGACCCGACACCAGCAGCATCAGAGGATGAGTGAACCCTTGATTATCCTGTCTGTTAGGTGTAGGATGGATTAGGAGCACCTTGAGTATTAACTGCTGGAAGTAACGTCATCACCGGAAGTGACGTTAGCACCGGAAATAGCAGCACAAGATCCATCTAATCAGGAAATGACGTCTTTGGTAGAAATAGACCTTGAGAGACGTCATTATCCAATAAAAGGGAAGTAACAAACTGGAAGTGACTCCATCACCAGTATTAGTGTCACAAATCCAAATTTAACAAGAAATGATGTCATTGGGTAGAAATAGACAAGAAATAACTTCATTATTACTAACAAGATCAGCAAATATAACGGTAATTCTAGTGAAGGTATCATATATTTGACTGATTCTTGAGACATTCTGATTTTCAAGTCCTCAGGGGGAAATTCAGAGGAAATTATCTCAAGTTAGGATTAGAATCAGAAAAAAAGGTTTCCAGGGGAGATTACTGTCAATTACACAGGGAGTTACTAGAGGCAGATCCTACCGGGTGCCTCTGGTATATTCTGGCAAAGATAGAGGTAGAGGAATCGCAAGAATTATCAAACAGTAGTTATTGTTGTTAATAAGTCTAAGAATACTACCTCTATTACATTGGAAGTACTCCCCACGCACCTGCCCAATTCATCTACCTCTTGTAATTAGATGTGGGAAAGAAGTGAGGTTCCGGCCATTGCATACATCTTATATTGAGTGGTTACGATTCTATTCAGGAACAACTAATTGTGTTTGATTGACAGTGAAGAGGACATTTGTCATCCACCAGGGAGTACCCCTACGTAACAATTACAATGCTGATTGATTTGTGCATGTCAGCTGCAAATTCAGGCACATCTGTCTTACATATCACAAGTCACACCCCCAGTTCAAGTGTTATCGGGACACCGTCTCAGAACAAAATAGATGTCAAGACCATCGCCCGAGAGCCAAGCGTGACCAATGACTCCAATCCACTCCATTCCCAATCAATGTCAAGGTATTAGCTGAGAAACAGTTCATGTGACAATGTTCAAGCAGTCAACACACTCATTCCTGGACTGACTCATAGTTTTCTAGCGGATATTGTAAATCCAGTAACACACACCAAGATATGCCAGAATTTACTATCACCTCAAAACAATCCAGAGGTGGTAGATATGCTTTTACAGAAAGAACTCAACAAAGGGTTTCTGATAGAAACCATTTCAGCCCTCGCCATTTTCCTCCCTCATAGTCAACCCAATTGGCTTGGTGGAAGGGGAATGTTCCAGAAAGAAGCTGTTGATCCTGGACCTTTCATCACCATACAATGATGACCAACATCCTATTCTTAACTCACAATCAGCAAGGAAGACCATTTACTTACATATGTGAAAGTAGATGATGCTATTGAGATCATTAAAAGTATTGGACCCAGGGCGCACATGTGCGTATTCGACATCGCAAATTCCATTAAACTAACTCCCATTCACCCTTCTATGTGACATCTTCACAGAATTCAATGGGATGAATACTTCTATTACCACACAAGGTTAGTCTTTGGATCCCAAACTGTTTGACCAACTGTCTGAATAAATTTGCTGGAATGCAGAGCATGTGTACAATGTGACCCATATACTCCACCTGTTGATTGATGATTCTATTAGACTTTCTCACAATTGATGATTCTATTAATAACTCTGGAGCTGGCACAATGCAAAAAATGATGAACCTGTTCGCTGATCTAAATATTCCATTGTCCATGCACAAAACAGTTGGCCCAACTCAGTGCCTAGAGTAGTTGGGCATTTTGCTAGATTCAGAGAACATGGAAGCCCTTCTACCAAAAGACAAAGTGGTTAGAATTCTGCAGATAATGGAATGGATTGATGGCAAAGTAAAAAATCACCAAACAAAAGCTTCTCAGTGTTCAAATAATTCGTCCAGGATGCTCTTTTGTCAGTTACCTACTCAAACTAGCCCATTCTGTTCCTGAACTACATCATCATATCTCTCTGACCAAGGAATGTTGTGTTGACCCAAAGAACTTTCCTCAGCCAATGGAATTGTAAATTCTTTTTCTTGAAGGACAGGATACTGCTCTTCAACTTCTTTGCTGCCGCTGTTGGCTTTGGTGCCTACTTTCAAGGAAAATGGTGTGCAGACAGGTGGCCACAAGTGCTGTTCGACTTAGCAGGGGATGACATGTCAATAGTTTTATTGGATCTTTACCCCATTGTTATGGCATCATCATTGTGGGGTCACCTTTGGACTTCAAGGAGCATATGTTTTGTGCAATCAACAGTGTCAATAAGGTAGATCAAAGATTCCGGTTATCATGCTCTTCCTTCGGAAATAAGTGCTTACGGCAGCAACACACAAGTTTGTGTTCGGTGCTATACATATGCCAGGTAGAGACAATCTTACAGCAGATGCTTTGTCTCGTTTACAGATACAGAAGTTCCGTCAGCTAGCTCCAAAGGCTCAAGAACATCCTACTCCCTGCAAATTAAAGATCTAACGATGTCTCTGATTTAGACTGTTTAGATCGCCTCTGTTCACAAGTGATCTCCATGCACACAAGAACAGTGTACAACTGAGGGTTAAGAACCTTTCTGATATTCATGAGTATGTCAGGTGTGGCGTGGTTCCCTCACGTTCTACCTCAGCTCACAGAACAAATATTGTTAAAATTGACTGACATACTCTACAATCAGAGAATATCTTAGTGAGGTCAGATTTGCCTATCTACGTCATGGGGTAGACAATCCTTGGTGTTGCGGTACCCTGTTGCATTTAAAGACTATCATGAGGTCTGCAAAGAAGACACCCAGTGCCAAAAACAAAATATGCTTTCCAGTGACAATTATGGTGGTACAACACATAGTACTGATCATAACATGTTTTTGCCATACATGGACATCATGCTCAAAGCAGCCTTTTGTACTGCCTTTTTGCCTTTGTACGTTGTGGGGAGACTGTTTCCAAACTTCTTCCCTTTTTTAATGTACTGGAAGGGCATCGTTTACAGCTATCACTCGAGCAGCGTCATATTCCTGCAAGTGTATACTTAGCCTCGTTTTGAATTTTTAGTGGATCGTGAGAGAAGAGCATATAGGTGAGGCAGAATAAACTTTTTAAGCTTTTTCCCTGAACACAATTTGCAACAAGATGTTCCAATGATCCTGTGGCCATTTTAAACTGATAGCAACCTTTTCAAAATGTAAGAAAAACTTTTTAACATCACGCTCAGTGAAGGGCGGAACAAGTCTAATCTGCTTGTAAAGATCGCACAATCACCTGTTGAGGTACTGAGATCATTCTGCAATTCAAGCTGTTTCAGCTAATTTCCATATCAGCTTCCAATAGTTTAATCTGAAATTCTCTCTATTTCAGCTTCAAAGTCCTTAAGTTGAAATTCTCTCTCTTCTTTTTCTTTCTCAGCTTCCAATCTGAAGATAATTACACTACACTTGAGATACCCTCACCCCATACATGTTGATGGAGGAGATAATGTGTCCCACAACATGTTAATCACCTAAGTAACTAAAACCAGATTTGCAGTTGAAAAGCATCTTCTTGTAACCTTTGTGAACCGAAATTCTAAAAACGACAAACTTTCAAGCTATGACAAACTTATTATTTTAAAAATATTTCTTTATATTGATAGTAGTCTGTTAAGAGTCTGTCTGGTGAGCTACAGTGCAGTACTATTTTTCTGTTGAGTGTTGATATCATCGTTAATGTATTTTGCCCGTGATTCAAGTTTATATTGATCTTATAGGTATCATCTACAAAAGTCATACTCTATGTGCCTGAAGAGTATTCTGCATGGAGTGTCAAAATGAAATATGCATTTAGTGGAAACAAAAAGGGAACCGTAGTGAAGATGGAATATGACAAGGAATCAAAGTTGTGGTTTTCTGAGAAAATTCAATGTCCATTGGATACAACATTTTCTTATGCTTTTGATATTTTCAAAAGATTTGCTGTGATATACCCTTCACACTCTGACAAAGACTTTACCAGATGTCCACACTTGACTTCAGTTATAAGGACATTAAAGGGATCTTCATATGAAGAAGGTTGCACACATCACTTGCATCACATTGCCTCGGGGAGATCCTGTGTATCGATAGGAGGAAATTTGATTGAAGTTGACAACTTATGTAAACTTGCAAACTTAGATCTGGATAAAAAGAATGGCATATTCACAAGATTTACATCTCTGTTGGAAAAACCTTTGAAACAGTCAAAGGTATTAGCTATTCTTGCTTACTTGATAGGTAAGTGGGACATACATCATCAGACACTTATTACATGTTCGGTGTCTCCTTTAGAGGTACTTACCAGTTTTATGATATTCAGACCAGATGTATTGTCAAGACAACAGCTTAAGGTTTTGCAATGTTCTGCACCGAAAGTGGTTAAGGCTGCATTTCAAGAAACTGCTTGTGTCCTTCTTCTGATGAAGTACTGTTTACATTTGTTCCCCTGTTCGTATTTCATACGCCTACAGAAGGAGAACAAATTCACATTTTCTTCTCGGGACACTGATACAGATTTTAACTTGCACGAAGAACTATTTCACAAACTGGCATGTGTTGTTTCACAGGAGAATGCAGATTCCGAGTCCTCATTTCATCTGTTTGATTTGTTTATAGAATATACCAACGTTTTTCATATTCTGAAATTTCCGCTTGAAAAATACCCAAATCTGATAGAGAGGATCCAGAGGTTGATATCAAATTCAGTTAAGATTGAGCTCAAAGGAATCAAATCCAACCGTAACTGGAATAAACTGAGAGAAGTGTGTGAGGTGGTATCCAAACATCCAAGTCTTGTAGACATATATTCAGCAGATCTTACAGAAATTACATTTGGTATGATGAGGTCTTTGGGTGGCCACACACCACTACCTGGTGACACACTGAAGAAGATCCTAATGTCTAAAGCTCTCTTTGTACAGAGACATGAAAAAGAGACATTGATAACAATCGTCAGCAGATCCCAATGTGAACAATTGCATGGTTATTATCTGGAAATAGTTGAGAACTGGAATATCGCCCAATCAGTGATATCTGAAAGCATGTGTGTGTGGTTGGAAAACGTAATAAAACGTTTAAGTAAAAATACAAACTATGAAACACCGGTAGATTATTTGACAGACATGTATGTGAGACTTTGTGAGCTTTTAAGGGTGAAGAAAATCAGTCAAGATCAGAGTCTATCTAGCAAACTTAAAGAAAAGGTCTTCCAAACGGTGTCTGCAATGGATGTGGAACTTGTTTTAAAGAAGTGTCTTCAAAAGGGATTTAGGGTTGATGACCTCTTTTTTACTCATCTTGAGCAAATAACAGATGATCTAAACAGAGGACGCTATTTTGTGTTGAAACTTCATGAGCTACTGACCACATCATATTACACGTATCCTGGGTAAGTAATTCATAAATAATCTTTACACAGATGTGGTCAAAGCACAATTGGATATGAAATTATGGCTTGTGTCAAATAGACACCAGTGAAACTAGTTTCCATGTAGAAAAGTTGACTGTTGACAGATAAAGCATTGTAAAATTTGTACTATTATTAGTAAATTTGCAATATCTAACAATAGTTATCATGGTGTATAATTCTAAGAATACTACCTCTATTACATCATAGCCATACGTTCCTGTTTATCCTGAGAACCACACTACAAATTTTAATAACTTTTCAACAGATATCCTCTTCACTGCGAACGTATCTAATAGTTGTGAGGGGAACCCTATCGCTCGCAAGAGACGCCACTGCACATGCGCAAGGCGAGCAACACCTCACTTCTTTCAACCCATAACCTTCATTAACTAGATGCAGATATTTGGTGAGGTGGGAGGGATTAATTCCTGATGTAATAGAGGTAGTATTCTCAGAATTATACACAATGATAACTATTGTTAGATAATTCTTGTGAATACCTTACCTCTATTACATCATAGCCAGTATACACCAGAGGGACCGTAGGGATCTGGAATCTAGTATCCCTTACATAGTTGGCTTTTGTGAAGTGGGACTATATGAATTGTATACAAAAGGGACCAAAACGGAATATGTCTAATAGCCTAACTTCAAGGCTAGACATAGATGACATCATATCACTAATATTATATACATATATTGAGCCATCAATGTGATACTTAAACATATTATGACGTCACTTCTGGTTGTCATTTCTATGACCTTGTTTGTGTTTATATGTATCACATGACATCATATCACTTCTTATGATGTTATTTCCGCTGTGCCCTTTAGAACAGTGATATTTAACGTATATTGACGTTAGTCTGGACGTGAAGTCTCCCATGACGTCACTTCTGGTGGTAGTACATCATACATCCTAGATTATCATGTAGAAACCGTATATCACTTTGTATCCCTTCCATCTATGATTTCAGTGTTGCCACTTAACCTGCCTACTATCCGATAGCAAACTAAGTACAAAGGTCAACTTACCCTGAGTTCATGAGGCTTTCTGAAATCTTCCTGAGAGAAGAAGGGGTTGCAAGGCTACTTGGAGACTATCACCTGGGCTGCCACCAGGGTCTCAGTGTGTATAGTGCATCCAGATCGGTCTGTATGTCTCATGAGGTAAAGTTTGACAACGTGTTATGGGACTTCCACTGGCAGCTAGCTACAACTTGTTCAGTGGAGACTGTATTCCATGTGGCTAGACTTGTTGCAAGAGCTTTGATCTCGTGAGGTCTGCAGCTTCCCCAAGTTGGTGTGGAGACGTACCAGTTTGAAACTATCGACAATCGCCGATCTCAGCCACCTGCAAAAGTACCCTTGCTTATGTCCTTTTCTGACGAAGGTTTGCAAGAGATAAAAAGGCGTTTTCTCTGCTTTCTGTGGGGTTAAGTATCTGTAATGAGGTATCTCAAGCCTCTTATGGGACAAAGTAATCTGTCCGGATAGTCCACACTTTTACTTAAGGCTGGTATCGTATATTGCTTGGCTCTGAGTGGGTCGAAGGTCGATGACTGGTTTTGGGCAATAAAATCCGGAAGTGATCTGAATGACTCTGATTTCCATGTTTGGGTTTGAGTTACGGTGGACCTGTCAGATAGCGTGTAATTCTGATACACGAGCCCCAGTGGCCATGGCTAGGAGAAAAACAGTTTTCCTGGAAACTAATAGTAATGTCGTACTACTCATGGGCTCATAAGATGGATTCATCAATGCTGACAATACTATAGATTGATCCCATTTTGGAAATATACGTGGTGTTTTAATGTCTTCCAGTGCAAAGGATTTTCAGGCAATTCAGTACTGGGTGTGTACCTATAGATAATACTGATGTCAGGACGGATCTATAGCCTTCGATAATGCTTGTCGAAATTTCTTGTCGTTTCTGACGTATAGCAAGAATTCGACAACTATAGGTATCTTTATCTCCCCATCTAAAGAATTTCTCCTTCTCCACTCGACGAACTTGTCCCATCTTTATTGTATAGGGCAGACGATGTTGGTCTCCATGAGCTTGCCACTCTTTATGCGGCCGATTTAGAGTAACTGGCGGCTTGCAATTTATTCTAGATAACTTCCAAGCGTGAAGGTGGAGATTTGATGAGGCGGCCTATTTCGGTTGTCAGATTAAATCGTGACTTATCGGGAGTTTTCAGAGCTTTTTCCATTAGGAGGGGTAGTAACCTTGGAACCAAGCCCTGTTTGGCTTTGCTGGGGCTATAAGAATTATGATGCAGTCTGTCTCTTCTATTTTCTTCAGAACTCTGTCTAGAAGAGCCCATGGGGGAAATGCATAAGCAAACATTCCCTCCCAGTCCATTGAGAGAGCGTCTACCTGGAGAGCTAGAGTGTCTGGTACAGGGCTGACGTATACTGGTAGTTTGTTGTTGAGTAAGAGAGGTTATTTATGCCGCTTTCAGCAAAACTCCAGCAGTATCACGGCGAGGGGCACCAGAAATTGGCTTCACACATTGTACCCATGTCGGGAAACGAGCCCGGGTCTTCGGCATGACGAGTGAACGCTTGAACCACTAGGCTACCCAACCGCCCCCAGTTTGTTGTTGAGACATGTGGTGAGTTTGGAGTATCCTATAGGGAGGTTATCCACTTGAATATCTCAGGATGTAGTGACCATTCTGTGGGTATGATCTTGTTTTCCCGGGATAGGTAATCTGCTAGGATATTCAACTTGCCCAGTATGTGTCTTGCTTTGATCCTGCAACTCACTGAGTCTACCAAGGCAAAAAAACAAAAAACTCGTAGCCTCCTACAACAAAGGCTGATACTTTGTGCCCCTCTGGTGCTGTATGTAAGCAGCCATGCTTCTAGAGCTAGATATATGACATATATCATACATCCCTCTCATTTTTTCTAGGCAGTTGATGTGTAACCTTTCTTGGTGGACCATTTTCCCTGTACTGTAATATCATCCACATGGGCACCCCAATCCTCTCCTGACGTGTCTGTGTAGAGTTGATGTAGAGGGGAGGGGGGAATATGAGAGTCGAATACCGGGCATGACGTTCTGGCAAGTTAGCCACCAATGCAGTTCTGAGATTCTAACTGGTGGGGATTGAATTAGTGTTTCTAGCTCTAGGATTTTGGTGGTATTCATCCAGTTTTGCAGGGGTATTAGCTGCAGTCTGCCTCTGTAGGTCAGATCTTGGATGTTGTCAAAGTCCCTGATTTTTGGCCATGTCAACGTGCATCCTGATGTTAGGTTTCTTAACAAGGTCATAAAATTCTTCATCAATAGTAGGCTGTTGTGCGAAGGGAACATCATGTGTCTTGTAACCACTTTTATTAATAGCAGGCATACCAAGTCTGATATTATGCGCTGACAAAGCTTTCAAGGATGTTTCGATTTTCTTCATGATGTCATAAAAGTATGACGAACAGGAGTGGGTATGCAATTCTTCAAATTTACTGACAGGTTCTTCATACCCAGCACGTTCTAACAAGGGTTTGGTAGCCGGTTATCTTTGCTACCTAATTTTAACCCCGGCATCAGATTATAAAGTTCTGCAATGATGACTTTAATGGAATATTTGTTTGGTTTGTAATTATCCCCCGCAGTGGAGTCCCAATTGCATGAAGAAACAGTGTTAACAATGAAACCGGTCATCTGATCTGTGGCTAGCGGAGCGGGAATCAGCGTTCTATAACTGTATGATTGTGACGTAACATAAACTTCGCTTTCCCCGCCCGTATAACGGTACTGTGTATGGTATGGAGCACGCTTGGTAAATTTATCATGATGTGCACGAGTTTTGTTGTCAACTCATCTATCATAGTGGTTGGATGGGACTGGTGTGTATTTCTGTGCTCACTGCGATGCGATGTCCTGATTCACAATCTACCTTATGATGTGTGTGTTAGGGAGGGGATCTATGAGATTCTCAATGTCCTTTTTATCTCTCCTACTGTCCTCATAATAAGCTGACTCAGCTTGACTGCGTGAGTGTCTACTGTGTGAGGATGCCCCGTCATATTCAGCCTTAGATCTCTTGTGAATCTCGTGTTGTGCGACGGATTCTTTAGATGTGAGGTTTCATGAGACATTGAATGCATACGTTTGTCAATCATTACAGGCATGGAATTGGTTATCATTTCCGTGAACTCATTTATGTTAAAGGGAAACGTGGCATAGAGGGGAGATCGGTTGCTTCTTCCAAGCCTAGATTATCCACCTTACCAGATGCTTCCGAATGTATGTCACTGGTTACGTTAAAATACATTGGTTCCTTAACTATATTGGGAGAGTGGGATGAGCGACGAGATCACTCCTCAGAAGGAGAGACGGCGTCCCTGTGCGACCTGAACGGACCGGTGTCTAATTTGGGGATGAAGTCCTCAATCCCACAACCCTTTTTCTAACTAATTACTTACTAGAGACTTCTGCCTTCTTATACCCCCTTGTTCTCTGCTTGTAGAACTGCTCAAGGCTTGTCTTTATTTGAGCTTGTGATGATCTAGTGTGGCTTGTAAGTGTTGAACAGCAATCACGTGTACAGATGTATCTGGACACACAGGAAAGAAGTGAGGTGTTGCCCGCCTTGGGCATGCACAGTGGTGTCTCTTGAGAGGGATAGGGTTTCCCTCACAACTATTAGATATGTTGGCAGTGAAGAGGATGTCTGTTGAAAATTTATTAAAATTTGTAGTGTGGTTCTCAGCATAAACAGGAATATATAGCTATGATGTAATAGAGGTAGGGTATTCACAAGAATTATTTAGATTTTTATAAACCATCGGGGTTTAATGTAGCCACTAGTGAGGATTTTACACAACACTGTCCTGATATATAATCATGTATAAAAGGAAACATGTTTTACTGACTAATGCGGAAGCAATGTTATCCATAGTCTGTTTGTCTTTTGTCATATTTACTTCAGGCAGCAATTCAATATCTTTTGCTCTGGAAACATGTTTTGCTGGTAGCTACTGTATGTGGATCAAGATATTATTGTAATTATTTATTCATGTTTGCAGAATGAGGACAATTCAAATTGGAGTCGATACACTTGGACGGATAATGCCCGAAAACTCTGAGGATATGTTGAATGTCATCCTACAACATTGGAGACTGTGCAGTTGTGCTCTCAAGCACTCTACAAATCATCTGTTTAGAAACAATAAATCTTTAAAATGTATTTTGAAATGTAGAGAAAAATACCAGAGACAGTTCCAAGATCGTCACATAGAACTCCATGTTATCAGGAAGCTCAAAGAGTTGTGCAAAAAAGATGATTACATTGCACTTTCATTTCTTTCACATGTTGAACCTTGGGAGAAGCAAAACAGGATTGTTGGAAGCATGAAGCAATATCTAGGTGAAATAGAAGAAACTGATATTGAAGTGAAATGTGTGTTAGACGTTCTCCTTATAATGAGAGAGAATGCACCTCCTCTACAACAATTGATGAAAACAATGCAAGGGAAGGCAAAGGACTTCGACATTGGACTAGATATTACCATAAAATGCATTGTGGACAGGTCTTTCTTTGGGGAATTCAAAAGCATGTTGAAAATATGCAAAATGAACAGATATCTTTGGGAATCAAAAGTCTTTTTGAAAATGTATAGAAACTGTCTTACTGGTGACTCAAGTCTTCATGGCGACGGTTCATTGTTAATAACAGGCGTATGTGATCTGATGGAAAAGACAAAAGGGACATTCCAAACATACTGGGAAAGATTAACCAGTGACAGATACACACCAATCGCAGATATTCACATGATCTCCATTAAGGATCTTGAATGTGAAATACAAACTGCTGAGAAAGTAATGGACAAGTTTGTCCCTCAGTCTGTGAAGAATGCACTTCAATTAGCCTGTGACTACAGAATGTACATTCATAAGACTGCCATTTTGAAACGTGCCCTGAAGGTACTTGACCTTGATGCTACAAAGGATATCAAGTTTACCACAGCAGTATCAGCATTTAGTGCAATTGAAACGCACAAGGACACCATGCATTCACTTATTACTGCAAGTGAAACTTTCCAAGAAATAGACAAACTGATGGACCGGCACATTGTTGATGTTCTCAAAGAGTTTTCAGAATCAACACACCTCCTTAATTTCATTGAAGAAATAAAACATGAAGATCTCCGGAATCTAATTGATGCAGTTGAAGAACACTCTGAACAGTCAGTGCAGGAAGTAACAGTTTCATCTCTCATTGATGTACGGAGGTTCCTTAGACCATTAATTGAAGGTTCCTTAGAAGATTCAGTTCTGGCATTTTTACAGACTGTGCAAAAGTCAATTGAAGAAAATGAACTGACGAAATTAGACAGCAAACTGAAGGAGTGTAATACTAATCTGCATGGCTTACGTTCTCTCTACCACAATGTAGCCAACAGAGGTGAAGTGACCAAGGGTATTGTAAAAGCATTAATTAGTGATGATGAGGCAAGCTTTTCATTTAAAATACTGAGCAGTAGTAAGGTACATATTGTACTAAAGTACAGATCAGGCAAGGGAGAGAAACTATTGAATTCAAATGAACTGAATGATTACAGAAGCAGAGCTTTACTCTTAGTTAACACAGAATCGAAAGAACAAGACGTAAGTCTTCAATCTGAACTGAGTAAATTCACCGAGTTGGTTGATTGTGCTGTAGCAATAGCAGGATTGTATGAACAGTTAGTTTCAACTGGGCATCCCTGTTATCATGTTGGACATGCCATGTCTGAGCAGAAAAATCACCTTGCAGGTGAGGAACAACGACTCAGAAAAGCTTTATCTGAATGGAAAAAAGCTCTGGAAAAGGCAAGGGAGCAATGGTATTGGTTAAATCATTTCTATCCAGAGCAAGTTTCCCAAGTCAAAGGTTTCCTTGTGGATGGGTTGAACAAGGATGCAATTTCGTCATTGTTTCAAAGTGCTGGATGTACACCTGGCAATTTAGATACTGCACAAGAGTTGTATTCACAGCATAAACTAAGGATATCAGATTTGGATGAGTTCAACTTAAATGCTATTGGGGCCACATTAGATGACATTCTGGGAGATAACATTGTTAATGGTCAAGAGTTCCCAGAAGATGAAGAGTTTGATCCTTCTCAGGTACGTCCTTTGGAGAGGGTGCAAGAGGGGCAACTGTATGTCCTTAACTGGAACGAAAACAGTGCGTATGTCATCCCAACACTGATAACTCTGTACAGGAACACTACAGGGCTCATACCATGTCATCATCAAGTCCTCTTCTGTACTGAACATACAACATGGGAAAGTATACAGCTGTTGCTTAATAGGTCAGTTGGAGGCAAATACAAAGGATTTAAAAAGCAACTTTACTGTGTTGTTCATGCAGAGAAATTGAGAAATGAAGTGCAGTTTCAATTTGTATACAAACTAAAAGAACTTGGAGATAAGATACAATATCTGGCAGTCATATGTAGAGGAAACATCAACCACCCTCTTGTGAATCATTTTTCTGAGAATATCCATAAACTAAGACCTATGTTAAACATCGCACTCTCGAACAGCATTAAGCAATTGTGGCCTGATGTAGTTGTTGTTACATCTGATCTTCCAGGTCAAGGAAAGAGTGAACAGGTTCAGTGTGATGCTTTCAGAAAAGGGCTCGACATTGTGCCCCTAGATGTAAGTGGCAATATTACTGATGTAATATTCATGTTAAAGTTGAAGGAGATTTCACTGGAAAGGGACAGTCTTTTACATATCAATATAGGAATTGTGTCAAGTGCAGAAGAAATTGACATTTTCATCTTCAAACTTTGCATTCTCGGGTTCATGTCTTGTGGTGCTAGCATATTTCCCTGTACAACTGGACACGTGCGTATTGAGATAGCCAACACAATCAATCACACTTTGGAAAATGATTTGCCAACCAGTTTTTTTTTTGAAAAGAAAAACCTGCCTTGGCTAAATTTTACAAATCTTAGAGTTAGTCAGGAAGTTGGCAGTGCAGTTCAAGTTGTTTGTCACTATCTACAGAAGATGAAAGACAGTGCAGTAGATTCAACAGATATGTATTTTTCTGGTGAGAATATTGAAGAACCACTGCCTGAAGATTGGTGCAGAAACCTACTCAGAGAACATTTTTCTACAATTGGAGATCTGTCATTTTCGGTACTAAACATTTTGGTGAATGTACTTGCAGATCAGTTAAAGAAAATGTCCTGCAGTTTGTTTTTGAGAACATCAAGTTTGTATTCCATGGTTGGTGACAACACAGTTAAGAGTTCGCTCCTAGAGACTTTGATATCATCATCAACTGAGTTTGCTACTAGGTCAGTTGGGCCATGTAGGCAGGAACAGAAGCAGACTGTTGTATGGTCAAAAAGAGAAGGGGGTGTCCCCAGTGGCAGTAGTGACATGGCAACAGCTACAACAATGGCCGATAGAGTGCAGGGCATGATACAGTGGGAGGATAGTAATCACTTGATCATAGCTTTCCACTCTCAAAATATCCAAACATTTTCAGCCTTATATAGAGACTTGAAAAGAATTCCAGACCATGTCAAAACTCTCTTTGAGACACAGATGAATAAGGACCTACCTGATTTCTCAGTGCTGACTGATTCAGAATTGAAGGATAAGTTGAAACATATTGCTGGATCAACTGATGAACCACTGTCACAAGTACCCGAGTCTTATGCAATGACTCCAGACAACCTGCTAAAAATGATCCTAATTGTAATGAGGATCAAAGCACACATCCCTGTAATAATTATGGGAGAAACTGGATGTGGAAAGACCAGTTTACTTAGATACCTTGCAAGTGTATGTGGCATTCATTTCATTGCCAAGAACATGCATGCAGGCATAGAGGAAGAAGATGTGACTGAGTGTGTATTAGATGCAATGAAGTTGTGCAAAGAAAAGTTGGAAAAACATGTGTGGCTCTTTTTTGACGAAATAAACACCTGTGATCATTTAGGAATTTTGAATGAGCTTCTTTGTCACCACAAATTCAAGGGACAGAAGCTCCCACCAAACCTTTCAATAATGGCAGCTTGCAACCCTTACAAGATACGAAAAGAATGTAACATTTTAACAGCAGGACTTGTCACTAAAGTGAAAAGTGATGACCAGTCCAAGCTAGTCTACCGTGTTCACCCTTTGCCAGAAAGAATGGTAGACTATGTGTGGGATTATGGCAGCTTGACAGAATCAGATGAAAAGGCATATATTAGCAGTATGGTTGCCAAAACATTGGATGCTTTGCCATGTGAGTTACTTGTAGATCTGTTGGTAATGTCACAGAAATTCATTAGGCGTGTTGAAAATCATCCCTACTGTGTAAGTTTGAGAGATGTAAATAGATGTAGGCTCTTGGTGTCCTGGTTTAGAGATGATATGCTAGCAGAAATCTCTGATAGTGGTGACAACACAGATGAGAGGGAAACAGAGGCTATGATAATGGCTTTGGCACACTCGTATCATTCAAGACTGAATGAAAGCAAAAATAGGGAAGAGTATAGACAAAGTGTAGTTGGCCTTTTACGAGACCATGGTTTACATGTTGATGAGGAATTTGTCTTGAAAACAATAGCAAAAAATCAGAAGGCAGTCCTTGACCAGATGGAACTTCCTGATGGCATAGCCAGAAACACAGCACTCCAGGAGAATGTGTTTGTCATACTGGTGTGCATCCTGAAACATATACCAATATTCGTTGTTGGTAAGCCTGGGTGCAGTAAGTCATTATCACTACAGCTACTTAAGGGCAATCTTCGAGGGAAAGATTCCAAAAATGACTACTTCCGAAAGCTACCTCAGCTGTATTATGTGTCTTATCAAGGTTCAGGGTCTTCTACATCAGATGGAATCATAAAGGTTTTTGAAAAAGCACAGAAATACCGTGAACATAACAAAGAAGAAGATGTATTACCTGTTGTAATACTTGATGAGATAGGTCTTGCAGAAGTATCTGCATATAACCCACTGAAAGTCCTGCATAGCTTGTTGGAGCCAGAGAGGAAAGAGTTCCCTGATGTTGCAGTAGTTGGAATATCAAACTGGGCTTTAGATGCAGCCAAAATGAACCGTGCAGTATATCTCTCACGGCCAGACATGGATGTTAAGGAGTTGCATTCCACAGCAGTGTCTATTGCTGAATTTAGCAGTGAAGCAAACAAATCAAAATCTATAGACAGTACCATATCTTCAGATCTGTCAAGAGAAGATGACAGTGTTTTGGAAGCTCTTGCATATGCCTATTTTGAATATGTTAAAAATCAAAACATTAAGAATTTTCATGGTTTGAGAGACTTCTACTCCCTGGTTAAATTTATTTCCCGGGAAGCTAATTCTCAGTCAGCTGGCCCAAGGAATAAGTTTCAAGTTGTTTTGAAAGGACTTCTGCGTAACTTCAGTGGTTTGGAATCAGAAATCAAATTTGTGATTCATACATTCAACAAACACTTAAAACAAATGACAAAACGACAACCCCAAGATCTAACAGATGAATGTTTTCCATCATTATTGAAGCTGATTGATGACAACATCAAGGATACATCAGCTAGACATTTGATGCTAATATCAAGGGGGGATTCATCTCTAGGCATTGTTGAAGATCTTCTGCGATCAAACAAGCGACAATATATCACTATCTTGGGCAGTTGTTTTGATGAAGATCAGACAGACCACTACAGCTACAGAATCCTCAGTAAAATCATCTTATGTATGGAACAAGGAATCACACTTATTTTGAAAGATCTGGAGAACATCTATGGAAGTCTGTATGATATGCTCAATCAGAACTACACAACAGTCGGGAGCAAAAAGAACTGCAGAATAGCACTTGGTGCATACAGCAACCCATTGTGTCAAGTGGATGATAGCTTTAGGTGCATTGTTCTGGTGGAAGAACAGAAAGTAGACTTGTCGGATCCTCCATTCCTAAATCGCTTTGAAAAACAAAGACTCATTATAAATGATGTGCTTGTTCCTGAGACAAAGCAGATCGTTGAACAATTGCAATCATGGATTAAAGACATTTCTAAAGTATCAGATTTTGAATCCATGAGTCCAACAGAGCTCCTTCCAATATTTAGTTCAGATCTGATCCCATCATTGGTACACAGTGAATACAAGACTGAACTTGATGACAGGGAAGATTTTCAAAACGTATGTTTGCAGAAGATTATCAAACTCTGTACTCCTGAAGGCATAATTCGTGCTGAAAAGTCTGCCTTGATAACAAAAGAAAAGAGTCTTGTAGAATCAATAAGAGAACAATACTTTTCATTGCCAATACATGATGGTTTGGAGATATATTTGCAACACATGTTAGAGTGTTGTAGCCATGGAATATCTGCAATGGTATTTACACACAGCAACATATATGTTGACCTTCCAGCCATTACCCAAAGCATTACCAAGCATGCCCAGCATGAAAAGCTGGGGTCATTCAAATCTGAAAAGCAGCTGTCAAGTAGCATACAACAGTTTTGGTCTGACACTCATGACTGGCTGTTTATACAAGTGTCACACACCGATCAACAACATTTCTTTCTGTTAAAATCCATCCTGGAATTGGAACAGAAACGATATTTATCAACAACAACTTCTGCAGCATATGTTAAACATGTTGTTGTCATCATCCATGTAGACAGGACTACACAAGGCAGCCAAATAGGCCTCATGAACTTTTTAAATGGGTGGGACATGGCAAATGTTGATTGTCTGGAACCTCATATTTTTCCACTGAAAGACTTACTTGAAGGAACCCTGGCAGACATGGCTCAAAGACTACTGAAAAAGAGGGGGATCACTTTTCAAAATCTGTTTGAAGCTTTTGCCTGCATTCGATACACTGAAAAGTCACGTTCAATAGACAGTATTAAATCAATGATCAATCTTGATAGAGTTGTTGATGTCTTACTTGAACGAATTGAGGAATGGATCAAAGAAACAGAGTCCATCAGAGAAGATAGGAACTGGCAACTAGAAACTGCATGCAATGTTGTCAAATTGAAAAACTATATGACATTTCAAACTGCACTTTTGGAAGAAATAAAATCAACACTGCTGCATCCACTAGCTGCTTTAGTGTTTACCATTGAAAGATTCCATGGGTGGGATTGTCTATGTACAGAAGCACATGATACAATGACACAGGAAAAAATGGCGCTGTGGAGTCGTCTTGTCCTGAATACATGTGTTGTTGACATATCAGGTGTTGCAGAACCAAAGGGTCCAGAATGTCTCCCATGTAAAATGTCAAACTTTTCCACAAAATTCCCTTTCAGCATGTACTTCATTCATGCTATTGAAAATCTAGAAAGTATATTCTTGGATATATGGCGGGCCAGACAAACTGAGGAAAATGACAGTATGGACAAGACTGCCAGAGAATTACTGACTGAATCATTCAGAAGACATGTAAATACTGTTGCCACAGATATGTTTGAATACAGCTATGGAGAAGAACAGTTTGGTGACTACTTTCATGATTTCTGTCTGTGGTTTACAGCAAAACTGCCACTGAGTATGTCAGAAAATCAAATGATTGAAGTGACTGGTCATGCAATTAGGAGTCGTACCTGTCTTGATAGAGACTCATTTGACATGTTTGTGACTAAACTGCATGTAACAGCATGGATGTTCAAGTATCAGTTGCAATCTGAACTAGTACTTGTGGATACCTGTCTCTCACAGCTCAACATATCTCTTGATGACATACTGAAACATACATATCAGTTGAGAAAAAAGGTTAAGAAAATTGAGCAAATCAAATCAAATGTGTATCATGAAGGAGAAGGTGACAGTGCATTGGATGTCACAGATCACGATCATGCAAAATATGAACGGACAGTGTTGGATGAGGAAGACATTAACAAAAAAGAGAATGTAAAAGGAGACCATCATGACAGAACAGAACTAACGCCTACATACAGTGAAGACACAACATGTACTGAAGTTACAGATCACGATCATGTTGGAAGTGAAAGAACAGTGTTAGATGAGGACGACATTAACAGAAATGAAGACTTAAAAGGAGATCATCATGACAGAGCAGAACTAACGCCTACATACAGCAAGGACACAACATGTACTGAAGAAAGATGTGTAGACCAAATAGAATTGCGCATATGTGATGACGATGATGGTGGTGATGATGATGGTGACAATGATGCTTGTGGTCGACTTGATCATGATGGAGAGGACGAGAAACGTGATGAAACACAGAATTGGGAAGAAGCTACAACTGCAAGTTGCCAACAAGTCATATGTGTCCATGAAAAGATTGAAGATAACGACACATGTGTAGAGAAATCTAATGGTGAGGATCTGAAGATCCTGCAAACAGATCCAGAAGTAATTCAACCTGTTGCGGAACAATCTGATATGTCTGATGGTGGTATCGATAAGAGATTTGAAACTGTTAAAATTAGTGGAAGCGATGAACCAGATGATAGGTCATTGAGAAACTCAGGTGAAAGCTTAGAACATGTCACTGATTCAGATCCAGACGAAACTGCTGCAGCACACCTTGTGGATCTGGCATGCCAATATCTTATACCATCACAGGAACTAAGGAAGGTGCAAAGTGTTAAAACATGGCAGAGTTTGGTCAATTTAGTTCTTTCACTTACTTCAGATGTCAGTGTTGAGCCTATGGTATTACAAACACTTCGAGTATGCAGTGATATGGCCTCTCTCATCATTCTGCCTCATGGAGTAAGTGAAACACATTTCTGGGATGTAGGCAGTAAACTTTCAACTGACACCTTAGATTCTGAACATTCTGAGCTTGTACTCCAAGACTTAATCAGAAAGGTTAGTTGTGATGTACCTTCAAAAGATTTGAAACATTTTCTTTCATCATATGCAAGTTGCTGTCTCATGGCTAACGCAGAAACAGATTTTGTTGCAAGATTGTCTGGCATTTATTATGATTGTGGGGAGGAAGGAAGTGATGTTGCCTTCCTGGGTTCGGTTCTCCACCACTCAATCTACTTGCAATTTGATCATAATCCAGAAGAAATGATGACAGATAGCCTATTAGAGAATGAGTTTTTCAAAGTACTCGACGAATGGTTGAAAAGAAGTCAAGTGCAAGTTGATGATTCTCCACTAGCCTGTATTATTGCTGATCTCTTACAAAACCACATATTTGGAAACGTAAGTGAACAACTACAAAAAGGACAATCTGAGTTTCTTGACAAACTTCTCGAGCTAAAGAGACAATACATTGGTTCCCTGCAAGTGACATTTAAGTTGCTGGTTCTTGTAGCATATCTAAAATCAGCACTGCAAAGCCTAGTTAATTTAATTGAAACAAACAGCCTTAAAGATAACACTTGGCAAAAAATAAATCAACTTTTTGAAGGTGGAATGCTTCATACAACAAGCAGAATGCAAGGAATGCAAACATATTTCCTCAAATGCCTGACGAAGGGAGGAGGTTTCAAAGCATGCATGAACATGAAAATAAATTGGTCCAATTTCATAGAATACATGACAACTATTAAGCCTGCTTCAGACAAGACAATGACATTTCTAGAACAAAATCCAATGGTAATGTCTTGCACAAGTGTGTTCCTTGAAATACAAAAGGCAGCAAATTGCCTAACTGAGGGTGATGTGAATCCATTACAAACTCTGCTGCAGGAGAAAAGTGCGGATGTAACTTACAGCCTTTTTGCATACACCCTGAAACAATTTTATCTTGCTTCCATTGGGAGAACTCAAAACAGATCAGAAGAAGACGCATCAAGTAAGCTTATAGAAGAGGCAAAAAATCAGCACATGCCTGATCATCAGATGAGGCTCTTTTCAAGGCTTTGTCAGCAAGAAGCATTTGGAGTTTTCTTTCTCCAGGTTCCATCTACTGTTACTGATTACCATATGGTATCTCCAATCATAGACATATTATCTACAGTAATTTCTGCTGTACCCAGTTTGGACTCCAAAGCAAGTCTGCATGTTTTCTTGGAGTGCATATGCAACCCATGCGGGGATGTCAGGAGGTCTATCCCAGGATGTTCAGATGAAACTGATGCAGTCAGTACACACAGTGATTGTGATATCATGCATGGGAGGTCATCTATACACTTCTTAGATTGCGAGTGTGGTTACAGAAACGTGTTCAGTGTGGACAGCAACTGTCCAAACTGCTCAAGGGAACTTGATCAAGTTGAAGTCATGGCTGACCCACTTGTTACAAAAGTATCAGATGATTATTATGCTTGCAAGAAACTGACGTGCTGGCAGACAGTTCGTGGCATGCCACAGGTCGTGTTCAGGGTACTCCAGTTCATATATTTCAGCTGCTTAACTGGTGCATTAGCCTTGCGATATGCAAATGATGAAGACTTACGTACGCTTCTATGCCTGGACAAGGATTCAGATGTGACAAATCACTTTAATGACAGACTGTTATGCCACTGGGAATGCCTCAAAACCCTTTTAAGCATGGGAGATGAACAGCTCAATCGATTTATGCATATTGTTTTAAGGCAATCTCGTGTGTTCTTGACAGATGTAAAGTGGCATGTTGGCACAAAAGAGGAAAGACATGAGTTTGAAATGTATTTTTCTGAAACTATTTCTCCCCTTGTGCAAAGACGATATGAAATTATCAAGGAAGATGTTGAAAAGTTCAAACATATATATGACATGGAAGATTGGTGTCTGCAAGATTCAGTTTGTGAGGTTTTTGAGGAAGGAAAAAGATATGAATCATTACCACACTTGTGGAGGGAAGTCACTCGACCAAATCCTGAAAATTTGAAAATGCAATTTATTTTGACAAGTTCAAATAAAATGTTTCCTTTGCTCTCACTAATTCTGTATAATGAGCAAGAATTAAACCTCACAAAGCATATTTGGAATGTTATACAATGGCATATTTGTACAGTGAAACACATCAGTTACAGATACAAGAAAAGAGAGTGCAGCAAGAAAACACTTGCAGACTTTAGACATTCTCTTAATGGAAGTGAACACACTGGTGAAGAAGTAAAACAAACCTTAGATGACTTTTTGCAGTCATGGATAGAGATCGCAAAGATGAAGTCTCTCTTAGACATGTATGATGATGATCTGGGGCAGTTAGATATTATCCATCCAAATACTGAACTGGAAAAGTGCATTGTTGTGAATGAAGAATCTCAAATATACAAAGTTTTAGAAGTTCTCTTAAGAATGCAAAATCGAATCTTAGATGAGGCAATGACTGTAACAGTTCTGCAAGATGTGTTGTCAAGTAGTTTTCTTATGAGATCAAGTACGTGTGCTACAGTGCCAATAGTAAAAGTAGAAGATATTAAAGAGCAACACATTATGAAAGGTCCTGAATTTGATGAGCTGTTGAAATTCTCACAGTGCAACACTAAATGTGGACATGGAAGAGAAGTGACATATGACTTTTTTCAGATAGAGAAGGAGGTAGCGATCCAGTGTCTTTTAAACAAAGCATACATTACTATTGGAGAAAGTTTCCCAACTATTTCGTTCTCTGGTGAAATCCAACACACAACAGCTTCCCTTCTTCAGGAGATTGAACAACTCCTAGAACAAGAACCATTGAGTCCAGAGATGGAACACTTGGTGGACAAAATGGACCCAGCTGACCGTAAAGTACTTATGAACTACTTAGAGATGACTTTCTGCCTGATAAAGAGAACACCAGTATCTCCAAAAGACAGGAAACGTTTCCTCACTGATTTCCTTGATTCGTGGCAGTATCTGTTTCCATACAGGGTCGAGACTATTCATGGTTTTTGCTCAAATATAAATCTCTACAATATTGTTGCACTGTATGAAGCTGTGGAAAAACACATGGCCTCTGATGTTGTGGACTCATTGGAAGACAAATTCAGAAAAGAGATTCCAAGAGAAGCACTGGCCGCAGTCAGTCAAGTTGTAATTTTTGGTAATCCTTCCTTCCTTCAAAATTTGGTGATAGCTCTTTCAAAGTATGCTTACAGATACTTGCAGACACAAGATGCAGATCCAGAGCAACAACTTTCTGATCAGCTTAAAAACCCTTCTTTGTGGCCTAAAGGTTTAATAGAAAGACTCTATGCAGTTGAAAATGACGAGGAGAAGGAGGTTGGCCTTTTACCACCAAGCATATGTGCTGAACATATCTTCCATGTCGTCATGTACTACAGGCAGGAAATTAAGGTAGGTTTTGTAACTGACCTGTTTTTCAATATATGTCAAGGGGGCATGGGTGGCCCAGTCGTCTAAGGCCCCGTGATTCGCTGTGCAGAGTTGCGTCCCTTGGGCACGCCAGAAACCTATGATTGTGGGTTCGAATCCCGGTTCGCCCCGATTTTTCTAGGTTTGTCAGAATCATACCTGTGCTTGTGGGTTTCACCGAAGTGGTAAACATCTGAGACCTGCATCACTTCGGGCTTACCTCATCCACATGAAGCTGACACGCTGCGATATAACTGGAATACTGTTAAGTGCGACGTTAAACCCAAATCACTCACTCACTCAATATATGTCACTTTTTTACACCTAGAGGGATGTATTACGTAAATTCACTTAGTACGTGTGTCTGTGTTTACACTGACAGCCATACAACAACTAGCTGTAACACGGAATACAATAGTTCATCAAAAGGAGAGGTGACTTAAGCGCATGTATGTGTCTTTCGAACAGCCTCAGTAAGTCACTGTAACGTTGTGTTGTAAATACATTTACATCAAATACAGGATGTCAAAATGCCCGACACGATAAACATGATAGGAGAGATTTCTGAAGTTGTTCATGAACCTGTGGCGATTACAAGTGTTAGGCATCATTGATCAATTTGCCAATCATTGAAAAGAGATACTGAGGTAAATGTATAAATTGCTGTAGACTTGTCAGTCTAAACGCTGAACAAGTCCACAGTTTTGATGTGCATTTCCTAGATTTGTTCACTACGATTGGTCGTAGCTGGGATATTCAAGAACTCTGATTTATCCCAAAAGATGATGAAACGCTAAGTTCAAGATTAAAGGGTCAAAAGGATCAGAAACAACACTTCTGTATTTATTGGTGCAAGGGATTTCCCAGGCATTTGACCGGGAATGTGAAAGCAGTGCATCAGTTTCTACATCGTTTCAAGAATACAGTATCATGAAAAATGTTTGAACGTCAAAATGCCTTGTTCATACACTTATGAACATCAACGTGATATTTGTATATTTGGAACATATTGCTTTTATGTGTCCATAATAAATTCAATGATATAATTTTTCATTCAAAGTGATTGTTATCAAAGGCCAAATCCTTATCATGTCATATTACAGAAAGAGGAAAGAAAGGCAGTATGTGGTGATGTTCGGCACAAGCAGAAGCAGACAAAGGCTGTCAAATCAAAGAAATGGAAACACTAAACAGTGAAGTGTAAGTATTTCACTTTTCCTCATCACCTTTAAAAATCCCCTGTTCAGTCTGGTGTTAAGCATTCCCCTGTAATAGATACTGCTTAAAGTGTTTGCTCAAATTTGAGCTTCACCTCTGCAGCTGGCACAATTGTTTTTCTCAAACACACGCTTGTGACAGATACCTCATATGTACCACAGGGATTATTTTCTGACATGATTCGGTGACCTTGAAGACCAAGGTGACTGAGTATGTTCTAGGCCTAAAAAAAACTTGTGTACACTATAAATTGAGTATTTATGAATTGAAATTGATGAAACTTAGTATGCATCTCTCAGGTGTGGTCTCTGTCGCATTAACTTTGAATGACCTACTTATAAGGTCAAGGTCAAATTATGAAACATGGTTAAAATATAATGAAGATTAAACAATCACAGGTTTTTGCAATCAGGATAAATTCTAAGTAACTAACTCAACGGCTAACATCAACATGATTTTGTAAATTGTCAAGATCAATTTGAAGCTTATTAACTCATGAAGTACTGTTAGTATGGTATGGAGACTTCATATTTATAACATAACCATAGTTTGCAACAAATAATGTTCTTGTCTCAAAAAGCTTGTATTTACACAATATCTTGATCAGTTAACTTTCTGTTTCAAAAATTGAATTGCATTTGGCATGTGTTTTTCCCATACCATATGTATGCTCACAACTTTGTTATTACGGCATCGGTATTTTGTGTGAGATCATCAGTCAAAAGGGTTCATGATACATGTCTCTGATGGGAACGTTTTGGGGTATTCAGGAAATGGTGGGGGTGGAGCTGTTTCTGTTTTTGCATATATTCCTTCCTTTTTAAAATTGTCTTTTGTTAAGAATGACAAACTCAAATTGGTATGCATACGTATGCATGTGTTAAGTATGAAAAGAGATGATAAGTATGCATAGTGATGTAGTGAATGTAGTTGGTATATAAATGTACATATATCTTTGTGTTTCTTTCTCTCTGTACAGATACAGCCATCTACCGACTCACTGAGTGTCATCTTGTCCTTGGCTTTTTTCTTTGTCATATCTAGTCTTGGTCAATTTGATGAGGTTGTCCTGAATGTGACCAACTGAATGTACATTGACATCACACATATATTCAAGTATGAATATACAATCCCAATTAAGTTAGTGATATATGTATCAAAACTATTCTCTGATAAATGTAAACAGGCATACAAATACATCAGAGGACACGACTTTGTGACTAATTAATGTCATGACCACAGACTATAAGTTTCATTTTGTCGATATAAGTAGTACATGAACTATATCACAAATCTATTGAATAAATCATTACATATTTATTTCATTTAATGAACTATGTAACAAAATCTGATGTATTAAAGTAGGTTGGCATATCTCATATTGTAAATAACTATTCATTTTCAAGCAATGATAACACAAATGTATGAATGTATAATGTATAAATGTACACTACCAATGTATTTAGTGACAAGTGTATCATCAAATCAAAACTCTCTTTTTTTGTCTAAAATCGTGGACTGTTGAAGACATTTTGTTTGGTATCTCTTGTTGTAAATAACTGAGCAATTGTGACACTATTGGATAGATATTTCTTAACATTAGATTTTGATCTGGTCTTATTTTCTAGATCATTTTCAAGCAATGATAAAACAAATGTTGGACACTTTTGTACTTTGTAAATAGTGAAGAAAATTGAATTTCTTGCAAATATAGAAACACAATATATTGAAAAAAATGCTTTTATTGTACTGGGCATGATAACCATGTGCCCATTGTATCTTGTTATTTCTTTCCTAGAAAACTCTAAGATTGGAAACAATGTTTTTAAATCTTGTACATAGCTATGAAATTTGAGTGTAATTATTATTGATTTTAATATCTATAAAACTGGAATGGACATTTGGCTTTAGTTCTAGATATGTCAATAACCTGATACAAAGTGTTAAACGGTTTGTCAATGTTAATGCAAATCTACAATGTCATATAAGGGTAGTGACAGATGTATCAGTGCTGACTGATCACTTGTAAATGTGCATGCACACAACCAAAGAATGCACAATACCATTTAGTTCAGTGACTGGTATATCAATACCAAACTGTCTGTGACTAAATAATTTTATAAGCATGGACTGTTGAAGACATTTGTAAATATTTGTGGTACATGAACTATATGATAAATACAGAAACAAAACATTTAACATTTTGTTTACTTATTTTGTCAAAGAACCATGTGTAAATAGTTTTGTTAAATGAACTTAATGACAAACATGGCAACAACATAGGATAAAAATGCTTTTATTCTACTAGTCATGATAACCATGTGTCTACTGTATCTTGTTATTACTTACATAACAAATTCTGAAATTGGAAACAATATTGTTTTCATATCTTGTACATAGTCATGAAATGTGTGTGTAAATATTATTTATGTTAATATCAATAAAACTTGAATGGTTATTTGGCTTTAGTTCTGGATGTGTCAATAACCTGATTCAGATTGTTAAACAAGTTTATGAAAACATTCAAATATAAATAATAAATGTCATATCAAGGTAGTTACAGATGTATCAAAGCTGACAGATCACTTAGTTATAAATAAACATTCACACAAGCAAAGATTGGAATATGTGACTGAATCAGTCCATGATCCTAGACAATACAGACCATATGTCCAAGCTGTTTATTGCCTCCTTTTGTGAACCATTTACCAAAACGTGAATGCTGAATAGCAGGTTGTTATGTCATGTTGTAAATAAGTGTAAAGCTTTGTGTTGGATAAACATGTAGACATATACATATTTTAAACTTTGATTGTATTTTATTCTGGATTGTGTTAACGCTTTGATAAAAGGTATGTTGGAACATTTTGTAAATATTTGTAGTACATGAACAATAAGACAAAAATAGAACAAAACATTTAAAGCAATTGTATACCTTTTTCTTGTTTTGAAACATGAAAGAAAAAAATAACTAATAAATAGTAGGTTATATGGCATTCTCATATCTTATGTTGTAAATAACCAGGAACTGGATATTATGCTGAAATAGATGTTGGATCGTTTTGTAATATCTTCAAGTATCAATATACAATACCAATTAAGTTAGTGACATGTTTATCGACAAAACTCTTTCATCAATGTAAACAGGCATGCAAATATATAAGAGGACACAACTTTGTGACTAAATAATTTCATGACCATGGACTATACATTGCATTTTGTAAATATTTGTACTACATGAACTATATCATAAATATTTTGATACTATGTAACAAAATCTGTATTATTAATAGTTGTTTGGTATATCATGTTGTAAATAACTATGAACAATTGTAACACAATCAGATAAATATCCCTTATAATCTGTTCTTATATTCTAGATCATGTTCAAGCAATAACACAAATATTTTCAAGTATAAATGTATAATGTATAAATGTACACTGTCCATGTATTTAGTGACTTGTGTATAAACAAAACAAAACTCTTTTTGTCTAAATCATTTCATAATTGTGGACTGTAGAAGACATTTTGTAAATATTTGTAATACATTAACTGTATGATAGATATAGTAACAAAACATTTGACATTTTGTTTACTTATTTCATGCAATGAATCATGGAACAAAATCTGTATTATTGATAGTTGTTTGGTATCTCTTGTTGTAAATAACTGAGCAATTGTGACACTATTGGATAGATATTTCTTAACATTAGATTTTGATCTGGTCTTATTTTCTAGATCATTTTCAAGCAATGATAAAAAAAATGTTGGACACTTTTGTAACTTTGTAAATAGTGATGACAAATGAATTTCTTGCAAATATAGAAACAAAATATATTGAAAAAAATGCTTTTATTGTACTGGGCATGATAACCATGTGCCCATTGTATCTTGTTATTTCTTTCCTAGAAAACTCTAAGATTGGAAACAATGTTTTTATATCTTGTACATAGCTATGAAATTTGAGTGTAATTATTATGGATGTTAATATCTATAAAACTGGAATGGACATTTGACTTTAGTTCTAGATATGTCAATAACCTGATACAAAGTGTTAAACGGTTTGTCAATGTTAATGCAAATCTACAATGTCATATAAGGGTAGTGACAGATGTATCAGTGCTGACTGATCACTTGTAAATGTGCATGCACACAAGCAAAGAATACACAATACCATTTAGTTCAGTGACTGGTATATCAATACCAAACTGTCTGTGACTAAATAATTTTATAAGCATGGACTGTTGAAGACATTTGTAAATATTTGTGGTACATGAACTATATGATAAATACAGAAACAAAACATTTAACATTTTGTTTACTTATTTTGTCAAAGAACCATGTGTAAATAGTTTTGTTAAATGAACTTAATGACAAACATGGCAACAACATAGGATAAAAATGCTTTTATTCTACTAGTCATAATAACCATATGTCTACTGTATCTTGTTATTACTTACATAACAAATTCTGAAATTGGAAACAATATTGTTTTCATATCTTGTACACAGTCATGAAATGTGTGTGTAAATATTATTTATGTTAATATCAATAAAACTTGAATGGTTATTTGGCTTTAGTTCTGGATGTGTCAATAACCTGATTCAGATTGTTAAACAAGTTTATGAAAACATTCAAATATAAATAATAAATGTCATATCAAGGTAGTTACAGATGTATCAAAGCTGACAGATCACTTAGTTATAAATAAACATTCACACAAGCAAAGATTGGAATATGTGACTGAATCAGTCCATGATCCTAGACAATACAGACCATATGTCCAAGCTGTTTATTGCCTCCTTTTGTGAACCATTTACCAAAACGTGAATGCTGAATAGCAGGTTGTTTTGTCATGTTGTAAATAAGTGTAAAGCTTTGAGTTGGATAAACATGTAGACATATACATATTTTAAACTTTGATTGTATTTTATTCTGGATTGTGTTAACGCTTTGATAAAAGGTATGTTGGAACATTTTGTAAATATTTGTAGTACATGAACAATAAGACAAAAATAGAACAAAACATTTAAAGCAATTGTATACTTATTTCTTGTTTTGAAACATGAAAGAAAAAAATAACTAATAAATAGTAGGTTATATGGCATTCTCATATCTTATGTTGTAAATAACCAGGAACTGGATATTATGCTGAAATAGATGTTGGATCGTTTTGTAATATCTTCAAGTATCAATATACAATACCAATTAAGTTAGTGACATGTTTATCGACAAAACTCTTTCATCAATGTAAACAGGCATGCAAATACATAAGAGGACACAACTTTGTGACTAAATAATTTCATGACCATGGACTATACATTGCATTTTGTAAATATTTGTACTACATGAACTATATCATAAATATTTTGATACTATGTAACAAAATCTGTATTATTAATAGTTGTTTGGTATATCATGTTGTAAATAACTATGAACAATTGTAACACAATCAGATAAATATCCCTTATAATCTGGTCTTATATTCTAGATCATGTTCAAGCAATAACACAAATATTTTCAAGTATAAATGTATAATGTATAAATGTACACTGTCCATGTATTTAGTGACTTGTGTATAAACAAAACAAAACTCTTTTTGTCTAAATCATTTCATAATTGTGGACTGTAGAAGACATTTTGTAAATATTTGTAATACATTAACTGTATGATAGATATAGTAACAAAACATTTGACATTTTGTTTACTTATTTCATGCAATGAATCATTGAACAAAATCTGTATTATTGATAGTTGTTTGGTATCTCTTGTTGTAAATAACTGAGCAATTGTGACACTATTGGATAGATATTTCTTAACATTAGATTTTGATCTGGTCTTATTTTCTAGATCATTTTCAAGCAATGATAAAACAAATGTTGGACACTTTTGTAACTTTGTAAATAGTGATGACAAATGAATTTCTTGCAAATATAGAAACAAAATATATTGAAAAAAATGCTTTTATTGTACTGGGCATGATAACCATGTGCCCATTGTATCTTGTTATTTCTTTCCTAGAAAACTCTAAGATTGGAAACAATGTTTTTATATCTTGTACATAGCTATGAAATTTGAGTGTAATTATTATGGATGTTAATATCTATAAAACTGGAATGAACATTTGACTTTAGTTCTAGATATGTCAATAACCTGATACAAAGTGTTAAACGGTTTGTCAATGTTAATGCAAATCTACAATGTCATATAAGGGTAGTGACAGATGTATCAGTGCTGACTGATCACTTGTAAATGTGCATGCACACAAGCAAAGAATGCACAATACCATTTAGTTCAGTGACTGGTATATCAATACAAAACTGTCTGTGACTAAATAATTTTATAAGCATGGACTGTTGAAGACATTTGTAAATATTTGTGGTACATGAACTATATGATAAATACAGAAACAAAACATTTAACATTTTGTTTACTTATTTTGTCAAAGAACCATGTGTAAATAGTTTTGTTAAATGAACTTAATGACAAACATGGCAACAACATAGGATACAAATGCTTTTATTCTACTAGTCATGATAACCATGTGTCTACTGTATCTTGTTATTACTTACATAACAAATTCTGAAATTGGAAACAATATTGTTTTCATATCTTGTATATAGTCATGAAATGTGTGTGTAAATATTATTTATGTTAATATCAATAAAACTTGAATGGTTATTTGGCTTTAGTTCTGGATGTGTCAATAACCTGATTCAGATTGTTAAACAAGTTTAGAAAACATTCAAATATAAATAATAAATGTCATATCAAGGTAGTTACAGATGTATCAATGCTGACAGATCACTTATAAATAAACATTCACACAAGCAAAGATTGGAATATTTGACTGAATCAGTCCATGATCCTTGACAATACAGACCATATGTCCAAGCTGTTTATTGCCTCCTTTTGTGAACCATTTACCAAAACGTGAATGCTGAATAGCAGGTTGTTATGTCATGTTGTAAATAAGTGTAAAGCTTTGTGTTGGATAAACATGTAGACATATACATATTTTAAACTTTGATTGTATTTTATTCTAGATTGTGTTAAAGCTTTGATAAAAGGTATGTTGGAACTTTTTGTAAATATTTGTAGTGCATGAACAATAAGACAAAAATAGAACAAAACATTTAAAGCAATTGTATACTTATTTCTTGTTTTGAAACATGAAAGAAAAACCTAACTAATAGGTAGTAGGTTATATGGCATGTCTCATATCTTATGTTGTAAATAACCAGGAACTGGATATTATGCTCAAATAGATGTTGGATCGTTTTGTAATATCTTCAAGTATCAATATACAATACCAATTAAGTTAGTGACATGTGTATCAACAAAACTCTTTGACAAATGTAAACAGGCATGCAAATACATAAGAGGACACGACTTTGTGACTAAATAATTCATGACCATGGACTATACATTGCATTTTGTAAATATTTGTACTACATGAACTTTATCATTATTGTTTACTTATTTCATTCTTTGAACTATGTAACAAAATCTGTATTATTAATAGTTGTTTGGTATATCATGTTGTAAATAACTATGAACAATTGTAACACAATCAGATAGATAGCCCTTATAATCTGGTCTTATATTCTAGATCATTTTCAAGCAATGATAACACAAATACTTTCAAGTATAAATGTATAATGTATAAATGTACAATGCCAATGCCAATGTATTTAGTGACTAGTGTATAAACAAAACAAAACTCTTTTTGTCTAAATCATTTCATAATTGTGGACTGTAGAAGACATTTTGTAAATATTTTTAATACATGAACTATATGATGGATATAGTAACAAAACATTTAACATTTTGTTTACTTATTTCATGCAATGAATCATGGAACAAAATCTGTATTATTGATAGTTGTTTGGTATCTCTTGTTGTAAATAACTATGAGCAATTGTGACACTATTGGATAGATATTCCTTAACATTAGATTTTGATCTGGTCTTATTTTCTAGATCATTTTCAAGCAATGATAAAACTAATGTTGGACACTTTTGTAACTTTGTAAATAGTGATGACAAATGAATTTCTTGCAAATATAGAAACAAAATATATTGAAAAAAATGCTTTTATTCTACTGGGCATGATAACCATGTGCCCATTGTAACTTGTTATTTCTTTCCTAGCAAACTCTAAGATTGGAAACAACGTTTTTATATCTTGTACATAGCTATGAAATTTGAGTGTAATTATTATTGATGTTAATATCTATAAAACTGGAATGGACATTTGACTTTAGTTCTAGATATGTCAATAACCTGATACAAAGTGTTAAACGGTTTGTAAATGTTAATGTAAATGTACAATGTCATATAAGGATAGTGACAGATGTATCAATGCTGACTGATCACTTGTAAATGAGCATGCACACAACCAAAGAATGCACAATACCATTTAGTTCAGTGACTGGTGTTTCTATACAAAACTCTGTCTGTGACTAAATCATTTAATAAGCATGGACTGTTGAAGACATTTGTAAATATTTGTGGTACATGAACCATATGATAAATACAGAAACAAAACATTTAACATTTTGTTAACCCATTTTGTCAAAGAACCATGTCACAAAATGTGAATGACATATAGTAGGTTGGTATCTTATGTTGTAAATAGCTATGAACATTGTGTTAAACTATCAGGTAGATATCACAGAATGTTGGACAGTTTTATAAATTGTGTAAATAGTTTTGGTAAATGAATTTAATGACAAATATGGCAACAACATAGGAAAATAATGCTTTTATTCTACTAGACATGATAACCATGTGTCCACTGTATCTTGTTATTACTTACATAACAAATTCTGTAATTGGAAACAATATTGTTTTCATATCTTGTACATAGTCATGAAATGTGTGTGTAAATATTATATATGTTAATATCAATAAAACTTGAATGGTTATTTGGCTTTAGTTCTGGATGTGTCAATAACCTGATTCAGATTGTTAAACAAGTTTATAAAAACATTCAAAAATAAATAATAATGTCATATCAAGGTAGTTACTGATGTATCAAAGCTGACAGATCACTTATAAATAAGCATGCACACAACCAAAGATTGGAATATGTGACTGAATCAGTCCATGATCCTAGACAATACAGACTATATGTCCAAGCTGTTTATTGCCTCCTTTTGTGAACCATTTACCAAAACGTGAATGGTGAATAGCAGGTTGTTATGTCATGTTGTAAATAAGTGTAAAGCTTTGTGTTGGATTAACATGTAGACATAAACATATTTTAAACTTTGATTGTATTTTATTCTAGATTGTGTTAAAGCTTTGATAAAAGGTATGTTGGAACGTTTTGTAAATATTTGTAGTACATGAACAATAAGACAAAAATAGAACAAAACATTTAAAACAATTGTATACTTATTTCTTGTTTTGAAACATGAAAGAAAAATCTAACTAATAAGTAGTAGGTTATATGGCATGTCTCATATCTTATGTTGTAAATAACCAGGAACTGGATATTATGCTCAAATAGATGTTGGATCGTTTTGTAATATATCTTCAAGTATCAATATACAATACCAATTAAGTTAGTGACATGTGTATCAACAAAACTCTTTCATCAATGTAAACAGGCATGCAAATACATAAGAGGACACGACTTTGTGACTAAATAATTCATGACCATGGACTATACATTGCATTTTGTAAATATTTGTACTACATGAACTAAATCATCATTGTTTACTTATTTAATTCATTGAACTATGTAACAAAATCTGTATTATTAATAGTTGTTTGGTATATCATGTTGTAAATAACTATGAACAATTGTAACACAATCAGATAGATAGCCCTTATAATCTGGTCTTATATTCTAGATCATTTTCAAGCAATGATAACAAATACTTTCAAGTATAAATGGGCGTATGGGGAATTCTCAGGTTTGATTGCGGGTGCCCATGATTGAGCATCAATCATGCCAAGCATTGGAAACGATTTGGCCACTTGCAAATAATAACATGACATGGCCAAATCGTTGGCACTAAGTGTGTACATGATCGAGCATCGGTCATGCCCAAGCATTGGGATCAAACGCTGGCTATAGTTCTGAGCATCAGAGCACAGCGAGTGACTACACAGAACGGTACAAAATGGTGCGATAAATGAGCATACAAGTAGCCTACAAGTTGGATTTGGATTATTGAACTTTAGGGGGAACTATCCCAGCAATTTGAGGAGGATAGTAAGGCCACAATTCGAGCCAGATGTGGATAAAATAAAATACCATGACACAGCTGGCTGAGAATACCCCATAAAGCTGTCCATGTATTTAGTGACTAGTGTATAAACAAAACAAAACTCTTTTTCTCTAAATCATTTCATAATTGTGGACTGTAGAAGACATTTTGTAAATATTTTTAATACATGAACTATATGATGGATATAGTAACAAAACATTTAACATTTTGTTTACTTATTTCATGCAATGAATCATGGAACAAAATCTGTATTATTGATAGTTGTTTGGTATCTCTTGTTGTAAATAACTATGAGCAATTGTGACACTATTGGATAGATATTTCTTAACATTAGATTTTGATCTGGTCTTATTTTCTAGATCATTTTCAAGCAATGATAAAATAAATGTTGGACACTTTTGTAACTTTGTAAATAGTGATGACAAATGAATTTCTTGCAAATATAGAAACAAAATATATTGAAAAAAATGCTTTTATTCTACTGGGCATGATAACCATGTGCCCATTGTAACTTGTTATTTCTTTCCTAGCAAACTCTAAGATTGGAAACAACGTTTTTATATCTTGTACATAGCTATGAAATTTGAGTGTAATTATTATTGATGTTAATATCTATAAAACTGGAATGGACATTTGACTTTAGTTCTAGATATGTCAATAACCTGATACAAAGTGTTAAACGGTTTGTAAATGTTAATGCAAATCTACAATGTCTTTTTTGGACAAATGTAAACAGGCATGCAAATACATAAGAGGACACGACTTTGTGACAAAATAATTTCATGACCATGGACTATACATTGCATTTTGTAAATATTTGTACTACATGAACTGTATCATTATTGTTTACTTATTTCATTCATTGAACTATATAACAAAATCTGTATTATTAATAGTTGTTTGCTTTATCATGTTGTAAATAATTATGAACAATTGTAACACAATCGAATAGATATCCCTTATAATCTGGTCTTATATTCTAGATCATTTTCAAGCAATGATAACACAAATATTTTCAAGTATAAATGTAAAATGTATAAATGTACAATGCCAATGCCAATGTATTTTGTGACTAGTGTATCAACAAAACAAAACTCTTTTTTGTCTAAATCATTTAATAATCATGGACTGTTTAAGACATTTTGTAAATATTTGTAATACATTAACTATAGGATAGATATAGTAACAAAACATTTAAAATTGTGTTTACTTATTTCATGCAATAAATCATTGAACAAAATCTGTATTATTAATAGTTGTTTGGTATTTCATGTTGTAAATAACTATGAACAGTTGTAACACAATCAGATAGATATCCCTCAACATTATATTTTGATCTTGTCTCATATTCTAGATCATTTTCAAGCAATGATAACACAAATATTTCAAGTATAAATGTATACTGTATAAATGTATACTGTCCATGTATTTAGTGACTAGTGTATCAACAAAACAAAACTCTTTTTTTGTCTAAATCATTTCATAATCATGGACTGTTTAAGACATTTTGTAAATATTTGTAATACATGAACTATATGATGGATATAGTAACAAAACATTTAACATTTTGTTTACTTATTTCATGCAATGAATCATGGAACAAAATCTGTATTATTGATAGTTGTTTGGTATCTCTTGTTGTAAATAACTATGAGCAATTGTGACACTATTGGATAGATATTCCTTAACATTAGATTTTGATCTGGTCTTATTTTCTAGATCATTTTCAAGCAATGATAAAACAAATGTTGGACACTTTTGTAACTTTGTAAATAGTGATGACAAATGAATTTCTTGCAAATATAGAAACAAAATATATTGAAAAAAATGCTTTTATTCTACTGGGCATGATAACCATGTGCCCATTGTAACTTGTTATTTCTTTCCTAGCAAACTCTAAGATTGGAAACAACGTTTTTATATCTTGTACATAGCTATGAAATTTGAGTGTAATTATTATTGATGTTAATATCTATAAAACTGGAATGGACATTTGACTTTAGTTCTAGATATGTCAATAACCTGATACAAAGTGTTAAACGGTTTGTAAATGTTAATGTAAATGTACAATGTCATATAAGGATAGTGACAGATGTATCAATGCTGACTGATCACTTGTAAATGAGCATGCACACAACCAAAGAATGCACAATACCATTTAGTTCAGTGACTGGTGTATCAATACAAAACTCTGTCTGTGACTAAATCATTTTATAAGCATGGACTGTTGAAGACATTTGTAAATATTTGTGGTACATGAACTATAGGATAAATACAGTGACAAAACATTTGACATTTTTTTTCAAAGAACCTTGTCTCAAAATGTGAATGATATATAGTAGATTGGTATCTTATGTTGTAGATAGCTATGAACATTGTGCTAAACTATCGGGTAGATATCATAAAATGTTAGAACTTGATGTCTTTTATTCTGGATCTTTTTCATACAATGATAAACAAATGTTAAAAAGTTTTGTAAATTGTGTAAATAGTTTTGGGAAATGAATATAATGACAAATATGGTAACAACATTAAAAAATAATACTTATGTTCTACTAGACATGATAACCATGTGTCCACTGTATCTTGTTATTACTTACATAACAAATTCTGAAATTGGAAACAATATTGTTGTACATAATCATGAAATGTGAGTGTAAATATTATTTATGTTGTAAATAACTATGAACATCATATTATGAAAGTTGATGTTGATTTTATTACATTCTTTTAAGATGTTGGAGATAAGCTATTAGTAAGAAATGATGAAGTGTATACATTCTGTGCACATAGTTTCTGTTTCATTGAAGAATGGTTTTCATTTTGTAAGGATCTAGTGTGCTGTGTATGTATTCAGTTATAGTTTTCTTTGGTGTTAATTGCCCATGACCTCATCAAAATGACCAATGCTATAGAACTTGTCAGATTACTTGTACTTGTGTATGAAATGCTTGTTCTTGGGATATGCAGTATGTCCTGAAACTGACTGTATACAAGAATATTTGAAATGAACATGACTTGTCAGCCTCAATATTTCATGGCTAGACAGGGGCATATGTGGCCCAGTCGTCTAAGGCGTTGCAATTCGCTGTGCAGAGTTACGACCCTTGGGCACGCCAGAAACCTATGATTGTGGGTTCGAATCCCAGTTCACCCCGATTATGTTTCTAGGTTTGTATGCACCTTACCCGTGCTCTTCGGTTTCACCGAATTGGTAAACGTCTGAGACCTGCATCACTCCGGGATTTCCTCCCACATTATGCTGACACGCCGTGATATAACTGGAATACTGTTAAAAGTGGCGTTAAACCCAAATCACTCGCTCGGTACATATGTTGAATAATAATAATAATAATAGTAATTGATGACATAGGACCAACGTGTCAGTGATATGATTTCTGCTTGATTACGATTTAGTAATTACATGCGTTTGAAAAAGGTTCCAAAATCAATAAGACAATGTGTTGTAATTAACATTGTCTTGTTAGTTTAAAAGGACCGTGCTTTAGATGTCATTTTGTGTCAATCATTTTTCATTAATCTATATTTTGTGCCACAAACAACATGAAATGTATTACATTGCAGGAAGTTTTATTACATACAGATATTTACATAAACATTTGGCTCAACATGGGGGCTGCCTCGGTTGCCTAAGAGACCCTGAGGTCGAAGTGACCCGGGTTGACGCCCTGGGGTCATGGAGACCCGGGTAAGATGACAATGTCCTGGGGTCTTATGGACCCGGACTGTGTAGCTGTGAGAGGGATATGCCGGTCCTGGGGTCCGATGACCCGGACGATCCCTAGAGTTAAGCTAGTACTGGTCGTGCTGAGCGTAAGTTCTTTGGGGGCCACAAGCCTTCCATGCTCTGAGTATGGAGTGGCTTATGACGCCCAAATGAGGTTAGCAACCGAGAGCCCCCAAAGAATCTATATTTATTAATTAAACAGTCATAACATTACCAGCTATGTTATCCCATTTCCTCTTTATGAGGATGTCGTTATTTATGAATATTTCTGAATTATGTTGTACATTGAACCAAATATCCAAAGTAGATAAATTGGAACGTGACAGTATCTCCAAGAAACACCTATTTCGATTGTAATTGTATTTACCTGTTATGTTTTTGCAAAGGGTGGTCGTCAAGTGAACATATCTCTTGAAATCACTGGTAATGGCATGCAGATTGTGGAAAATATCAATAACAGTTCTTAATTAATACAAGCATAACAACCTTTCTGTTTTGCTATAATTCGAGATGAATGCAAAACTGCTGGTGCCATGGATATTGAAAGGAAAGCTACTCTAAATATCTGCTGCAATTTAACAAAGCGACATCTATTTCTTAGTTGTTTCTTTTGTGTTTTGAAGGTGTTTTTGCTGTTTTGATGAAAGTTGTATACAACTTATGACCTTTAGCATATGTGCATAATGTCGCTAGTGCTTGTGTTGTAGTCTGTTAGTTCATCTGGCTCAAACTGAGAAATCATCTACATCCATTATCTTTCCTCATTTTTATCATGAATCACTTCTTGGTCTCGATTGAGCTGAATCCTCATCCATGTAGGGGATGCCATTTTCATGGAATCAAATTCAAAAAGTTTACTTTGGAAGCTATCTTTGATTTTCTGAAATGTAATATTCCCAAGAACTCAAAATCCCAGTTGTCTTAAAATGTTACAGGTGGAATGATGAGCAAAGATAGTAATTTTATTTGTTCAACCATGGCAATTGGGAAACAAATCATTTATTGCAAAATGTGTGTAAAATTACTTGTTTGGCTAATATCTGGACTCATCCGACATTTCTTGTATCCACCAAGTAAAAATTCCTTAAATCGAAGTGTTGAAATTTGTTCCTGCTCCCTTTGAAATCAAAAAACTCTTTTACATATAAAATATTAATGAACTTGTATGTAATCGAGGTCCATTGTCACCCAAAAGGCCGAATAGTTAATGAAATGGATTCAAATGTCCTTTAAACAAATTGTGGAAACTGTTGTAAAAGTGAAACTTAGTGTCAGTGTCCATGCTTTGTCATTTTCCTAGTTTCTAAATAGATACACATGTAGTCAGAAATCAAGACAAATTTCTTGAATGTGTTTTCAAGCACTTGTGATTCTTAAAGACATGAACTCCGTGCCATAGCCCACCTATAGAGGCCTGTGTGTTAACATGACGTCCTGAATGTGCACAGATATCAAGGAGACCAGCAATATATGTAGCACATCAGGTGAGCTACATGACCTTTGTCTATTTTTTACACTTAAAAGTAATTTCTTCAATAAGTGAATAATGTTATATAACTCAGCATACCATTTACTTTAGCTTTATTTTTAGCTCAGCTGACTGAAAGTCTTGTGGGCTTATATCATGGCTTTCTTGTACCATGTCCTCAGCATTGCTGTCTGTAACAACATTGAAAACAGATGTATGGCTACAGCTCTGCTCAAAATGTACTGTAATGCTGTTAAATTATCTGAAAATGCATTTTTGACTCTGTAAACATCTTCTCAAATTGCCAGACTGATTAAGGTGTACTTTGGCATGTGTGTTTCTCCTTATGATGACATTTTATATAATTCAATCATTTGGATCAGGAAATACCATATTCTCCTTAGAAACTGTCTGTAAATGTAATGGTTTTTCATTGCAGCAATGTTCTAAAATAGCAGTCATTCTTACCTTATGTTTAGTTGATCACTTGTTTCATAGTTGTTAGTGATTTTGTCCTCCTTATCTATGCAGAAAATATCTGAATAGCAATACTGGCAGGAACTTTTGTTAATTTGTTGAGTGTCTGTCTTAATGGCAGATTAAACTGTTGACTATATATCCATGTGAGCTACAGTGCTCTGGCACTGTTTTTAAAACATCTATGAGCTTGTAAAGACAATTTTGTCATGATTGGGGTATTGTTAGTCTGAAGTGATTCCAAAATGAATATATATTTATCTTGATTAGAAGACACCATCTCATCATTCTGTTAAATATAAACATCCTTAGTTTTATGACAAAAGGGAAAAAAGTAATCCCGGTTTACCCTGAAGTAAAAGAGGAACTAAATTGGCTTCAAAATGGACTCTTAAGCTAACCTTTTAATAATCCCAGCTCAGGACTTTCATTTAATCTGGTTGGTGTTTAGCACATGCAAATTAGATGTTATGCTTTAAGTTGTTTTTTATCCATCACGCAATGTATCTTTTCATTTGCACGTTTTTTATGTACATACTTCCCAAGACAAGTTTCTGTGTTTTTATTGTGGATGTTTGTTTGCAACATGCTACACATGATTAATTAATAACTTTATTATTTAATCAGTTAAATATTTACGACTCATAAATATTAATGTTCCGGTAATCACTTTTACCAAAACAACTTTATTTTGTTTCATTTTGTGCAAAATATTTTGAAAATGCAAACAGATTGAGGAGCTTAATAATGCAGAAACACTCTCATGAAAATTATAGCCAAATGGATCTCCCTACCCAAAGATTTCATAACATGCTATGGCCTCACAGATTTTGTTGACTATTCTATTCTGAACACCATTCAAGCGTGTATAGTTTCCATATTGATTTAAAATGTCATTCAATTTATTTTGAAAGTTTTTAGTAAGCAATATTTCCGGTTTATTTCTGCTAGTTATATTCTGAATAGTTCAAAGTGTCCAAAATGTTAGAGACATTTTATCAATTTTATGTAATCAATAAATGGCTTAATATGTCCAAATTACGTACCTGTCTTTCTGCCTGCACCACTTTTATTCAATGTGGTTTCAGTATAGGATCTCATCTTTTGTTCTTCTGTTTGTCAAGGAACACGGGTCTCATAGAAATGAAATCAGTAAGCCTATGTCAACTCACCTGTTATCCATGCAACACTCCTAATGGAGAATGCATGCTCCTGTTTAGTAACTATTAAACTAATAAAAACATACGTCCTACACTGAACAGACTCTATATTGCTGCAATTAAACAACACTGAAATTACAAATATAATTGGCAGAACGTTATATACAAAACGTATAAGGTGTGGCTTCAAATAATTATGATATGTACATCTACTACTGTTCTACAAAAAGAATGTCTATGTCCTGGAAAAGGAAATGTTTTGGAAAATAAAATGTACATCTTGAAGCAGTAATTGAAATAATATCCTGTCTCTAACAAAAATGGTTGGTCCCCAAGTAAAGAGTTTAAAAGATGTTCACAACTTGCAGGCGGTCACACCGTAGTTCAGTCACACTGATGTTACATTGATTTTGAACATTTGACACATTGAAGTTCTTGTGTCAAGAGTTGATATTAATAACACAAGACTTAGTGTTTCAGTTTCATTATACCATTTCTGTGGTAAAAAAGTCATAATTTAAACTTGTCTAAAGAGCACTTATTGTTTTGAAGATAATAAACTAAACAGAATTTTGCTGTGTTCCAACATGAAGAAAAGCACATACCCATGATGAACTTGTTTTCTTTGTGTATATATTTCACACATTTGTTTTTGCAGAACTTCCTATGCTGTGGTATTTACTCTCTTAGTATATTCACTTGATGCCTGTTAGCTTGATTTATTGTCAATGTAATAAACTTTACACCAACATACACATGCCATTGAGTTTTCTTTCATTTCCCTGATTTTATAATATCTTAAATCTCTACGCAGTAATCAAGGCATAAATGGAGCGGGGTCCAATGTCACACAATGTCCATGCTCATGGGTGTAGATATGGCACAATGCAAATATGTACACTGACTAATGTATTTTTTTTCTTTTAACACAAACAATGATGTATTAATTCAAAGTAATGCATCCTTTAAAATGCAGAATTTAATTCATTGCAAAGGTCTTATTACCCAGGTAGTAAATGATGGTTTGATAGAACTATCACCTAATCAACACTTCAAAATATATGACGAAAAAGAAGTTTTATTATATTTCATTATGCTAATGACATGAGAAAATAATTAAAAAAATAACCCACATTTACTTCCTTGTTTGTTGTTTAAACGTTGCACTCAGCAATATTCCAGCTGTATGACGACGGTCTGCAAATAATTGAGTCTGGACCAGACAATCCAGTGATTGACATCGTGAGCAATTAGGATACGATGACATGCATCAACCAAGTCAGCAAGCCTGACCACCCGATCCTGTTAGTCGCCTCTTTCAACAAGCATGGGTTTCTGAAGTCCAATTCTACCCCAGATCTTCACGGGACTAACCCACATTTAAGCAGGGTATGTACTTGTACCATATGGTAGTACTTGGTAACCTTGATCCCAATGTTCTGTCCACATATTGAACACAGACGTCAGATCACCTAGTATTTCTCATGGCAACCCAAATACCTACTGTTCCACTGCACTCCATCAAGGTCAGGAGGTACCAGGACATGGTGTTGGAAATAAATGGAGGATATTATCTGAGTGTTCATGTCATACTATGTTTATGACACGAGTGTCTTAATACTGGAATTTAGGCCCGTGGTAAACTTAGCATGATATGAACATGATTATGATGCTCTATTTATTACCAAAGAAGATGTCCACATAATACAAATTTTAGTGTTTACCTATAAGGACTGCAAGTCGCAACAGCAGTGGAACCACAATTTGTCGAATGACGTCAATAATCTTCAGCTGTTTGAACCTGACGTCACAATGATAACGGAAACAATACACGGTTGTCTCGTGACGTGATATGACCCTAGGCACATACATTTTTATGAATCCCGACATGTTTGCCCTCGGAGGTAATAAAACACAATAAGCTACAACCACCAACCACCAACCACCAACCACCACCATATGTGGGATATAGTGAGAAAGGCACTGTATACAAAAAATGTGGACAGTTGTGCATGGAATATTTTATTCACAAATGCTGCACAATGTTTACAACTTTACATACACAGACATAACTTGCAGTAACCTGAATGTGATTCAGTTCTCATCTCTGGTACAGCAACATCTGTATGGGTGAAGCATCAAAACAGTTTGTCTATACTGCAGGATGAATAGGTATACAGTCAAACACCGTTGTGTCGATGTTGAAGGGACCTACATAAATACTTCAAGTTATCCGAGGTTCGACACAACTGAAAATGATGAATAATGCCTCAGTCACATGTGCTCTACGGCTAGGATACGGCGTTTGAAGCCCCGAAAATCGAGGGATTACTTGCGGCGTCTGAAGAGAATCTGCGGTGGCCTCAGGGTCGCCCTAGGGAGTATCCCTATCTTTTACAGGCCGTATAGGTCGCCGTGGGAATATAGCGCGGATTTATAACTTTTTTAATTTCTACGTTCGCCGTAGCAATTAGACACGCCGTAGCCATGCCATAGAGCGGTTCCACGGCTGCCCCAAGGTGACCGCTCATCATCACTTCAAAGGCCGTACGGCAGCCTCAGTTTTTCTGTCTCCACAAATTAAAAATACGGCTTAAGAAAGAATACGCAGGGACCAAATATTTACTTCAAGGCAACTACAAGTTTGACACATCAAAGTTCGACACAACGGTGTTTGACTGTATATGTTTAATGGTAAGTCAAAACTAAACCAACAAACAAAACAAGTTTATGACGTTGAACATTATCTTCTTCCGGAATTTTACAAAACCTAAATCTGATTCAGACCTCTCCAACCAGCCTCATGTACCTCATGGACATTTGAGACTTGTCAAACAGTCTGATGAGAGCCCTCCAGCTCGAACCTAGTCACCAATACTTGAGGTTACTCTTCAGTTTTAGCCAAACTCCTCTTCTTATCTAACAAATCTACAGTCATTAGGGTTGTTAAAAGTACTCAATCGCAACAGGTTTTCATACTTCTGAACCTCCATTCAATCCGTCATTCAAGGACACTTCATGTTACTGACTGACCCACAACCAAACTGTCAGTATGCTTGATGTATACCACATATTACTTACAGTGTAAACATGATGACTGAACTCAGGGACTGACTGAACATCTTGAAGTTTTAACAACTCTCGAACTCTATTTTTGTTTTTTCATCTTCTGATTTTTAAATGTTCTCCTCTTACTCTTCTCTTCCCTTCTGTGTTTCTGGAAATTCTGGATTTTACTTTTTTGTTTTCTATTCTTGACTATTTGATCCATTGACTTCAGTTCCTTAAACTGTTTCTTCTTCTTTGGTCCTGAAGCTTCTTCTGATCCCTTGGTGTGCCCTGCAATAACAGCAGTGATGTTGAGTCAACACACCACCCACACAATGCAGATAACGAAAAGGAAGAACATAGTACATGTATATGTTTAACACAAGATTTAGCATATTTCGGCTGTTACAGCGACCTGGAGATTATAGAGTATGGGCCAGGCTGACAGTCATTGATAGCATGTGCCGCAATCAACGTTGTCAGGTCATGACAATCAATCGATCAGATAGGTGACACTTAGTAACCACCAGAACCTCATTAGTCAGCTGTAGTATGACAAGAATGAGTATGGTTTTATGCCGCTTTTAGCAATATTCCAGCAATATCATGGCGGGGACACCAGAAATGTGTATGATAAGAACAAGATACCGGGAATCTATCAGACCTAGAAATCTGAAACCCAGAAATCAGTAAAATCTGAACATTTTCTTAACAGACACTTATTCTTTTTTCATATCAAACAATGTCTGTGGCATGCTCTACCTGTGAGAAAGATAATGGGTACCCAAAGTGTTAGGCAACCCAAACTAGCACTAAGAAAAGAGAGTTGTGCGCCTGTAGCTTGTGTGTTGTACGCCATGAACTCACATAGTCGTCCCTTGGAGCCCATTACCACCAGCCGACCTGGTCCAAATGACCTTGACTTTTGACCTTCATCATCACTGTCGCCTGGGTTGGAGTCAATCTTGTGTCGGTCTCGCCAGTCACGGTAAGTGAAAACATTAAGAAAAATAATGGAATGGAAAAACTGTTCATTGATGTGTTTGTTGTTTAATGTAGCATTCAGCAATATTTCAGTTTTGTGACTGAACCCTGCAACTTATCAAGTCTGGACCAGACAAACCAGTGATTGACACTGTAAGCAACGATCCACAATGGCACAGTAAGATGACAAGATATCAGCCACATCGCTGAGCTTATCCATTTAGTCTCCTCCTGCAAGTGTAGCTTGCTTAGATCCTAGCCTGCAATCCCCACTAGTATCTGTGAGTGTATATATCTTACAGACAATGTGTAAAATCAGTCAGTGTATAAAACAACTGAAATTATCACTTACACAATTGACAAAACGCCAAAAATGTTTTACAATTATTTTTCTTTTAATCATACAATGATGAATTCCAAACATTTTTAAGCTCTATTTAATCACCAAGTGACAGAAAATGATAGGATTAAAAGAAAATGAAGGTCAATGTATATTTTAAAACATTTTTGGCTTCTAATCCTAGCATAATAAGTCCACTGTGATGTTTTGAGGACCTTTTAAACTTCTCAATAACTTTTAGTCAATCTGACAGCAAAATAATTGTAAAATATTTTGGCATTTCGTAGTGAGTGAGTGAGTTTGATTTTACGCCGCTTTTAGCAATTTTCCAGCAATATTACGGCGGGGGACACCAGAAATGGGTTTCACACATTGTACCCGTATCAGGAATCGAACCCGGCTTCGGCTTATGAGCGAACGCTTTAACCACCAGGCTACCCGACCGCCCCTGGCATTTTTGTAAATTGCATAAGTAAAGATTTCAGTCATTTTACATTGACTGTAACATATATGAAGTGGAATGGCCAAGTATATATTTAACATGTTTAATAGCTTGTGTTGCTAGAGTAGGACTTGTTTGATGTTCAATGCCGCACTCAGCAATATTCCAGCTTTATGAAGGCGGATAGTGAAATCTTGACCAGACAAACCATTGATTGATATGAACAATGTCCCACATCATCAGGAGAAGATAACTCCCAGTCACCATGCCTGACTTCCTGATTCAATAGGTCACCTCGTCATTAGCATGGTTGAGTGTGGAGCAACTCACACCCGGAATACCACAGGGAGCCAGGGTAGGAAAGCAAAGGATATGCATTAGACTTGTAGGAGGCCGAGATCCAGGTGCCGCTCTCCGTCTTTATCTTCTTCTTCTTTGGGTCCTGTTCTTCCCGGATAAACTTCTTCTTCTTTCTGTCCCTTTTGACAAAAAGTCATTAATACAGCTTCATGGACATAAATCTCAAAGATTTCAGCTGGATGTTTGAAGTAAAACAAGGGATGCACACATATATGCCAAACCAGTGAATCAGATGGGTTTAGGGACCAGTTAAACAGTTCAACGTTGTGGAATGACCAAATGTATATAACAACAATGCCTGGCAAATACTGTTGCGATACTGTTTACATTACCAGTGGTGCTAAGAGCTTGCAGGAAGAGTAAAGTGCTTTTTCTCTCAACTTGCCCTGACAGTGATAACAATATCATGGTAAAATAGGTTCGTGAAACAGGATCAGAGTTTTTGCTTAGTTTAGTTATTTCATAAAACATTGAGAAACAAGTATTTGTCACAGAGTGACGAAATATCCCCCGCCTGTACACCATAGTACCAAATATGAAGACAATCCAGCGATTAGTTCTTGAGATATTGTGGCAACACCGTTTTCCAACTCCAAAAACAGATTTGCCTGCTGTGACCTTGAAAATGGGGTCAAGGTCACCAAATCTGACAGGTGTATGCGGTGTCTGTATATACACTATAGTTCCAAATTAGAAGACAATCCAGCGATTAGTTCTTGAGATATCGTGGCAACACCGTTTTCTAACTCCAAAAGCAGATTTGCCTGCTGTGACCTTGACAATGGGGTCAAGGTCACCAAAACCGACTGGTGTCTGCGGTGTCTGTATATACACCATAGTTCCAAATATGAAGACAATCCAGTGTTTAGTTCGTGAGATATCGCGGCAACACCGTTTTCTAACTCCAAAAGCAGATTTGCCTGCTGTGACCTTGACAATGGGGTCAAGGTCACCAAAACCGACTGGTGTCTGCGGTGTCTGTATATACACCATAGTTCCAAATATGAAGACAATCCAGTGTTTAGTTCTTGAGATATCGCGGCAACACCGTTTTCTAACTCCAAAAGCAGATTTGCCTGCTGTGACCTTGAAAATGGGATCAAGGTCACCAAAACCGACTGGTGTCTGCGGAGTCTGTATATACACCATAGTTCCAAATATGAAGACAATCCAGTGTTTAGTTCTTGAGATATCGCGGCAACAAACAGGTGGGACGTACGGACGTACGTACGGACGTACGTACGGACGGTCGTGAATACTATATCCCCCGCTTCGCGCTTTCGCGCGGCGGGGGATAATCAGGCAAGTTGATTTTGTCCGCAGGAAAACTTGAAGGACCCATACCTGCCTACATCTAAACTTAAAGAATGAAAGATTTATATCTGACATCAAACTTTTGAACTGGTCCCTTAAGTAAACTTTCACAGTTACCAAGAATTAATTGCTCTTTTATGTAATCATGGTAATGAACCTAATAAACGTTGGATAAACAAATATTTAGGATCATTAGGCTACAATACAATAATTATTAGATTTTCATCCAAATTTGTCAAATACGTGAGGTGGCAGGCACTTCATTTCATGTTTGTGTCTTTTAAAACAAGATCCACTATTAAAGGATGTCTTCAGATGGTAAGTGAGGTGAGGTGAAATGGGGTTTAACGTCGCGTCCAAGATTATTGCACTTATATAGCGACGTGCATGTACGTGTGTGTGTTTGTGTGGCTGCTTGTACTAGTCCGGACTGATGCCGATTTATAGTGCTAGCTCACTGAGATACCATGCCGCAGTTTAACATGAATACCCCACTCAGACACAGTATACTGACTCCGAGCCGACCAGTCCTTGTTTTAGCCCCTTAATGCCGAGCGCCAGACAGGGTAACAACAAGTACCATCTTTTAACGTCTTTAGGTATGACGCGGTCGGGGATCGAACCCCGGACCTTCCGCTCTCCGGGCGGACGCTCTACCTCTAGACCACGGAGGCGCTCTCAGATGGTAGGACTATGTATGGTATATTTTATCAAGTAAAGGGAGACAGGGACAGGTAGCCAGTTTCAACTGTAGGTACTTAGGGCCAATAAGATGAAAAGAAGTGGGATCTTTTAGTGAGTGAGTGAGTGAGTTGGCTGTGACGCCACTTTTAACAGTATTCCAGTTATATCACGGCATGTCAGCATAATGTGGGAGGAAAGCTCAAAGTGATGCAGGTCTCAGACGTTTACAACTTTGGTGAAACCCACGAGCACGGGTATGGTGCTGACAAACCTAGAAACATAATCGGGGCGAACCAGGATTCGAACCTACAATCATAGGTTTCTGGCGTCCCCAAGGGACGCAACTATGCACAGCGAATCGTGGCACCTTAGACGACCCCGGATATTTTAGTGGCGAGGTGAGACACAAAATGTAAAGATTCATTAGGTATGGATGTAGAATTAGTCTGTTATATCCACCAACATTACTAAGCATGGTGTGGGACAAGAGTGAACTTTGGTTCATCCAGTGTTTCACTACAAAAGTCTTTGTGATGTAAAGTTAACTGAAGGGAGACAACTCACCATTTGAGCTGATTGTTTTTCTTCTTGATCCCGGTGTCGTCATCGCCGGTGAGATCCAGAACAGCACTGGAGGCCTGCTGCTCAAATGTACTGCTGACACTCAGGCTGAAAGAAACACTCAGTAACATAACCAGTTGCAGAGAATGTGTACACGAGACTTGAGAAAGGTTCTAGAGACTGACTCGTGGAACCTCATTCAGTAATTGTAATGGCCTTTCCACATGGGATCAGACGTAACTTTACAGGATCTAAACACTGTCAAGTTCATAAAGGAATTAAATTAATACCCGAGTGTGATTTGGTATCATAAATATCATATTTTAGGAAAACAAATTGTATTATGTGTGTCTTTGGCGATATTTCTTTATATCTATATTTCATCTTTAAGGTTTGAAAAAAATAAGCCTTGGTTAAATACCAGTATTTTACTCATCAAGGAATACATTTATGAGGCCCTTTCCCAGGTTGATTGTACACAATTGTTTATTGGTTTATTGGTTACATAGTTTGAACAACAACCCCCCCCCCCCCCCCCCCCCCCGCCAAAAAACAAAACACACCGCCCGCCCGCACTGCCTGAGGACCAATTCTTTTATTTTTTTAAGCCTGAACTTCAGAAACACACATCATCTATATATCATATAATATCATTGTTTCAATTATTAATGTCACTAAGTGATGTACGGGTAGTAGATGAATAATGTTTGATATGTTTGAGTGAACTGTTCCATTTATCATATGAGCTATGTTAATCTACATTCTACCATGAATTTGGAATTTACTCGATTCTGATTGGTCAATCAGAGGCTATTAATCACAATAAACCCCCTCTGATTGAAACAGCTGGTTTGATGGCCGCTTCACCGCGGAAGCTAATATTCGTAGAATGGTACTATTTTCAGTCATTGTCGGTAGGCGTATTTAAATAATTATATCTGCAATTACAGGTTACAAAATGCACAGATGCGGTTAATACAATATACAAAGGAAAACACGACAGAAATCAACAAAGGGAATGTATTTACGTTTTGGAGACAACAGAGAGCTTGGAATTTTGGTGCTTTTCTATATATGACTGTGACGCCATATCTTTTGCGTCACAATGAGCGGCATGACGTCATAATGGTGACGTTCGATGTAGAGCGAAAGCCTTGCAAAGCTTGCTTTGTTTTCTTTACGGATGCCCACCTCATGTTTGCTTACCAAGTTGCCGTGCTTATATGCTTCCAATGCCTGTCATATGTTCGACTGAAGTATTACGGTATAAACAAACTGCTTGAGGATATACAGCACCATATTTTTTTTCGGTGATTCCAAAATTCAGATCGATAACGCACTCAAAACACTGAACTCAACCCATGACGCTTCACTCAGTATATTTGCTAACACCAAAGAGTTCGCATTTTATTTATTCATGGGCTTTATTTAGCTGCGCGTTCGGTTCCAAATTCAATTTAGCGGGGTTAAATCTACAGGTAACCTAGCTCTACATTGAAAACACAGTATGTTTATCTCCTAATTATCAACCACACATCGGAAAACCTCTACCTAAAGTTCTTGGAAATGGAAGTCAACACTTTATCGAGCAGGGAGACATTTAATGGATGTATGGAGACTAAAAGTAGTTCTTGTTTGGTGACCATATTTGCATATTTATCAGGTCATGATATCAAGCTTACAGGATTGGCTTAGTGTAGAACACTATCCATTAAATGTATATGATAACACTATCCATTAAATGTATATAACACTACATGTATATGATAACACTATCCATTGCATGTAAATGATAACACTATCCATTACATGTATATGATAACACTATCCATTGCATGTAAATGATAACACTATCCATTAAATGTATATAACACTACATGTATATGATAACACTATCCATTGCATGTAAATGATAACACTATCCATTACATGTATATGATAACACTATCCATTGCATGTAAATGATAACACTATCCATTACATGTATATAACACCATCCATTGCATGTATATGATAACACTATCCATTGCATGTATATGATAACACTGTCCATTACATGTATATGATAACACTGTCCATTAAATGTATATGATAACATTATCCATTGCATGAAAATGATAACACTATCCATTACAGGTATATGATAACTGTCCATTAAATGTATATGATAACACTGTCTTCATGCACAGTCTGTATATCTCAATGACAACAGACCTTTCCAGCAACATTCATTCCCCTTCATATGGTTACTTATTAAAACATTTTATTTTTTTAAAGCCACTGGTAGCTAATCCAACTGTAGTTGTGACTGACCCTTTCTCGCTCTGGTAGTCAGCAGGGCGGTAGTGGAGATAGTTCTCTTCATCTTTGATGTCTACGTGTTTCCGTTTCTTCCCTTTCCTCCTCTGGGATGTATCCCTGCCGGAGTGATGTTTGCTGGGTGCTATCACAGTGCTGAACACGTTCTGAAGACAGAGGAATGACATTTCTACATCGACAGCTGACCACGAAGGAGCTACATACAGTAAACTTTGACATCAAGTTGAACTTCGTTTATGAAAGAGTTGGATCTCATGACAAGCCAAAAGTAAGAATTCAAACTAAAATATTATTAGGAAATTTGAACAATAAATATAAGCTACCGGAATGCAAGAGTGAGTGAGTAAAATGAGTCATCAGAAAGACGACATATCCCCCCGGCAGCTGTCTGTAAAGTAACCACTAGTAAATGTGCAATTCTCTATGTAATGAGTCAACAGTTGAATGTTCTTTAAGAAGCATACAATGTTTACCCACTGAATGGTTTTCGAATTCTGGCCCGGAAATGAACCCGTTCTCCAATGGAGTCTAGGTCCAACTTCCTTCCATAAAAATTGTAAAAAATAAAAATTCGTAAAAAAAATAATATCAAAAGGCACCACTTCAGTATGTGCCTGATAGCTTTGCCAAGTTTCGATCAAATACACTAAATGGTTTTCGAATTCTGCCCCGGAAACAAACCCCATCCCCAATTGAGTCTATGTCCAACTTCATTCCATAAAATTTAAAAAAAATATAAATTAGAAAAATCCCAATATATCAAAAAGCACTACTTCAGTATGTGCCTGATAGCTTTGCCAAGTTTCGATCAAATACACTGAATGGTTTTCGAATTCTGCCCCGGAAACGAACCCCATCCCCAATTGAGTCTATGTCCAACTTCATTCCATAAAAATTTAAAAAAATAAAAATTAGAAAAATCCCAAAATATCAAAAGGCACCACTTCAGTATGTGCCTGATAGATTTGCCAAGTTTCAATCAAATACACTGAATGGTTTTGGAATTCTGCCCCGGAAAAGGAAATGATTACGGATGGACAGACGCACGGACGGACAGACTGGCTGATCGCTATATCCCCCCGCATTATATGCTGGGGGGATAAAAATTTAACGTCACATCAGCATTATTTCAGCCATAAAGCGACAAGTCCACAATGCAAGAAAACACTCCAACAAAAGGTAAGAGTTCCACAGCTGCTGTCAAACAACTGGATAGTAGTGCCTCCGAGAGTGAGTGAGTGTGAATGAGTAACAGAGTGAGTGAGAGTCTTAATGCCACTTTGAACAGTACATCAATCGTATCAATGTCAGCAGGAAATCTGAAGTGACACCCATGGAATTCATTTAGCAATAGATCACTGGAACATATGAAGGCAGATCGAGGATTCAAACCAACAACCAGTGGATCCTGTCATGGTCAAGATACGCAACTCTGTAAAGTGAATAGTCACAGCTTAGACCACTGGGCCACCAGTGCCTCTGATACTGCAGGAGTCCTAGGAATCCAGTACACTGCAACTGACCTGCACCATGACACTCACCTGAACGTCCTCCTGATTGGCTGCCTCCTGCCCCTCCCGCTCCTCCTCCCCCTCCACGTCCGCGTCCGCGTCCCGCTTGGTGGCCTCCCTCAGTCGGCTGCTGCAGATCACCCTCTCATGCCATGTCCGCTTGTTCTTCATCACATCAAATGATGGATTCTTGTTGGTGGAATTCACCTCAAATACTGTCTGTAAATTGAATTGCTCTTGCAGTGAATATTAGGTGACTATTTCAGTGATATAGTGTGTCCGCTAAATGTGGAACATGCATTATACCGGACACCAATCCGCTATATTTGATTGATGCTAATAAAGCTGCTATTTGCCATTTGAAAAATTGGGTGAGAGAGCTAAAAATAAGCAGAAAAAATTACCCTGCTTGCATTTGTATGGTTTAATGTGATTAAACCTTGAAATTGAATATCAAAGCAATGCATAAATGTCAAAAATTGGACATCAACATCAAAGTACCCCGGTACTCAAAAATAGAAGTTCCATCATGGCTTGCAACAACCTTATCAGTGACATCCGTCGGCGCCACATTTCAGCAAACACACTGTATTTTGTATCTACTTTGCAAATTAAACATTTCTTTTACTTACCAAAGCATTTAATTCAAACTGTTGAGAAGGGGGCAAGCCCCCCCAAACCCCGTTTTATTAGCGAGGTGACAAAAATGGTGTCTGAAAAACTTATAAACCATTACTAAGGAATAAGCTTGTGCACGCTCAGCGGACCCAACTCTGTTTGGCACATTGTGGTGCTTCAGACGACTGGGCCAATCATGACATAATTGCTGTTACAACTGAAATCTGTTGGCAAGTTTGTCAGCTTATATCACATATACAATACGTATTGTACCAAGCTCAAAACAAATGTGTGAAACCAATGTTATGTCATAATCAAGATTTACTGTTTTCGATGAAATGTCTGCATTTTCAAAATTCCAAACCAACTGATGTACATGGAGTAATGTCCAGGGCCCCTTTCCACTAAGTGATCTTAGCTACGACTATCGTAAGTCAATGTTAAAGCATGGGAGTTATGATCACCTTATATTTGCAGCCCTGTACAGCAGTACTTGTTCTGAAGGCTCAGGTTTGATAGGTCCAGACAAGCAGGATTTCATTATATTGTACATCTATCATTGGAAATGTTTTGCTTAAGTAACGTGTATGATAGGGCTGCAACGGTTCACCAATACTTCGATTTTGTTTGATGCTCGATTATTTCCATTCGATTCGATTATTTTCGATTCGATTCATTAGTCTAATAATATACAATGATTCAGGTATAAGATGCATAAATAAGTAAAAAAAAGTGTATTTACTTTAACTTTTTTATTGAACAGTGCAACACTGTGCACCAACAGGACAAACTCATCACCTCAGACTGTGAGGTCAATCAGGTCATCAGGGATGATCATGTTTTTGGATAAAAACACAAGCATGTCCACATTGTCACAACATCCCCGGCTGTTGAAAAGACCCTCTCACTAGCCATACTTGAGCCCAAACCTTAGATTCTTCGTCGATATGAACGCAAGTCTTTTAATTTTTTTCGCCAACGAGGTAGGTTATTTTTGTTAATTTTAAATTTATTACAAAAATTTGAATGAACCGAATCGAAATCTAGACATTGTGGATCGAAGATCGAATCGAGACGACAAGTACCGGTTCTCAGTGCACCGAACCGAACCGTTGCAGCCCTAGTGTATGAAGAAGACGTCTGCGTCTCTATAAAGTTTTATTGAGTATGTTGACATTGATGGGGGCAAGTTACCCATCTTTGTACTTTGCAAGCTATCAATCTTGTCCTAATGTTACACCTTCAGAGCTTTCTTAACACTGGAAAAGGTCACACAATAAATGGACAAGTTGGAGCCCAAAGAAAATGTAGAAATCTGTCAGTCCTTCATCACAAGAGCCCTGAGGTTCTACTGCTGGGTGGGTGTGACAGTGTCTGTTTGTTATTTAACACTGCACTCAGCATAGTTTCTGCTATATGCTGGTGGCCTGTAAATAACTGAGTCTGGATCGGACGATCCAGTGATTGACATTATGAATAATGATCCACGCCATCAGCGTACACAATCAACAAAGTGATGACCCTGACCACCTGCTCCATCAAGTCGCCTCTTTTGACCAGCACAGATTACTGGGGGCCAGTTCTAACACGGAAATCTCAAAGGCTTCCCAATCTTGTCGCCTCTTTTGACCAGCACAGGTTACTGGGGGCCAGTTCTAACACGGAAATCTCAAAGGCTTCCCAATCTTGTCGCCTCTTTTGACCAGCACAGGTTACTGGGGGCCAGTTCTAACACGGAAATCTCAAAGGCTTCCCAATCTTGTCGCCTCTTTTGACCAGCACAGGTTACTGGGGGCCAGTTCTAACACGGAAATCTCAAAGGCTTCCCAATCTTGTCGCCTCTTTTGACCAGCACAGGTTACTGGGGGCCAGTTCTAACACGGAAATCTCAAAAGACTTCCCAATCTTGTCGCCTCTTACAACTAGCAATGGGGTACTGGGGAGACATTCTTCCCTGGGTCCCCTCAGGGTGCAACAGGAATTGATCCCCCACTGAAGGAGGGGGCAGATATTGATGACCAGGTAAATACTCACTGTGTTTGACTTGTAGCTACGGAGAGCATCCAACAGGTTCAGCCTCTCCGACTCGTCTCCTGTCTTGACATTGGCTGTGGGAGGAGAAGAGTACCCCAATATTAACACAACCTACATCTTCTTTTCTCATGCCCTGCCTAGTGTTGAACTTAGTCAAAGTTAAGAAAATACACATCTCGCACACACCTTCAAGCAGTTACAAGCACTCTTAATAAATTATGACTTTTTCTTATTTCCTTTTTGTGAAAATTCCTTATTAAATGTTTTTATTTCTGTGAAAAATCCTGGTTGATACCAGCAGGTAGGAATAAATGAAGACATTTCACATTATTTTCTTTGCTTTCAGAAATAATCTGAAACAGATTGTTTCTACCAATTTATTTTTTTAGTACAAACATTTCTTTTCTGTTCAGTGGTTTTGACTGTATTCAGTTTAAGCAGTGCTAGTGCTGTCACTGCTACAAAATGATAAACTTAGCATGTGTCCTGCACAATGTGGAAATCTGTTGCCATGTCTGTGTAAAACCGTCTCTGCAACTATGCCAGCAACATTGGATATAAGAGCACATTCACGTCAACACAGGAAGCACATACCGGTACTCACCAAAATAGGGATGAGGGCCCAGCTTCGCCCCTGACTTGTCCACGTCCTTGACTCGCTTCACGGACTCTTGGGCTGGCAGCGGTCGAGACTTCACGTAGTGCTTGTAGGCGTTCTCACTTACACGCTTCAAGTTTTGCTGAAGAGGAAGGATAATCTTAGTAAAATCTAAATATTTTTTACATTTGTATACTTATCCTGCATTACTCCTTAATGCATTCACTGCTTACTTACGACAACTAGAAGGACAGCGCTGCGAAGGTCCTGGGTGAAGAAATAAAGTTGTTGATCTCAAGTCCCAATCAGTGGCCTTCCGTCGCTGTCCTGTGACCTTGATGACACCTAAGGTCATCTTCACATCACTGCCTGTCGCCCAAGCTCTTAGAAAAACATACTTTTGAGGTTTCTGAAGCCAAAGTGGGGAGGCAAGTCTAACGACGGGTGGGCCTTAAACGTAGTAATGCAGGATAAGTATACAAATGTAAAAAATATTTAGATTTTACTAAATTTTTTACTTATCCTGCATTACTCCTTAATGCATCTGTATCGGACGGTTTGGAGGTGGGTAAACCTTCAGAATACAGAAACCTCAATAATTCACACCCTGCAATACGACACCATTTGGTCGATAAACCGTGAAGCGGAAACGTTCAGACAAAAACGCCATTACGGTAGGGTTGTTCAAAAATCAAAAAGGTTGAACATAGGAATTAAAGAGAAATTCCCTATACACGCTTAGTAATAAAGAAAATAACAGCTATTCATCTAATTCTTTACTTACTGCGTCATAGAGCCGTCGCTGACAAACAAGATTGTCTAATATTCTTCCACTGGTGGCGACTGAGTGACTGCACATGGAAGTTGACTGGCTCTGTATAGGGCGAATTCTTATTTGCGTCAGGGGTTGGCAATCTGCAAGGATAACAACCAGAGGGCCAAACTTCGAACGTCTTCGACATCCTCGAGAGCCCCAACGCGAAGGTTATGACTAACGAAAATATGTGTCGAATCTCCAGAAATATCCTTCCGTGATTATTCCAAAACCACAATTGCCGTGTTGAGCCCTGGTAAGGCTGACACCTTGAGATCTTGAGGGTAATTCGCTCTCGGCGAGTTCCGTTTGATGATCTCGTAGGCCTGAAGGATTACTGCGCGTAACCATAGAGATATGGTGTTTGCGATTATGCGACTAACTTCTGTCGTGGACGAACCACGCCTAGTCTTGGAGCGTCGAATGAATACTCGAACTGCTCGCACCGAGCCCAGGAGAACTTCACCATGTACGATTCCCACAATAGTCGATATCGGTGGGATGGTGAAGAACGGTCGGGTTGGCCTGGTAGTAGATTTTAGCAATAAAATCCCAGCATAACCCTAGATGTCCCGTTCCGTGCGTCCCATGCTCAAAACGGATCCGGGTTGAGTCGATCACCTGTAGTTCGCTCACCCGTACCGCCATTGCTAATGCCAAGAGAAACCATTGTTTCCTTGGTGATGTCCAAGCTCCTCACAGCGATAGCCCGTTCGCGGAGCTCTCTATACTATACCGAGAGTGTAACGAAGGTGTCACGCGCTGGGAAGGAGCTTGAAAATGAGGATGCAATGAGGGGCTCGAAGGGGGCCCTCGCAAACCTCGAAGTACCACGTTCAAGTCCCAATCAGGTGGCTGGAACTTGGCCGTCTGATCCTCAAACCTGAATGAGCATAATATGGCCTGTAGTTCCGTGACCTTAATCACACTGTGATTTTCCGGAAACGGCCAACACTAAGATAATTGCAGCCAATTACGTAGTAATGGTGCTACCTTCCAAGTGTTTTTGGGTACGCAATGTAGGAGGTATTCCTCTAGGAATTGTGACGCAATCGTAGGGTCTTGATTCTTTTCTTCCCTGTAAAAAGTCTCAAGTGATCCCCACTTGTCATCGTCGTCTCTGGGAGAGTAACGATGAACTAAAGCTATAGCTTTGCTTCCCGTGTCGAAATAACCCTTCGCACTTAAACGCCTTTTAAAGACGAACCATGCGTGCAGACGTTGGGTGAGGCAATTTTCTGTTGAGGGTGGATGAGTAGGTTGGACCACTGTGAGAGGGGAAGTGAATCGTTTTAGATTTTTCCGAGCTTGACGAACTACCCTCTCGCCGGTTACCATGGTGCGACCAAAGGAGAGATCGAGATACCTTGTCTCCTTGATCCCCTGTAGCACCTTGGGAAGTAAAAGTGGTGGCAGAAGAGTGTTAGTTCTTTGCCCTTCCCAAGTGATACTGAACTCGTCCACCGCCCAAGTCTGCGGATCCGGCAACGGGGAGATATACGTCATGAGTTGGTGGCCTAGGCAAGTAAAAAACAAGTCAATGTTTGGTTGCCTGAATTCCTGAAGCAGTAACTGGAATGCTTCTGTGAGAAATTTCCACTCAGTGGGAGCCACCCTGTCTGGACGTGATAAAGTATCGGCCAGTATGTTTCTACATCCGGGGATGTGCTGAACTATGAACCTTAGTCACAGCCGATCCACTAGATGGAAGAAATCTGAATGTCCTTAGAAGTGGACAGTGGGAGTGTGTTGTTCCCCGATTGCACAGGCACCACACCGCAGTGCTGTTGTCTGTGGATATAGCGAGTCGGGCTAACTGTAGTTGATTCTGCCAATGTGATATAGCCAGAATTAAAGCTTCCAACTCCAAGTTGTTTATGTGCCACTTCCATTGTGCGCCGGGCCATAGCCCTGAGCTTATCTGGTCTTGTAAGTGAAGACTCGACCCCTGAAAGGGGACGTCCACAAACAGGTGTGTATTCGGGGAAAACCCGAATAAACAGACTCCGCAGACATTCAGCGCCACAAATTGAGGCAAAGCTCTAGCTTAGTCGGTAGAGTGATGGCCTTGAGTGGATCCTGACTCCTGATGTAAGGGTTCAGGAAAAAATTGAATTGGTCGCAGTTGTAAGCGGCCCATGCTAGTTAACTCCTGTGCCGAGGTGATTAACCCTAGCAACACTTGCCACTGGCGAAGTGTGTGTGGTTGGTGAAGAGTAGATGACAAAAGAAGTAGAAACTTGTGCCATCTGTCCCTCGGTACAGATAGGATATCCTGGTCTGTCTTAAACAGGTCTCCTATGAACTAAAGTCAATAGGAAGGAGAATACTCCCGAATTCGCCTCGTTGATTGTCTATCCCAGTTATTGACATGTGTTGATGATACAGTAGATCGCCCTCCATCTACGACTCGAACCAAGTGTTCGTCACGTGTAGATAGTTATTGGCTTCATTACTCCTGTAAATAGCCATAAGTGTCACTGACATGTCAAATGGGAAATACTACCATTGGTAGTGAACCCCAATGAACTGGACCTGAAAAGTCTACGGTTGGGATGGATAGTCGAGACTGATGAAGAATCAAACGTTCGTTGAACACAGAGATTGTGGATCATTCTCATCTTGTCTGGGTTCTTCATGAGTACCAGGTAGGTGTGAAGATAAAACCCCGGAGTAAAGACTGGGTTGTGAACCCACTCTACAGCTCTTCTTACCAACAGTATGTCTATGTTGGATTTTCCCAATCAAACTGTGGTCAACGGTGGGGTTAACTCTACCCTTATACGGACACCATGATATAGTGCGATAAGTACGAAATCGTCCTTGGGACTTGTCTCTGCCACTCCCTTTCTCAGTAAGGGAATGCTGGTCTTCCCTGAGAAACGCGCGTCTAGGCTTATAATTCCCTGACTTGGACTTTCCAAGCTTTTTGGGAACTTGACGTGCGTGTCTGCGATCTGTTCGTTGAACAGGGGAGTAGATGATCAAGGTTGACGTAATAGACTGCCCTTGAAACCAGCATCTCAGTTGGAAACGCTATAAAGTCTTGGGTGTAACGGTAATCACCGTCAGAACGGTCTCAAGATGAATTTTCCTGTGGTCAAACTGACGCTGTAGGAAAAACACCATAGTTTGGAAGTGATCTAATCAGATAGGGTTATCCTCTAATAGATTCTGATCCACTGCAAACATTGACGATATTGGTCGCTTAAATCACGGATCAAATGTGAGTTTTGGAGAAGGCTTCCTCCAATGACCTCGTGGTGTCCCTCTTATTTACCCTGTTATCAGGGGAGGGCGTTACTGACACGAGATGGTCTGCTTCCCAATCGGGTACATGTGCTAAGCTGATCATGTGCCGGTTACGTAACCGAGTACACTGTAAGCCTTGGGCTAACGTCATTGTAGAGACCTTGATTGATACGCAGACGCTGCACTCAGCGCATGTCTGGAATGTTGGAACAGCGCTAAGCTGATCGTGCGTCACTTGCGTGATAGTAGCGCTTGGGTATCAGTCAGACGCTGCGCTCGGCGCAGGCCTATGCTGGATATGTTGGCACAGCGCTAAGCTGATCGTGCGTCACTTGCGTGATAGGAGCGCTTGGGTATCAGTCAGACGCTGCGCTCGGCGCAGGCCTATGCTGGATATGTTGGAACAGCGCTAAGCTGATCGTGCGCCGCTTGTGTAATAGAAGTGCTTGGGTTGTAGTCAAGTGCTGCGCTCGGCGCAGATAAATCAGACAAAGCTCAAAAGTATTGACTGGATCAAGGCTTGCGTCTAATCTACCCCCATCATAGCATCTCGATACGCTGGTGCTGGTGCTGTCGCCGACGTCACAGATTATCATACATGTATCTGGAAGTGTCCGGCGGCTGAAAAAATAGGAGCAGTTACGATACTCACAAAATCCTCCGGTATTGTTGATTTCGGTGGATGGTGTACTTCTGCAAGCACAGGTGTCATAATACCTGCCGATAATAACGGTTGGGTGGTAATGACAGAACCATATGTCATTCGCTATTCTGCGAGTGACATTCCTCTCGTCTCACGACGGAATAACTGCAAAATATGATTGTGAGTAATCTGCTTTTATATAGTAAACTCGTTGGATTAGAGAATTACATAAAAATTACATTTTGAATTTTGGCGAGCACATCTACGTGCATGCCTATGACCGTGGATAAAGAGCTTTGGGCGATTATTCCACGACAATATGTACACCGAGCAAACATAATTATGTTACGCAATTAAACCATTGAATAAATGGTACTGGAAGAATGCCGTAGAATTGAACAGTAATCTATCGGCAAAAATACGAATTGCAAGGGTATACAATATTTTTATATACGCAATTCAATGTAAACCAAGGCTATTTACATTTAGAGATTGGAGAGCACATCTGCGCGCAAACCAACCAATCGTGGATGATAATCTTGTAAGGTTTTTTCCACGACAATTAGTAAAATGCTCAAAGGTATGTTACGCAATGAAACCCTTGTTGATGAGATAATACTGGAAGAGTGCCGAAGAATTTGAACAATCTATCGGCAAATTTATGAGTTGCAAGGGTATACAATATTTTTGTATGCGCAACCCAATGTAAACCAAGGGTATTTATATTTTCATTTAGGGTTTGGAGAGCACATCTGCGCGCAAACCAAACAACGTGGATGATAATCTTTGTAAGATTTTTCCCACGACAATTAATACCACGCTCAATCATAAGTTATATATGTATAATGTATAATCAATATATATATATATATATATATATGTATAATCAATGTCTGTACATATAGAGTAGGGAAAGGGCCACCTAAGTTGGATAACTTTTGCCCAATCCCGTTGACCATATATGTCAATAAAATATGTTTAAAACAAACACAATTACGCCATTGTTGATGAGGCGGTACTGGAAGAATGCCATAGAATTGAACAATAATCTATCGGCAAAAACTACGAGTTGCAAGAGTATACAATAGTTCATATACGCAACTCAATGTAAAACCAAAAATACCAACAAAAAACTATTTAATCGCATAAACATAGGTACGCAATAAAAGAATTGTTGATGAAGCGGGACTGGAAGAAAGGCGTAGATTTGATATTAATCTATCGGCAACCATATTTTTAACGAGTTGAAAAAGTATACAATAATTTTAGTATACGCAACTCACTGTTACGCCAAAGCTAGTAGTATTTAAGAACATAAGACTATGTTATACATACGTAGCTGAGAATTGTAAACAATATGACTACCTTGGCAGGCAAACGATTGTAACACAATTCAAAATGGCGGCGAACAACAAAATTTTGGCGGGAAAAAAGACAAGAGTCTTTTCACGCCTAATTATAATCACATAAAACTACACAACATGGTGAAAGTAATATGAAAAGAATACATCACCCATCGCAGATCAATTTTTAAGATTGTAGACAAACTGAAGGTCTAAAATTAATCCAAAAGGAGAGCTCCGCTTGGACACGTCCTATCTGTGCTGCGACAAGCAGTGATGTGAAGATGACCTTAGGTGTCATCAAGGTCACAGGACAGCGACGGAAGGCCACTGATTGGGACTTGAGATCAACAACTTTATTTCTTCACCCAGGACCTTCGCAGCGCTGTCCTTCTAGTTGTCGTAAGTAAGCAGTGAATGCATTAAGGAGTAATGCAGGATAAGTAAAAAATTACTTTATCTCCCTTACATTATAATACTAGCTTCTGATTGGTTAAGGAGCAGGCAATTATTTTCCATGTACTCCGCTCATGCAGCCCGCTGAGAAATCAATTGGAAGACACGTTAGGTAACTTGCTTATCTTGTATAAGTATTGTTGAGCTAAAATGAGTTGATGTTTATCTGAATGCAATGGGTAAAGGGAAGTAATTCGGCTTGCGTCATCTGCTACTGTCAAACTGGCTGAATCAAAGCGTTTTACTCGGTGAAACTTCAGACATATATTCCAAGTCTGTATGAATGAATGTTGTGAGATAAATTCATTGTCAACTGATCCCTCGGGGCATATGGTGTGATGTATCTGATGGCTCGGGGTACATAGGCTCACACACAGGGTACATCACACCGTATCCCCTCGAGATGAGTTGACAACTTACAATAACACCAGGGATCCGGAAGTATTTTTTTGCAAATCGGACATTTGCATTTTGGTCAAGATTCAGCTAGTTTGTCATGATTATCCACTTACGTGATTATCCACTTACTGTCCAGTAGTGAGTGAGTATGGTTTTACGCCGCTTTTAGCAATATTCCAGCAATATCACGGCGGGGGACACCAGAAATGGGCTTCACACATTGTACCCATGTCGGGAATCAAACCTGGGTCTTCGGCGTGACGAGCGAACGCTTTAACCACTAGGCTACCCGACCGCCCTACTGTCCAGTAAGTGGATAATCATGTACAACTATCTGAGTCAGGGTCACACAATGATTGGGCAATACTGTGCCACAGAAGTATGTCATTGAGACACCCTTTCAGGGAGAATCATTCAGGTGGCGTACTGCTTCAGGATAATGCAGCAATACACACTTCACAAGTGGATGCATCTCCAGACTGTGGCTTTGCATTACTTTCAAATTACCAAAGTATCTTATTTTAGTGACATGTAATAGTAACAGGAAAAAGTGACACAATATAGTAACGTATTAGCAACACACAAAAATAGTCTCTAACACAAGTATGATAACAAATGTATATAAATAAATAAATTCTCTCAAAACACTGCAAAAAGTGTCAAAAGATTTCATTTATTGGTACTTGCAATAGTCAGGAAGGACAGTGAACAGTGATGCAAGGTTTTAGTATTCCTACACAGCGTGTTCTGCACAACTCACCAGGTCCACAGACTCGTCATGTAGCTGCCTCACCATCTCGGCCTCACCGTCTATCACGCGCTGCGGAGCCTCACCGAACCACCAGCCATCATCTGAACACACAACCAGGCACGGTTTGTAACTTCTTAACAACAAACATCGCCAGGTTATAGAACAGAACAGGAAAGATCTTCTATAACAAATGCAACTATAAATTACAATGAAATAACTCCGAGATGTTCCACCGACTTGCTCCCAAGCTTATTTTCATTCACAGTGATAGCTTTCTGTCACCAACTGCAAGATGGCTGTCATCAGTAAAAGTCAATTCCATCTGTACAATGTCCTCAGCACATTCTGACACAGAAAGATAATAAGATATAAATGTCCAGACTTAAACACGTCAGCTGTTAACTCAATCATTCCAACTATGGAGTTGGTCCGATCCCAGACTACACCTGGATGTAAAGCGTCGTACCTGTGATTTTCTTGCCTGTGGGCACAGTCCTGACAGCCCTCCCCAGAAACACATGAAGGTCATACAGGTAGGGCACCTCCTCGGGGGCTATCAGGCTATAGGCCGTGCCACTACGTCCCGCTCTAGCAACACGACCTGAAACAACCAAACACTTGGAAGTACACGCTCACGTCGCTCCTACCTCACATATTGTGATACTTGACACTATGTATCGGTTGGTTCTGTGTGAAACTCTCCATGTTAATTGGAGCCCAGTTAATAAGAGGTTGTGGCTGTCAACTGATAACTTTAGGATGATAACTGTATTATCCAATCCGATTTAGCTTTATATTTTCATAAAAAGCAGCAAGGTTAAGCTTGCTTTAGAAGTTACCCGGCTAAGTTATTGCAAAATTTGCACATATTACCCTTCTTAAACTGACACTGTATGAAAACATCATTTGTTACATGAGCAAGTTTGTGGTGTGTCATATTGTCAGGTGTAAACTTGTGATTCATTGACATATCGGTGAAACATGACGCCAATATTCCAACAAAAAGGTGAGGTGTATTAGACATATTAGTGATGTGTACAATCTTTGCCGATAGTTTGAATTTTGTTCCCGTCAAATGCCTCACATATTGCTTTGAGTGTGAACTGTCAACACACCTTTCACCAGGCTACGTATCCTTAGGACCTGGGTCCTGTTTCACAAAGGGATTGTTGCGATGCTACTGTAGTAACTCCCACAGTCTAACATAGACTTACAGCAGCCGTAGCATTACTTCACTTGGTGAAATGGAACAATATGAGAACAATATGTGAGGAAGGATATCTAAAATTCATTTAATGGGTTGCGATGGAAACTGCAGATGACAAAGACCCAACCTACCAACTCTATGTACAAAAAGCTTGGACTTGGCTGGGAAGTTGAAATTGATGACATTGTCCAGCATTGGGATGTCAATGCCCCTGGCTGCCAGATCCGTTACTATCATCACATTGACCTTCCTGTGCTGGAACTTGGCCACGCTGATCTTGCGGTACGTCTGGTCCAGGGAGCTGTAGATGTAGCAGGAGGGGATCCCGGCCTTGGACAGGACCTGCCGGAGGGACGAGTGAGTTAATGTTCATGTATGCGCAATAAGCAAAATACTCCACATGTTTAGAGATATCAAAGCAAACCTTAAAAAAATAAACTCTGATACAGGAAAACCAGTGGTTAATAGCTTGAGTAACATTCAATCCTGGTCATGGGAAGATGACATACAGTCAGTTAACACATTGTTACCATCCAATCTTGATTTTATTCAAGCATGACTCAAACTGCCCCAGAAGACCTATCCCGTCCCAGAATACACTAGTATTCTAGTGAGACAAGCATGGGGTACTGGGGACCTGTTCTTCCCCGGAATACCCAGGTGAGACAAGCAGGGGGTACTGGGGACCTATTCTTCCCCGGAATACCCAGGTGAGACAAGCATGGGGTACTGGGGACCTATTCTGCCCCGGAATACCCAGGTGAGACAAGCATGGGGTACTGGGGATCTATTCTGCCCCAGAATACCCAGGTGAGACAAGCATGGGGTACAGGGGGCCTGTTCTGCCCCAGAATACCCAGGTGAGACAAGCATGGGGTACTGGGGACCTGTTCTGCCCCAGAATACCCAGGTGAGACAAGCATGGGGTACTGGGGATCTCTTCTGCCCCAGAATACCCAGGTGAGACAAGCATGGGGTACTGGGGATCTATTCTGCCCCGGAATACCCAGGTGAGACAAGCATGGGGTACTGGGGATCTATTCTGCCCGAGAATACCCAGGTGAGACAAGCATGGGGTACTGGGGACCTGTTCTGCCCCAGAATACCCAGGTGAGACAAGCATGGGGTACTGGGGATCTATTCTGCCCCAGAATACCCAGGTGAGACAAGCATGGGGTACTGGGGACCTATTCTGCCCCGGAATACCCAGGTGAGACAAGCATGGGGTACTGGGGACCAGTTCTGCCCCAGAATACCCAGGTGAGACAAGCATGGGGTACTGGGGATCTATTCTGCCCCAGAATACCCAGGTGAGATAAGCATGGGGTACTGGGGACCTATTCTGCCCCGGAATACCCAGGTGAGACAAGCATGGGGTACTGGGGATCTATTCTGCCCGAGAATACCCATGTGAGACAAGCATGGGGTACTTGGGACCTTTCTTGACCCAGAATGCCCAAGTGAGACAAGCATGGGGTACTGGGGACCTATTCTGCCAAATAAAACCCAGGTGAGACAAGCATGTGTTACTGGGGACCTATTCTGTCCCAGAATGCTCAGGTGAGACAAGCATGGGGTACGAGGCATCTATTCGGCCTTGGAATCCCCCGAGTAAGACATGTTGTACTGGGGACCTATTCTGCCACAAGGACCTTGAGGAGGAAACACAGAACTGCACCAAAAGAGTCAATAATGTTGCTTATATTTAAAACAATTTTCATACCTACAAAACAGTCTTGTCATTTAATCATCTCTTTTTGAAACATCTATTCATTAACCACAAGACCTAGAGTACAAAACAATGTCCTTTGAACAGAGAAGACATAAAATAAGAGTTATGTAAATATATCTACATACAAACAAGGTACCAGGAGTGCATCAGTAAGCAGGATTTTGTGCTGTTCTATCCAGAAACTTCACAGTCAGGGAAACAATGACTTGAATATGATACAAAGAACCTCAAAACCGGGACATATATTCTGGTATAGTCCGGTTATGACAGTAGATTCCAGTGATGATACTGAATCACATCTCTCATCGGGAACATTTTAATATGCGGAGGGACCTTTGGGCCGCCTCTCTAACCAACAAAGCTTAAACTCTGTTGCATGTTTGGTTACCTCCTGCTTAACCTTTTGGTAGCCTGTGCTTACCATGTTTAGATATTCCACATGATGTTTGGTGGCGGCAAACACGACCGTCTGCTGCTTGGCCTTGACAACAGACTGCAGCAGGTAGATGAGGAGAGGCAGCTTGTCTACAGCTCGACAGGCCAAGAAGGAGAGCTGGAGGCAGGCAGACACACAACAAACTATCATTGTCATTAAAATCAGACCTTCTACTGTGTGTGTTTTTTGTTGTTGTGTTGTTTAACGCCACACTCAGCATTATTCCAGCTATATGAGAGCGGTCTGTAAATAATCAAGTCTGGACCAGACAATTCAGTGATTGATATCATGAACATCGATCCACGCAATTTGGATCAATGACATGCTTCAAGCAAGTCAGAAAGCCTGACAACCCGATCCCGTTGCCTCTTACGACAAACATGGGTTGCTGAAGACCTATTCTACCCCGGAATCTTCACGGGTCTCTGTGAAATGATACCCCTCTAAGTGAATATCTGAGGACACCTAATACATCCTGAACAAGCCAGCTCACTTCATCTTTGAGTCAGGGCGTTGGGGTAACCTAGTCGTTAAAGCGTTCGTTCGTCACACTTAAGACCTGGGTTCGATTCCCTACATAGGTACAATGTATGAAGCCCATTTCTGGTGTCCCTCGCACTGATATTGCTGGAATCATGCTAAAAGCGGTGTAAAACCATACTCACTCACTCACTCACTCATTTTCGAGATGCAGAAATCAGACATGCTGGTCTGAATGCTTCTCTCATTTGTAACGAAGAATTTAGGAGCCTTGATGTTGATTAGCTGACTAGAAAGTTCCCCTGCCCCGACCTTCCCTGAAGGTATCCTCAGATCTCCATGTAGAGAGTTATCATATCGGAGCAAAAATGCAGATTTATGAGATTTGACAACACTCCACTCAGACAACAGGGACAGACAGTGACATGTTTTAATGGGAATTTATCTGTGATTCCAAATGTGGCAGACAAATTGGGGGGTGGGGTGGTGGGTGAAATATTTTTTACACAGACGTCAGGCACATAGTCAAGCTCAAGTTATGCATGGCCTCATTATTTGACTAAAAATACACATACATCCCCAGTACACCACATATGTCCTAAGTACATCCAGGCCATCAGGGTATGACACACAATCACCAGGGCCCACTTGCACAAAGCGATCTTAGTGCTACGACTATTGTAAGCCTATGTTAAAGTATGGGAGTTACGTTCATCTTAGCGCTAAGATCGCTTTGTGCAAGTGGGCCCAGGTCACACATTGTTACCAAAAGATCTTAGCATCAGTCACTGGGAACCAGTGAGCAATGGGATTCCAATGCCAGTGAAGCACATGGACCATTATCCAACAGTGGAGGAAAAGATGGATTCGCACAACACGGATCATGCACCTTACCTTGAGGTTTTCACTGAGCTTGCTGTCAACATCGAGTCTGATGAGAGTGGGGTCAGTCAGCCCTGCTTTAGCAAACTCCACCAGGAGTTTTGGCAGCGTGGCTGAGAACAGCAGAGTTTGGCGTGACTCGGGCAGTCGGTTGATGATCTCATGGAGCTGCTCCTGGAAGCCCATCTCAAACAGCCTGCAAGCACACAACAAGATGTCAGCCCATCTCAAACAGCCTGCAACACACAACAAGATGTCAGCCCATCTCAAACAGCCTGCATCACACAACAAAATGTCAGCCCATCTCAAACAGCCTGCAACACACAACAAAATGTCAGCCCATCTCAAACAGCCTGCAAGCACACAACAAAATGTCGGCCCATCTCAAACAGCCTGCAACCACACAACAAAATGTCGGCCCATCTCAAACAGCCTGCAACACACAACAAAATGTCAGCCCATCTCAAACAGCCTGCAAGCACACAACAAGATGTCAGCCCATCTCAAACAGCCTGCAACACACAACAAAATGTCAGCCCATCTCAAACAGCCTGCAAGCACACAACAAGATGTCAGCCCATCTCAAACAGCCTGCAACTACGCAACAAAATGTCAGCCCATCTCAAATAGCCTGCAACACACAACAAAATGTCAGCCCATCTCAAACAGCCTGCAAGCACACAACAAGATGTCAGCCCATCTCAAACAGCCTGCAACTACGCAACAAAATGTCAGCCCATCTCAAACAGCCTGCAAGCACACAACAAGATGTCGGCCCATCTCAAACAGCCTGCAACCACAACAAAATGTCGGCCCATCTCAAACAGCCTGCAACACACAACAAAATGTCGGCCCATCTCAAACAGCCTGCAACACACAACAAAATGTCGGCCCATCTCAAACAGCCTGCAACACACAACAAGATGTCGGCCCACCTCAAACAACCTGCAAGCACAACAAAATGTCAGCCCATCTCAAACAGCCTGCATCACACAACAAAATGTCGGCCCATCTCAAACAGCCTTCAACACACAACAAAATGTCGGCCCATCTCAAACAGCCTGCAACACACAACAAAATGTCGGCCCATCTCAAACAGCCTGCAACACACAACAAAATGTCGGCCCATCTCAAACAGCCTTCAACACACAACAAAATGTCGGCCCATCTCAAACAGCCTGCAACACACAACAAAATGTCGGCCCACCTCAAACAACCTGCAACCACAACAAAATGTCGGCCCACCTCAAACAACCTGCAACACACAACAAAATGTCGGCCCATCTCAAACAGCCTGCAACACACAACAAAATGTCAGCCCACCTCAAACAGCCTGCAACACACAACAAAATGTCAGCCCACCTCAAACAGCCTGCAACACACAACAAAATGTCAGCCCATCTCAAACAGCCTGCAACACACAACAAAATGTCGCCCATCTCAAACAGCCTGCAACACACAACAAAATGTCAGCCCACCTCAAACAGCCTGCAACACACAACAAAATGTCAGCCCACCTCAAACAACCTGCAACCACAACAAAATGTCGGCCCACCTCAAACAGCCTGCATCACACAACAAAATGTCGGCCCACCTCAAACAGCCTGCAACACACAACAAAATGTCGGCCCATCTCAAACAGCCTGCATCACACAACAAAATGTCGGCCCATCTCAAACAGCCTGCATCACACAACAAAATGTCGGCCCACCTCAAACAGCCTGCATCACACAACAAAATGTCGGCCCACCTCAAACAGCCTGCATCACACAACAAAATGTCGGCCCATCTCAAACAGCCTGCAATACACAACAAAATGTCGGCCCATCTCAAACAGCCTGCAAGCACGTAACAAAATGTCGGCCCACCTCAAACAGCCTGCAAGCACACAACAAAATGTCGGCCCATCTCAAACAGCCTGCATCACACAACAAAATGTCGGCCCATCTCAAACAGCCTGCATCACACAACAAAATGTCAGCCCATCTCAAACAGCCTGCATCACACAACAAAATGTCGGCCCATCTCAAACAGCCTGCATCACACAACAAAATGTCGGCCCATCTCAAACAGCCTGCATCACACAACAAAATGTCGGCCCATCTCAAACAGCCTGCATCACACAACAAAATGTCAGCCCATCTCAAACAGCCTGCATCACACAACAAAATGTCAGCCCATCTCAAACAGCCTGCATCACACAACAAAATGTCGGCCCATCTCAAACAGCCTGCATCACACAACAAAATGTCAGCCCATCTCAAACAGCCTGCATCACACAACAAAATGTCAGCCCACCTCAAACAGCCTGCAACACACAACAAAATGTCGGCCCATCTCAAACAGCCTGCAAGCACGTAACAAAATGTCGGCCCATCTCAAACAGCCTGCAACACACAACAAAATGTCAGCCCATCTCAAACAGCCTGCAACACACAACAAAATGTCAGCCCATCTCAAACAGCCTGCATCACACAACAAAATGTCGGCCCATCTCAAACAGCCTGCAACACACAACAAAATGTCGGCCCATCTCAAACAGCCTGCATCACACAACAAAATGTCGGCCCATCTCAAACAGCCTGCATCACACAACAAAATGTCAGCCCATCTCAAACAGCCTGCATCACACAACAAAATGTCGGCCCATCTCAAACAGCCTGCAACCACACAACAAAATGTCGGCCCACCTCAAACAGCCTGCAAGCACACAACAAAATGTCGGCCCACCTCAAACAGCCTGCAACACACAACAAAATGTCGGCCCATCTCAAACAGCCTGCAAGCACACAACAAAATGTCGGCCCATCTCAAACAGCCTGCAACACACAACAAAATGTCGGCCAATCTCAAACAGCCTGCAAGCACACAACAAAATGTCGGCCCATCTCAAACAGCCTGCAACACACAACAAAATGTCGGCCCATCTCAAACAGCCTGCAAGCACACAACAAAATGTCGGCCCACCTCAAACAGCCTGCAAGCACACAACAAGATGTCAGCCCATCTCAAACAGCCTGCAAGCACACAACAAAATGTCGGCCCATCTCAAACAGCCTGCAAGCACACAACAAGATGTCAGCCCATCTCAAACAGCCTGCAAGCACACAACAAGATGTCAGCCCATCTCAAACAGCCTGCAAGCACACAACAAAATGTCAGCCCATCTCAAACAGCCTGCATCACACAACAAAATGTCGGCCCATCTCAAACAGCCTGCATCACACAACAAAATGTCAGCCCACCTCAAACAGCCTGCAAGCACACAACAAAATGTCGGCCCATCTCAAACAGCCTGCATCACACAACAAAATGTCAGCCCACCTCAAACAGCCTGCAACACACAACAAAATGTCAGCCCATCTCAAACAGCCTGCATCACACAACAAAATGTCAGCCCATCTCAAACAGCCTGCATCACACAACAAAATGTCAGCCCACCTCAAACAGCCTGCAACACACAACAAAATGTCAGCCCATCTCAAACAGCCTGCATCACACAACAAAATGTCAGCCCACCTCAAACAGCCTGCAAGCACACAACAAAATGTCAGCCCATCTCAAACAGCCTGCATCACACAACAAAATGTCAGCCCATCTCAAACAGCCTGCAAGCACACAACAAAATGTCAGCCCATCTCAAACAGCCTGCAAGCACACAACAAAATGTCAGCCCACCTCAAACAGCCTGCAAGCACACAACAAAATGTCAGCCCATCTCAAACAGCCTGCATCACACAACAAAATGTCAGCCCACCTCAAACAGCCTGCAAGCACACATCAAAATGTCGGCCCATCTCAAACAGCCTGCAACCACGCAACAAAATGTCAGCCCATCTCAAACAGCCTGCATCACACAACAAAATGTCAGCCCATCTCAAACAGCCTGCAAGCACACAACAAAATGTCAGCCCATCTCAAACAGCCTGCAAGCACACAACAAAATGTCAGCCCATCTCAAACAGCCTGCATCACACAACAAAATGTCGGCCCACCTCAAACAGCCTGCAAGCACACAACAAAATGTCGGCCCATCTCAAACAGCCTGCATCACACAACAAAATGTCGGCCCATCTCAAACAGCCTGCATCACACAACAAAATGTCGGCCCATCTCAAACAGCCTGCAACACACAACAAAATGTCGGCCCACCTCAAACAGCCTGCAACACACAACAAGATGTCAGCCCATCTCAAACAGCCTGCAACCACACAACAAAATGTCGGCCCATCTCAAACAGCCTGCAACACCCAAGAAGATGTCAGCCCATCTCAAACAGCCTGCAAGCACACAACAAAATGTCAGCCCATCTCAAACAGCCTGCAACACACAACAAAATGTCGGCCCACCTCAAACAGCCTGCAACACACAACAAGATGTCAGCCCATCTCAAACAGCCTGCAACCACACAACAAAATGTCGGCCCACCTCAAACAGCCTGCAACACACAACAAGATGTCAGCCCATCTCAAACAGCCTGCAACACACAACAAAATGTCGGCCCACCTCAAACAGCCTGCAACACACAACAAGATGTCAGCCCATCTCAAACAGCCTGCAACCACACAACAAAATGTCGGCCCATCTCAAACAGCCTGCAACACCCAAGAAGATGTCGGCCCACCTCAAACAGCCTGCAACACACAACAAGATGTCAGCCCATCTCAAACAGCCTGCAACACACAACAAAATGTCGGCCCATCTCAAACAGCCTGCAACCACACAACAAGATGTCGGCCCATCTCAAACAGCCTGCAAGCACACAACAAGATGTCAGCCCATCTCAAACTGCCTGCAAGCACGCAACAAGATGTCGGCCCATCTCAAACAGCCTGCAAGCACACAACAAGATGTCAGCCCATCTCAAACAGCCTGCATCACACAACAAAATGTCAGCCCATCTCAAACAGCCTGCAACCACACAACAAAATGTCGGCCCATCTCAAACAGCCTGCAAGCACACAACAAAATGTCAGCCCATCTCAAACAGCCTGCAACCACACAACAAGATGTCAGCCCATCTCAAACAGCCTGCAACACACAACAAAATGTCGGCCCATCTCAAACAGCCTGCATCACACAACAAAATGTCGGCCCACCTCAAACAGCCTGCATCACACAACAAAATGTCAGCCCATCTCAAACAGCCTGCATCACACAACAAAATGTCAGCCCATCTCAAACAGCCTGCATCACACAACAAGATGTCAGCCCATCTCAAACAGCCTGCAACCACACAACAAAATGTCAGCCCATCTCAAACAGCCTGCATCACACAACAAAATGTCAGCCCATCTCAAACAGCCTGCAACCACGCAACAAAATGTCAGCCCATCTCAAACAGCCAGCCCATCTCAAACAGCCTGCAACTACACAACAAAATGTCAGCCCATCTCAAACAGCCTGCAACACACAACAAGATGTCAGCCCATCTCAAACAGCCTGCAAGCACACAACAAAATGTCAGCCCATCTCAAACAGCCTGCAAGCACGCAACAAGATGTCAGCCCATCTCAAACAGCCTGCAAGCACACAACAAGATGTCAGCCCATCTCAAACAGCCTGCAAGCACGCAACAAGATGTCGGCCCATCTCAAACAGCCTGCAAGCACACAACAAGAGTCAGCCCATCTCAAACAGCCTGCAAGCACGCAACAAGATGTCAGCCCATCTCAAACAGCCTGCAAGCACACAACAAGATGTCGGCCCATCTCAAACAGCCTGCAAGCACGCAACAAGATGTCGGCCCATCTCAAACAGCCTGCAAGCACACAACAAGATGTCAGCCCATCTCAAACAGCCTGCAAGCACACAACAAAATGTCAGCCCATCTCAAACAGCCTGCAAGCACACAACAAAATGTCAGCCCATCTCAAACAGCCTGCAAGCACACAACAAGATGTCAGCCCATCTCAAACAGCCTGCATCACACAACAAAATGTCAGCCCATCTCAAACAGCCTGCAAGCACGCAACAAAATGTCAGCCCACCTCAAACAGCCTGCAAGCACGCAACAAAATGTCGGCCCACCTCAAACAGCCTGCAAGGACACAACAAAATGTCAGCCCATCTCAAACAGCCTGCATCACACAACAAGATGTCAGCCCATCTCAAACAGCCTGCAACACACAACAAAATGTCAGCCCATCTCAAACAGCCTGCAACCACACAACAAAATGTCGGCCCATCTCAAACAGCCTGCATCACACAACAAAATGTCAGCATGGCTTGTGGACATGTGGACACTGTACTCAGAGAATAGCATTAGGAAGGGCATATGACTACTAGTTTGCTAATGTCTTTACTTAAATCATACTGAGAGAGTCAGTATGGTTTTACACTGCTTTTTGCAATACTCTAGCAACAGCATGACAGGGGACACCAGAAATGGGCTTGACACATGCGGGGAATGAAACCTGGATCTTTTGCCTGACTTGCGAACGCTAGTCTATACTTAAATCATACTTGAGTGAGTCAGTATGGTTTTACACTGCTTTTAGCAATTCTACAGCAACAGCATAGCAGGGGACACCAGAAATGGGTTTGACACATGTGGAGAGTCAAACCTGGATCTTTTGTGTGGCTAGTGATAGATAGTCTATACTTAAATCATACTTGAGTGAGTCAGTATGGTTTTACACTGCTTTTAGCAATACTCCAGCAACAGCATAGCAGGGGACACCAGAAATGGGTTTGACACATATGGGGAATCAAACCTGGATCTTTTGTGTGACTAGTAAACACTTAAATCACAAGGCATTAATCGCCACTCCAGTACCAGTGTCATCCCTACTTAACAAAACATGAGACAGTTCAGGTTACATGGCAGATTACACACTCCGGCGCAGTGGTGACTCAGCATAACACCACTGCCACAGGCTAATTTGCATATCACGTGACCGGACTTTTCTCTTGTTTGTAAACAAATGCGCTTTTTCAGAAATCAGTATAGAACGAACTAATGCAAGTATTTGGAGGCGCTTTACATATTGTTTTGCATAACTATATAGATATGCTACTACAACTGTGACAGTGAGTTGCATGACAATATATATTTATGCATCAAAGTGACCGTGTCGCTAGCTCTCTGTTGGGCTTCTATGACAGCACGTGGAGCCGTACAACCAATGTAAACATAGGATAACTACGCAAAAACAAGTAGATTTTTACGTATTTGCATACTTTCTCAATGAAAGTTAACCATTCTTTGACATTTGTTTATGAAAATGTGTAGACTTGTCAAACATGAAACAGATGAAAAGCATATGCAATATCTTGAATGGACTGTGAAAGATGTGACGAATCGTCACATGGCGCTGGCCTGTGGCAGAGGTACTATGCTAGCTGGCTGCTGGCCGCATGGAACTCTGGATAGGAGAGTGGGCAGATTACTCTGCTATCCATTTCCTGTTGCCAATAGGCAGTTTACTGCAGGATGGTCACACAAATGATGGTCAAAATCTTGATCTCGTTTTGAGTGAGTGAATTGGGTTTAACACCGCTTTGAACAGATTTCCAGTTATATCAAAGCAAGTCAGCTTGATGTGGGAGGAAAGCCTGAAGTTAGACATTTACCACTTTAGTGAAACCCACAAGCATGGGTATGGTGCTGATAAATCTGGAAACATTATCGCGGGGAACCGGGATTGAAACCCATGACCATAGGTTTCTGGCATTCCCAAGGGACACAGCTCTGCACAACGAATTGCTGCAGCGGCTTAGAGGACTTGGACTTGAAGAGTCAATCACATGTTACAATAACCAAGTACCATCGATATGATCTTGGCATGAGCTATGGTGACCATGGTGACATATAGAAAACCAAGAGGTATCAAATCTCAGATAATATACCTCGTAACTTCAAACACTGCAACTTCATCTCCTGCAATCAAACCACCAACTCCTCATTTCAAGAAATTTGCTATTTTCACCAATGTGAAATGTCTTTTAAGCCAAAAGAAATGATAGTCTTGGTTCTCAGACACCCCCTGCATCATCATAAAGTCTGCCATATGTTTTGTTTTTATTGCCATTTTCAAAAACTATATAAATCCTAATAACACTATGCACAAAAAAATTGAAAATGGAAACAAAAACGAAATGTGCAATGAACTTTATGATGATGTGGGCAGTGCCTGAGAACAAAGACTATTATTTTTTTAAGCCTAACAGTCCCACAAACAAAGAATGTAGCCCTTCATTAAACATCAATATACTACCAGTATTAACACTCCATAGCAATCGTGGCTGCACAATTTACGTTGGTTTATCCAAGCATAGTCGAGATGGACAATCTTTTCTTCCTGGGAATTCTCATACAGTTACATAGAATGTTTCCTCCTAAGGTAACCGGGCCCAGAAACCTACCTGTCAGCCTCGTCAAACACAATATACTCCACAGACTTGAGCTTCATGTCCATCTCCACGACGACATGGAGGAAACGTCCGGGCGTTGCTATGATGCTGAAACAATCAAGTTCCACACAGGTTCCATGATGTAATCGGAACTGATAGATGCTGATTAACTAATAGGTAAAGTAAAGGAGCACAGGGATGCAACTGAATTTACTTGCTGGAATAGTGACAGCATATAGCGACACCCCATAAATAGCCTGAAATTATACTAGCCCTTGTGAGTGAGTGAGTGAGTGAGTGAGAGTGTGTGTGTGTGAGAGAGAGAGTGAGTGAGTTTGTGTGTGTGTGAGTGAGTGAGTTTGAGTGTGAGTGAGTGAGTGAGTGAGTTTGTGTGTGAGTGAGTGAGTGAGTGAGTGAGTGAGTGAGTGAGTGAGTGAGTGAGTGAGTGAGTGAGTGAGTGAGCGAGCGAGTGAGTGAGTGAGTGCGTGTGTCTGTGGTTTTACAACACCTTTAGCTATATTTCAACAATATCACGGCCGGGAACACCAGAAATGGGCTTCACACGTTGTACCAATATGGGGAATAAAACCCAGGTCTTTGGCGTGACGAGAAATGCTTTAAACACTGGACTACCCCACCTCCCCTACCCTTAGGATACCCTGAACATTATACAAAAGGACTAGTGCTAAGAAGCATTCCTGCATGCATATACAAAAAAGGTTATGAATAATGAAATTATATACAGTATCTATTTCTAACATACAAAACATCTAGGAAGCAAGTAACTATGATGGAAGACAATGAGATCATCAGGGCAAATGTCTGTGGCTACTTACATATCTGGATTTTCATGTAAGGCAGCAAATTGGTTCTCCATTCTGTAAAAGCAATGACATAGTGCACACCTCATGTCAACTAACACATGCTATTGGTACCAACTCATTCAGTGCCCAAACTTCATAAATCTACTATCCAGGTTGTCATTGTACAAAACAACCTACAACTGTAATAAGCCTATGTTAAGGTATGGGTGTTACGATTACCTTAGTGCTACGCTAAGATTGCTTTGTACAACGGCACCCTGGACAAGTGTTTCAGCATAATCATATTTCGGTAAATTGTAGTCTAACGTATGGACTTTGATCAGATAAGATGTAGTCAGAAACATGCCACTTATGTTACCAGACTCAGTCCTTGTACTGATAACCTTTTTCCAGTAAGGAGGTGAGGTGAAATGGGGTTTAACGTCGCGTCCAAGATTATTGCACTTATATTGCGACGTGCATGTACGTGTGGCTGCTTGTACTAGTCCGGACCAATGCCAAGTTTATAGTGCTAGCCCACTGTGATACCATGCCGGAGTTTAACATGAATACCCCACTCAGACACAGGATACTGACTCCGAGCCGACCAGTCCTTGTTTTGGCCCCTTAATGCCGAGCACCATGCAGGGTAACAACAAGTACCATCATTTAATGTCTTTTGGTATGACACGTCCGGGGATTGAACCCACAACCTTCCGCTCTCCGGGCAGATGCTCTATTCACTAGACCACAAAACAAACAAAACAAAAGCATCTATTTCTAACCTGTCTCCACCGAGGATAACTGCAGCCTTCAGACCAGTGAACTTTCCCAGCTGGAACAAAAGTGATAGGTACAGAATACTTAAGTGAATCCAAGTGAGTGAGTTGGCTTTAATGCCGCTTTTAACAGTATTCCAGTTATATCAAGGCATGTCAGATTAATGTGGGAGGGAAGCCCGAAGTGGTCTCAGACGTTTACCACTTAGGTGAAACCCATGTGCACGGGTATGGTGCTGACAAACCTAGAAACCGGGATTCGAACCCACAATCATAGGTTTCTGGCGTGCCCAAGGGACACAACTCTGCACAGCGAAACACATCACCTTAGACAACTGGGCCACCTGGGTGCCGTTGTACAAAACAACCTTAGCGCTACGACTGTCGTAAGTCTATGTTAAGGTATGGGAGTTACGATCACCTTAGCGCTAAGATCGCTTTGTACAACGTCACCCTGTTCCCACTTCTGAATCTCAGAAAATAGAACCTAAATAATCATAATTAGATTTTGGTCAAAATAGAAATCAGTAATGATGCCCTTTGTCCAAGTTTTGCCTGCCACTGAAACAAGCATCAAAATCAGAACTGGTGATCCTACATCATTCACAATTGCAACCAATGTATACAGTGCTTCTGATGATTTGTTCCAATGTGCATGATTGTGTGTGAATGACAGAAGGCACAGCATGGTTAAACACAGCACAGTCTCACCTCCTTTGTGAACTTGAGCGTCTGTAGCGCCAGTTCCCTGGTTGGGGACATTATCATGGCCCTGGCTCCCTTAGAGGAATGGGCTTTCAGCTTCTCAAACATTGGAATCAGGAACGCTGCAGTCTTACCACTTCCTGTCCTGGCCATGGCAACCACGTCCTTACCATCCATGATGAGTGGCACTGTCTGTTGAGAGATATATCCTTATAGTTATACACAAATACACTACTTACTCAATTCTCCTAGTTTTACTGATAATTGTTACATCATGCCAAACCATTACCGTATATGACCGCGGATAAGCCGACCCCGCAGATAAGCCGAGGTGTTAACTTGACCATTGAAATACGAAAGAAAATGATATGACCCGCAGATAAGCCGAACCAGGAATTGAAAGGCAAAAAACACTGCAAAGTCGGACTGCAAGACATGTGCCGGTACTCGCAGATATTCAAAAATATAAGATGAAAAACATTGTAATTATATTGAAAAAGTCATTATTATTTCTAAAAAAGATTTAACAAACCAGTCATCCACTTTCATAATGTGGGAAGCTGTTTCTCTTGTCTTTTTTTAATCTCATAATGATCGTTATATGTTGCCATCAACAACGAAGCGCCATTTTGTGAATCGGTGTATATAGAATTATGAACCCGTGAGAAAATATATCAGCTAGAGCGAAGACTCGCAGTTTTAATTCAGCATCGTAAGCATGGCGTTTTCGTTTCAAACCCATAATGAGAATGTCAGTCAGTAAAAATATACCAACTTTTATAACCCCCTTTACACCACTATTGTATGTTAATCCAATTGAATTAAATAAACTATCATACTATGAACACATTAAATGACCATCACTTACTCACAGGCTTCTCCAGTTTATGAAACTAATCTCTCGAAAACAAAGGAATTAAGCCCCTACTCCCAACACGATCGCTAAGCACCCACAACTTGAAAATGTTTGTGTAAACAACATGACAATACCAATCGGCCCGTTATAATCAGTGCTCATTTCCTTGTGTACCTTGTTGCTTTTTAAACAACAGGAAGCAATCACGGTGGTCACCGTTTGTGACGTCACAGGAAACAGCTGATCACATGTTTTTGCAAATGGCGAACGGAATAACTCGCCGATACAGTTTTATATATGCCTCTTTCAATAAAAGTAGACACTTGTTCACTATCAATTTATGCACTTTGCAAAACGTATGTAATAGCTATTGGCGATTGCATCTGGGGATTATATATTATAGCTGTGAATTACATACACATGTAAAGATTGTGGAGTTTATGAAGAACGATAAACTTTGAACATTCAATTGAAAACTTATTATCGGAAGTAGTAACATGCATAACATTTTTTTAATAATGACAACATTGGTGTATAATAATAACTTTATTGATAATTTATAACAATAATGATTCTAGTCGTGGCAACTTCCAAACTTTCGGGAAGTTGTAATCTATCGGACCGTCATTCAGGCGATGTTTCTGACAGATCACGATCTGAAAAATACTATCATGAAAGTGTATCCCGTGGATAAGCCGACCCCTTTCTACAGAATCTTTTTTCTGATCCTCAAAATTCAGCTTATACGCGGTCATATACGGTAGGTTATGAATGGCCCTCAAATAAGATTACTTTAGCCATACAGAAATTTATTCCACATACCGGTACTTGGAAACATGGTTTTACACATACTAACTGAGAATGGATACAAATAATTTACATTTTGAGTCCTGGAGCTGCAGTTGAATCATTACAAACAAATCAAAGTGGCATATGTTACATGTAACTGACATTTCCATCCTGCAAAGAAAAATACACTCAAATTTCGGAGTATCAATGGTTTATTTTCTTCAAAATGTTTAATCTTACATCTTAACAATAAACTGCCCCTCTACAACAGGCTTCGGCACCTGTGCAATGATATGACATCAGCAAAGATCTTGGAACCTGGCCAGCATGGGAGCATTATATTCATGCCTTGGGACACCCAAATTATTTCGAAGAGTCTCCTGGCCTCATAAATAGATTGATGCAGGTAAATTCTTTTGAAAGAAACCTTTTCACACTTACACAAGATCTGCAGTAGGAGGAAGGTTATAGATAAAAGCAAATATCCCAATCTTCCAATGCAGCATCACGGAACACATGGCTACCAGTGCTTATAAACATACTTGACATCCACAAGTATGACAAGTGCATCAGATACTGTGTCACTCATTAGCAATAATCCACACTCTGCCCTCAAGTGCCACTACACGTACCTTCCTCTGTATGGGTGTGGGGATCTTGTAGCCCTTCCTTGTGATGCCCTTGTACACAGGGTAGGACAGCCCTGAAACAAACATCACAAAGCAGGGATGTCAAGTCACTCCTTCATAAAGTAGCAGTATTTACACGGATCATTCAGAGCTCCAGATAAGCTTTTGGTGTTGTGGGTATTTTACGCATGCATTTAAAATCATTGGGTATCAGTAATTCTATCTGGGTATTCAAATTTCTGTTACCCACTAGTTTTTACACATGTGGGAATTTAAGTTAAATATTTAACAACAAACTAGTTTCATGTGGGTTAGAGAGCTTTATAGGACTCAATAATACCACGATACTTCCACAAGAAAGTGTGATGGCAAATGATCATGATGTTACTGTCATCGTGGAGTTTGGCAAGGTTGAAGGAATACCCGTTTATAATTTCAAAATAAGTTGCTGTTTCGCTAATCGAAAATGCAGGGTTGCTTCACCATATTTTGATGATACGCACAAGTTTTATTTTTGTAGAGTATCTGTAATGTTCGTTGCGTATTTGATACGCTTTGATTTTATTTTACTGCGTATTTCTGCATTTCTGATGCGTAATTTATGCAGATACGCAGCCTATCTGTAGCTCTGATCATTTGTCACTATGTTGTCAAGTAGCATTTTGATTTTCATCCTAATTATTTGGACAAGGGCCTTTTTAGGCCCACTGATATATTGTTATGTAAATTATTGGACACCTGTTCGTATGATTGACATTTAGCAATATTTTGCCTTCTGACACTTGAAAGTTTTGGACAAATGACATGATTAAATACATATTGCTCATGTTGCTAAAATGTGTAAAAAGTAACATCAACAGAATATCAAACTGTGGTCAAGCCTATGATCAAAAGGATTGTGTTACTATAAGTTTACCTACGACTCCTATGAAAATGAGGTTGGATCAAAGGCTTGCTTTTCAAAAACAAGTTCTGCTCATATCTTTTACAATGAAAATCCTTTGGGTAAAAGGACCCTTATCATACCTTGTCTTTTGTGGAAAATCAAACATGCGAAAACATTAAATTAACCATAACTACTGGTTATGATTTTTTAAACACCTTACACAATCTAAAGCTAACCATGTTAACATGTTTGTGTGTGGAATCCTTTCATTCTACTAGCAGTGTAGTGACACGTGAGTGAGTGAGTTGGGTTTAACGCCGCTTTTAACAGTATTCCAGTTACATCACGGAGTGTCACCTTAATGTGGGAGGAAAGCTCAAAGTTATGCAGGTCTCGGGCGTTTAGCACTTCGGTAAAACCCATGAGCATGGGTATGGTGCTGACAAACTTAGAAACATAAAAGGGCGAACCGGGGTTCGAACCCACTATCATAGGTATCTGGCATGCCCAACGGACGCAACTCTGCACAGTGAATCACGGCGCCTTAGACGACTGGGCCACCCGTGTCCCCAGTGACATGTGAGGAGTAGTTGTCAGCTTGGAAGCATCTGCAGCAGCAAGACGCTCAATAATGCCTGGAGCAGACCCATTCTACCAGGGTCTCAATCCACAAAGCAATCTTAGCGCTACAGTTGTCGTAAGTCTATGTTAAAGTATGGCAGTTACATACACCATAGCCCTATGATTTTTGTAAGTCTTTGTTAAAGTATGGCTGTTGTGATCACCTTAGCGCTATGATTGTTGTAAGTCAAAGTTAAAGTATGACAGTTATGATCACCATAGCACTACAATTGTTGTAAGTCTATGTTAAAATATGGGAGATACAATCATCTTAGAGCTAAGATTGCTTTGTGGAATGGGGTACACTACAATATAGCTTTCAGGAAGAAATTTGTTTCCAAATTAAAAGTAGCATGAATAGTAGTGAGTGCGTGAGTATGGTTTTACGCCGCTTTTAACAATATTCCAGCAATATCATGGGCTTCACACATTATACCCATGTTGGGAATTGAACCCGGGTCTTCGGCGTGACGAGTAAGCGCTTTAACCACTAGGCTACCCGACCACCCCAAATGAATAGTAACTTTTGATTTTGGCTCTGCAAAACAACATTCTACAGTTCTACACTAAAAGTAACATGTATCATGAAAAAATGCGCCTTGATCATGCTGATACAAGTATTGTATCATGAGACTATTTAATCTTGTTAAAAAACGATAAAAGTACAGGAAGTGCAAAGGCTATGTGAAATGGTAGGAAAAAGAATTGCAAAGTACTACATTCTGACTGTTTATATGTGAGTTCTCAAGGCACTATTGTTCTTATAACTCGAACCTAAGAGTAAAAAACCTGTTTGCATGGGCCTCTAGCCATTCCCTTGAAGATAGTATGTCTACTTGACATGACAATTGGCAAGCTTATTCTATGTATCATATTGTGTATCACATCAGGCCCTACTATGGAGATATACATGGTGTTGTGATGAAGTGCACTTCCCTAACCACCTCACTGCTCACACTTATCTACAATAATCTAGGCAATGACTCAATGAGGCAAGCAAAATTGACTTTGAAAATTCACTGATTGATTGGTCGGTGATGGTAGCTATTACAGGGTAGACACCATCAGTTTTACCCAACTAATTCACAGCTCGTATTGGATGAATGGATCATGTAAAATAGATCGATTTTGGAAGAAAACAATCAGTCTCTCTAGATTTTCATCAGTCTCTGGCTGACTAGAGCTCGGACTAAAATGATGAATCAGTATTTACCCATAACTTGGAAGCCACCAGACTTTTTCTTCTTCCTGTTTTGTTGCGTTACGAGTTTCCGTGTCTGTGCCATCTCCTCATCTGAGTCCATATCAGACTCCTCATCGCTATTCTACAATATTCAACCATACATGTCAGTCTTCCCATCACCATCACTAGTCTGCATGTGTAATATTCAACGGGTGCAGGTGGAAATGGCACCTTAGCAAAACATCACCAATTTAGTAAAATGATTGATCATGTTGATTCTCTTTTTGTCACGATATTTCCCATACCACTAATAACATGGTCTTCTATTGATTCTCTTTTTGTCACAATATTTCCACATACCACTAATACCAAGGTCTTCTATTGATTCTCTTTTAGTCACGATATTTCAACACACCACTAATAACATGGTCTTCTATTGATTCTCTTTTTGTCACGATATTTCCACATACCACTAATAACATGGTCTTCTATTGATTCTCTTTTTGTCACGATATTTCCACATACCACTAATAACATGGTCTTCTATTGATTCTCTTTTTGTCACGATATTTCCACATACCACTAATAACATGGTCTTCTATTGATTCTCTTTTTGTCACGATATTTCCACATAGAACTAATAACATGGTCTTCTATTGATTCTTTTTGTGTCACGATATTTCCACATACCACTAATAACATGGTCTTCTATTGATTCTCTTTGTGTCACGATATTTCCACATACCACTAATAACATGGTCTTCTATTGATTCTCTTTTTGTCACGATATTTCCACATACCACTAATAACATGGTCTTCTATTGATTCTCTTTTTGTCACGATATTTCCACATACCACTAATAACATGGTCTTCTATTGATTCTCTTTTTGTCACTGACTATGAGTTTAATTGAATAAAGGTACTTAAAACTTCAAAGTATTTGTTGTTTTCACAATGAGTTTACTTGCGCATCCCAATCAGTGTCGGTGAGTTTATTTCTAATTTCCAATGAAAACATGTTGTAGGTAATTAACATTTTCCAGTTACTTGTGTTTGCATGTTGACCTGTAAGTTTAATTTAATTTATTTCTTGTTTTTAAACAAGGGGTAAAAAATTTAAAAATAAAAATAAGGCACCGTTCTTGCCTTGCTATAGTAACCATTTGGCTGTGGGTCAATTTTTATTATTGGTGCTCTTTTGCTGAGGTGCTGTTTTAGCAATAGCATGGTATGCTATATTATTACGATAGTTAATTTATAATAGATTATAATGGCGAATGCTTACCAACATATCAAATATGTCATACGCAAAATGTTTCTTGTTCTTTATTCAACTTAATGACACTTCAATTAGGATTGATCTATGCTGATTTTCTTTACTGAGTTCGGTAAACTGGTACCTTGTACATGTATCTGTCATTAACGACTCAAAGGCAGACAACTCTAAATTATTGCGGGATCACTATTTTTTGTGGTGTGATACATGTGGATTATGTGGTTTACATAACTTCCTGTTTTGGATTATGCATAATCAGTATTCATACCACCAATGTTGGGTCAAGGGACATCTTCCAACCAGTGGATTCATTTCTAACCAATTTTGAATGTAGGTAGGGGTAATTTAACCACCTTTCAAACTCCCTTTCACTTGTCTCAACATGCCATGCATGCTGAAGGTGTGACATATAACCATTTATTACCTACGAGGTCAAACATATCGGGGTTCATAAATATCATATGTGCCCTAGGGTCATATCAGGTCATGAGACAACAGTGTATAATTGTTTCCGTCATCTCGATGGCTTGATATGTCAATTGAATCTTATTGTGACGTGAGGTCGTAATGAAGTCTCACTAGAAACGACTCCATAGCTGAAGATTATTGACGACAAATCGTGGTTCCGCTGCTGTTGTCATGGTTGTGACTTACTGTCCTTATAGGTAAACACTAAACTTCGTCTCTGTATGTAGATATCTTCTTCGGATTAATAGAACATCATATTCGTGTTCAACTTCATGTCACACTTTGTTTACGACACTCGTGCCTATTGTATCGTAGACACACGTATCATAAACATAGTATGACATAAACACTCATACAATATCCTCTATATATACATACTAAATTTGATCATAATCCTTTTTCTTATTATTCACAAATCCAGTTGACTGCGAATATTAATATCTTTATATACCAACACATTTTCCATCATGTCTATCACATTCTTCTTATCAAGTTTATCACATATCACAAAAAGGTTTCAGAAGAGATATTTGCTGTTCACTCCCCTTCATATCTTTCCTTGGTTTCCGACAATATAATAATGAAAAGCAATTTAAAAGAAACTTCGACACCAGCTAGACAGTCTGATTTTACACAACTAGATCTATAAACTACAAGTGAATTAATAACTGGATTAATTCCCTACGGTATAGCCAAAGTGAATTCCTTAGCCTGAAGAACACAAACAGCAACACTTAGCAAGACACGAATAAACAAGTTAGAAAAATGCAGATAATAGATATATATATATTCCGTAAACTACCTTATGTTTGACATTTCTGTTGGTGGTGACCACTTCTAAATCATCGGATTCCTGATCACTGTCAACTTCCTCATCAGGAGATTTCGACGCTTTAACTTCCACCTTTCCTTTCTGATTATGTTGTTTTCTATTCTTTGGCTTATATTTCTTCTTGTTTCGACCCTGTTTAGGTCTTGCCATTTTAACAACACTTCAAGGCATGAACACGTGCGTGCTATTTTTACTTAACAACAAGTTGTCTCCCTTCGTATGAAACGAATAAGAAATATTTGTACTTGCGTCTTCAGGTCAAGGGGATGTCACTCTAATTGTAGTAAACAGGAAGTAATAAATTTACGAACCAAAACGAGTCTGTCATGGCGCCGATGTGGACGAGTCACGCATTTCGGCTTGTGAAAAACTGATTACTTAGACCCATATCGCAATAATGATGACACTTAGGAGTAAACTGTAACATAGATGTAAGCATCGTTTTTGATAATGTAAGAAAAAATTCCCCTTACGTCCTATCTGTGGGATACAATCTGTGTGAATATGGAGGGAAGCATATATCAGCTCGATCCGTTGCATTCACTTTTTACTCGTCTTTCTGAGCATCAGTTCTTTCACATTGTTCTCTTGAATGGACACCACTAACTTTGGATCAGTTTCTTTAGAAACAGTATATGCAATTAATGTAAAATCAGACCCAAATCAAAACTTCTTGAAAGTTAAAATTGAGAAGTAAGAACAAAAACATAAAAACAGCAAAGTACACTTTTTAGGAACACAACATGCTTGAGACATTACGTAGAAAAATCAAGACATCCCAGTGGTTTACAGAGATGTTACCAGAAATCTAGTCACCATGATTGTTTGATGCTATTAATCTAGCCACATACAACAGCGTCACTCATTGAGAAATAAGGCGATGATGCTGAAAAAAATAAATGACTGCTTGCATTTGTGTGGTTTAATTTAATTAAACCTACAAAAGAATTTCAAAGCAATTCATAACTTAAATAATTGGACCTCAATATTGAAAAATTACTAAAAAATAGATGTTCCATGATCATGATAAAGGCATGTGGCAACCTCATCAGTCACATTCCTCAGAGCTACATTTCAACAAATACATAGTATTTTTCATTAACTTATGTTAGTAAAACTTACATTAACTTGTGAAAGCTTTTATCTCAAGCCATCATTGTGTTGGGTAAGCTCCCTCCCCAATCACCCTATTATTTTAGCATGGAGGCTCAATATGGCATCTGAAAAACTTAGAAACAATTACTTGGGAAGGAGCTTGTGCACATCTTTACCAAAATGGCAGAGGTTCTCCGCTAAAATACCTTAATTGTTACTTGCGTGAAGTCTTGAGTCAAATCCTGTTCTGCCTGATATTATAGTGACCACATACAGTTGACACTATTATTTACATTCCTTGGTGCATTATCTTTATTCTCAACATACACACTGGTAATTGTATTGAATTTGATTCCTCAGGGCTGTTTTCACTGATTTAGGAAATATCCCCTCTAAACCTATATTGTATGTATGCACATTTGATATTTGATGCTGTTTGATGTTCTGTAACCATGGATACCTGTTAGAGAAGGTCATCTACATGACCTTCATTCAACCAATCGAATTCAATGCATGAACTTCCTGAAAAATATGTCAATGTCTAATACAAATTGTAGGTTACATTAAATATTTCTTATCACTGTAATTATTTCCCTTAATTCAAAGTGTGTCAAGCTTTCCCAGTGATTAAGAATTGTAAAAAAATAAGAACAAAAATAATACAAACAATTAAAAAAATAAGAATCCATAAATGCCAAAAGACAGACACTAGTCTTTTTATTTGGATATCACTAGTATATAAGGGAAGGAAAAAAACCAACATATCAATATTAATGTTGGGCAATATAAAAAATGTCCTAGTACTCCTACCTTGCTTTTCGCTTTTGAGAAAAAATTGCCTGATAAACCTTTTTTGTGTAGCCTAACTGATGATTGCTTGAAAGTCTGTGATATATAACAGTAAACTTGAAACATTTTTCAGCGTTAAACTAGTAGAATCTCCATCATGAGTCAGAGACGGTGGGAGTTGCCTCCTCGATGGCTCCACTGCCCACGGAAGGGTCAGCCTGTTGCAGGTGAGCTTGTGTCATGGTCTGTTCGTCATTTGTTATACATGCTTGCCATCTGTAAATATTTCTCCTGTGAAATGTACATCCAGATGAAGTTGAGACTTTGCATGTTTTTACAAATACGGAAGTGAAAGTCTTTTCAAATACTTCAGATCCTATTGTTCATTGTTTTTGCGGCACTTGAAAATAATTAAAATCAGAAAAAATCATTGAAACATAAATGTCATTAACCAGGATGACAATAAAAAGTCTTCAAATGTTCCTGTTCCATTTCTTACTTCATTTTTATAAATTGAAAAGTAATGAACACTACAAGGAAATGTTCACAAGGAAAGGGTTCGATCCCCTGCCGTGTCATACCAAAAGACGTTAAAAGATGGTACTTGTTGTTACCCTGTCTGGCGCTTGGCATTAAGGGGCTAAAACAAGGACTGGTCGGCTCGGAGTCAGTATACTGTGTGTGAGTGGGGTATTCATGTTAAACATTGTCATGGTATCTCAGTGAGCTAGCACTATAAATCGGCATCAGTCCGGACTAGTACAAGCAGCCACACAAACACATACACATACATGCACGTCGCTAAATAAGTGCAATAATCTTGGACGCGACGTTAAACCCAATTTCACCTCACCACCACATTCTTAGAAAGCACAAGGCCAAGCTAAATCATGATGTTGGAACCACAAAGTAATGTGTTGTAACATATCATTGATAGCTTTTCTTATGGGCATGATTAGTTTCATAAAGTCTTCAAAAGCTGACTGTTGGAGGTGAATGACAACATTGTTATACTATTTTACACCTTGAACTGTTCCTGTTGCTGATGAAATGAGCATAACATGCATAACCGACATGTGTAAATAGAACTCTCTTCATTACATTGCCACTATGTTTGGCATCAGATTAATGATGCTTGACAACAGTGATTATAAATGTTGATGTTTGCTCAGTATGGGAGTCATTCTTTCCACAGGCAAGTTTCTCCCATTCAAGACACCACTGGACTCAAAGTATGATGATCAAATCCCTGATGAAAATATTTTCAACATCCAGATGCTCTTCCTTTCTCTCAAAACTTTCAAGGTATGCAGTTTCCACCATGACACTACATTCTTCCATAATGGAGAAACCAAGTTTATGCTGTCAAACCTCATATCTAATTATCTAATCTACTCTTTATTTCTCAAAATCTCATGTTTATCATTTTGTATTTTACAATATGGCTTAGATAATTTGACACGATCAGGAAATAGTTGGTTTTTTTGTTGTTATTTTGTGTGTGTGTTTTTAGGTGGGTAGTAGTTAATATTTTGCAGTTTTAGAGATAAAAATATACATTTTTGAACTTGTCCTTTCTCACACTATGCATTTCTCCCTTCTTCTTTCGATTATTCTGTGGAAACATGCTTGACAAAGTTTTGAGCTTTTAAAAACAATTCACCTGAACACATGTCCGCATCGCCATGGTCACCACCCAAACAAATGGGTCACACACTGTAATCCCGTGCATAGTGACCTACAGGACATGATCACATGAATGCCCCTGCCACATCATTCCCTTTATTATTGCCACACAGGATACATGTACTGAGTTCTTAGAGAATACATTTTCTTCATGTTTTTGCAGATTTCCCTCCAGTATCAGTATTCATTAACTTTACATTTTAACCTGATAGAGGATGGATTCCGGACATGACAATCGCCCGGCATATCTTGAGTGCAGACAATCCTTTTCCACTTCGGATTCTCACAATCTCTGTTGTGATTGTCATGGCCTTTTTAGCAAAGACAAAAGATATTCCTAGTGTTCTCATCTCACGGATAAATCGACCTACGCAAATGCCAAGAATCGATGATCGGGGAATTGACACTGATTTCTACCATACCGTCGGTAATCTAACACCCATCTCCAGGTATCAATGGACCTTTTCCGACTTCAAAAGCAGCATCTGGAGGAGCAACAGAAGAGGAATCGATGTCAAACACAACCACCTCCGTGAAGTTCAGGGAGCGAAGACTAGTTCCTTTTGTGGCCGAGGGCGTGGCCATCAAGGACATCGGGCTCAAAGTCCTCCGGGCGCTCTGTGTCATTCACCGCTTCCAGGGATATGGGCGAGCCTGCCAAGCACAGCGACACGTCCCCCAAGCTGTGGGAAATTACGCCTTACTTGTACCCTTTGTAGAGACTCCCGTAGGCAGAAGACTCAGTCTATATGCAGCAAACTGGTCCATCCTGGCCGATGCTTTCGTCACGGTTCTCCTGGAGAACGGTTACAGGCTGCTGCTAATCAGAATTCTTCCGCCGACGTCCACACCCCTTCAGTGAGTCTATGCGGCCAGTAAGCTTCTGTTGCTAAAAGAAACCATCGGTATGTTGCTTTCAAAACAAGCTATAGAATGTCTAGGTCCAGACCCCGGTACCCAGGGATTAACTCCCCGATCCTCCTGGTCCCTGAAGAAAGACAGCATGAGGTTCCGGATGATCTTCGATATAAAGACATTCAATGCGTTGTATCTAGAAGACACATTTCAGCATGACATCTCTCGCACTCCTTTGAACAATCAGCCGACCCGGCGACCAAATGGTCAGTCTCAACCTCCAGAACAGGTATCTATATGTACCCAACCATTGGGAGCATTGCCATTTCCTACGTGTCATTTTTCAAGGCCAACACTACCAATGGAAGGTGCTCCCTTTTGTAATTTCTATGGCCCTTTTTACCCGTGGCTATTTACCCATATTACCAAGCCCATCACAAAGTTCCGGCACATTTGAGGGATAGTCTTCAAGTCATACATTGATGATTGCATTCAGGCCCACGCAGATCCAGAAGTTGCTCGGACGTCTGACCTCAGCACAAGCCCTCTCACTCAGATTCGGTACTTCTTGAAGCCCCTCCTTCAGGGCGACAATTGCCAGGTCCAGATCTCGCTGCCGATCTCTCTGCGTCCGTATCTTCAGTGTTGATTGGTGATATCGAATATTGTGCCGGAGTCTCTTTGCAGCTGTTGTCCCGACCCAACACATCTTTGTCGACGCATCGAATGTGGGCTGGGGAGCTCACTTTCATCCTACAGGTGGCAGGGCACTGGTCTGCCGAAGCGAAGCGACTCAATATCAACAACCCCGAATTCTAGGCATTCATTCTGGTAGTGTCCCACTGGGCAGAGCTCCTTCGTGCATCACACCTCATGATCCAGTGGGACAATCTATCAGTTGTCTGGTATTTAAACAAGATGGGCTCCACCAACCTGAAGTTGCTCCTGTCACTGTCGATCGACTTTTTGCCAGCTGATTAACTAAGGTCTGAGTGGGGCACATTCCCGGGCACATCAAACAAGGCGTTTCCACCCAATGATATTGCAGTCGCTCTGCCAACTTAATCCAAGCCCAGATGTTGACCTCTTCACAAGCAGGTTCAACGTTCAGATACTGATCCTCAGGCATGGGACCATGACGCTCTCTCTTGGGAGGACATCAATGCCTAGGCCTTTCCTCCCAACGGCATTCTACCTCAGGTCATTCAGAAGGCAGCAACCACCTTTCACTGCTTTTGGTCACGCTATATTGGCCAACTTGGGGTTGGTTCAATGCTGGTACAACTCATAGGAAGAAAGTTCCACCATCTGCCACTGCAGGATGATTTTCTCCAGCCTCTCTCCCACCTGCTACATGTGTCGCCCAAAACGCTCCATCTGGCTCATCTCCAGAAGTCATTTGTCACCAAAGGGTATGCAAGGAGAGTAGCCAAGACCAACACTGAGGCTCAAATACCTCTACTAAGACCCCATATGGCCACAAATGGAAAGTGTTTGAAGCCTACTGTCGAGCTTGTGACATCAACAAGCCATCCACTGCTTCTTCTCAACAGGTTGCTGAATATCTCCAACATTTGCGATCTACTTGGAAGCTTAAAGGGTCCAAGCTTTGGCTACCTATCTCGATGCGATCAACTCCGTCATTGCCACTACAACAGGATCAAAGATCTCTACGGTTGCTGAGTTAAAGTCCTTCATTTGGTCTTACAACTTGGCTGATCAGTCATCTTGCTTTCAGGCAAGTCTTTGCCTTCACTGGATTGCTTCAACCTGTGACATCCAACTCCACATGATACTTGGACCGTCGCCTCGACCATGGCCTTGCACAGTAATTGCACCTGTCCACCATTATGGAGGGATGCTTTTGGAAGTCTGGTACTGTTTTCCCTTCCCATTATCTACATGAAATCTCCGTCCCCGACGTTCAGGGCCTCCATCTGCACTACAGATGACATCTGCACACCAGCGCAGATAGACGATACGGGTACCCACTCCTGCTACTCAGTACTCCTTATCTTGTAGATACAGAATAAATCTTGGAACTATCGCACCTGTGTTTATTGTCTTTATTATTCAGGTTCCAGACTGTGTACCCATTTGATGGTGAGGCTCCACCCCTGTAGACTCCAGTCTTCAACATCGAAGTCACCGCAAGGTGTGGCCGTTTCGGCGGTGTCCTGAGCCCTTACCTGCTCACCTCTCCCTTGTGCATGTGGTGTATCAGTATTGGTTCGAAGATCCTCTTATGGATATTGTCGATCATTTCTCTTTGCGTCTTAGCATGCTTCAATCCCTTGGGCATGATTGATAGCTTTGACTAAGGGTTAAAAGAGATGCTGAGCTGGCTTACCCTATTGTCCATCGGAGATAGTGGAGTCTGTCTTGTAGAATCGATTGACTGGAGTCCCTTCTGGATCAATTATGAGTTGTATGATGAATACTACATGATCATTCATGAAACGATGTCATACGTAAAAACAGGTAACACCTGTCATACCCGATTTCATGATGTTACGTCCGCCTAACATATAGGGATCACATCACTTATTTTGGTGTGTCTTCCCCCGCACGAGTTCTTGTCTTTATGACATTAGGCAGTGTTCTAGATTATTTTATTTGTATCACTGTTTAGCACCAGCTTCCTCGTATGTGTCTCACGTCTCATGGTTGTAATCTATACAGACAAGGGTATCTGCACCTCTCCGTCCAACCGTGGGATAAATGCATGGAATGAGATAGGTTAAGTTTAAATTTTTTTAAATTTATATACTTATCCTATCTCACATGCTATATCCCTTCCGACTATCCCCGCATCTCAGCTGTTCTAGCCTGTTAGCTCGAAGAAAGAGAATGATCTGGCAAGGTAGTCATGTGATCATGTTGTGTAGGTCGCTATGCACGGGTTTACAGTGCGTGACCCATTTTCTTGGGCAGTGACCATGGTGATGCTTGGGATGTGTTCGGGTGAATTGTGGTCAAGTTTATGTTTTTTTAAAAGTCTTTAACATAAGTCTGCCTATAGCCAGTCCATAATTGTATGACCGCTACTCCAAAGCCCTAAGAGACCACGAAGATCCGGGGTAGAATAGGTCTTCAGCAACCCATGCTTGTCGTAAAAGGCGACTATGCTTGTCGTAAAAGGCGACTAACGGGATCGGGTGGTCAGACTCGCTGACTTGGTTGATGCATGCCATCAATCCCAATTGCGTGGATCAAGGCTCATGAAATTAATCACCGGATTGTCTGGTCCAGACTCGATTATTTACAGACCGCCGTCATATAGCTGGAATATTGCTGAGTGCGGCGTAAAACAACAAACTAACGAACAAACAACCAACTAAAGCCCGAACTTGTGGATTGGCTTGTGTCTCAAGACTCCTCATCACCTCCATGATGTAGTGTCTGCACTCTGCGTCAATGGTGAGGACAGTCGTTACATCATCTCCATGATGTAGTGTCTGCACTCTGCGTCGATGGTGAGGACAGAGTCGTTACATCATCTCCATGATGTAGTGTCTGCACTCTGCGTCGATGGTGAGGACAGTCGTTACATCATCTCCATGATGTAGTGTCTGCACTCTGCGTCGATGGTGAGGACAGTCATTACATCATCTCCATGATGTAGTGTCTGCACTCTGCGTTGATGGTGAGGACAGTCGTTACATCATCTCCATGATGTAGTGTCTGCACTCTGCGTCGATGGTGAGGACAGTCGTTACATCATCTCCATGATGTAGTGTCTGCACTCTGCGTCGATGGTGAGGACAGTCGTTACATCATCTCCATGATGTAGTGTCTGCACTCTGCGTCGATGGTGAGGACAGTCGTTACATCATCTCCATGATGTAGTGTCTGCACTCTGCGTCGATGGTGAGGACAGTCGTTACATCATCTCCATGATGAAGTGTCTGCACTCTGCGTCGATGGTGAGGACAGAGTCGTTACATCATCTCCATGATGTAGTGTCTGCACTCTGCGTCGATGGTGAGGACAGAGTCGTTACATTCTCTCCATGATCTAGTGCCTGCACTCTGCGTTGATGGTGAGGACAGTCGTTACATCATCTCCATGATGTAGTGTCTGCACTCTGCGTCGATGGTGAGGACAGTCGTTACATCATCTCCATGATGTAGTGTCTGCACTCTGCGTCGATGGTGAGGACAGTCGTTACATCATCTCCATGATGAAGTGTCTGCACTCTGCGTCGATGGTGAGGACAGAGTCGTTACATCATCTCCATGATGTAGTGTCTGCACTCTGCGTCGATGGTGAGGACAGAGTCGTTACATTCTCTCCATGATCTAGTGCCTGCACTCTGCGTTGATGGTGAGGACAGAGTCGTTACATCATCTTCATTGGGGGCAGTTTATTGTCAGTACCGTATATCAGATGATGAAGCTGGAGTTTACAGTATTGGTTTGGATGATAACAACACCAAGTGCTGTAGGTGTCTTGTAAGAGGCGGGAAATGAATCTTAACATGACAACTGCTCAGGGATTGGACTGTCTGTGTGAGCATTAGCTCTGAAAACAACAGTTCAATAGCATGAATTTGACTATGAGATTAACTACTGTCTTGGTCTACGGTCTTGGTCTTGTACAAGTAGATCAGTGTCTGTGTCTAGTCTGTGGACCGTCTAACCATTAATAGCTTAAATGTAGGCTCTGTGTAAGCATAACACAAGGCAGTGTAAACTAATTGTTTTGCGAGATATGTTTAATCAATATGTTCGACCGAAGATGTTTACAGAAGGGTAGTTCCAATGTGACGTTTCTAAGGCCATGTGTTTTTTAAGGTCTTCAAGCTTTGTAAGCCATGTTAACTACTCATCTTTATTTGTTTCAGACCAAGATGGGCCTGCTGATCGACCTGACCAACACAACCAGGTTCTATGACAATAAGGAAGTTGACGGCCAGGACTGTAAATATCTCAAGCTACAATGTAAAGGGTGAGCAGGGCTGGACATTTATAGAAAGTAGAAACAAGCCAGGTGTCTAGTGAAAAACAATCTTCTAGCCAGGTGTCTAGTGAAAAACACAATCTTCTAGCCAGATGTCTAGTGAAAAATACAATCTTCTAGCCAGACGTCTAGTGAAAAACAATCTTCTAGCCAGATGTCTAGTGAAAAACGCAATCTTCTAGCCAGATGTCTAGTGAAAAATACAATCTTCTAGCTAGGTGTCTAGTGAAAAACGCAATCTTCTAGCCAGATGTCTAGTGAAAAACACAATCTTCTAGCCAGGTGTCTAGTGAAAAACGCAATCTTCTAGCCAGGTGTCTAGTGAAAAACACAATCTTCTAGCCAGGTGTCTAGTGAAAAACACAATCTTCTAGCCAGATGTCTATTGAAAAACACAATCTTCTAGCCAGATGTCTAGTGAAAAACACAATCTTCTAGCCAGATGTCTAGTGAAAAACAATCTACTAGCCAGATGTCTAGTGAAAAACACAATCCTCTAGCTAGGTGTCTAGTGAAAAACACAATCTTCTAGCCAGATGTCTAGTGAAAAAAAATCTACTAGCCAGATGTCTAGTGAAAAACAATCTACTAGCCAGATGTCTAGTGAAAAACACAATCTTCTAGCTAGGTGTCTAGTGAAAAACACAATCTTCTAGCCAGATGTCTAGTGAAAAACAATCTACTAGCCAGATGTCTAGTGAAAAACACAATCTTCTAGCCAGGTGTCTAGTGAAAAACACAAACTATGTTTGAGTATCACTAGCCCAACACTCAAGGCATTTATCATATTCGCCTGCTCCAATAAGTGCCCCAAATCAAAGTCTAGACTTATCTGTAAATAATCTTTATAAAGCGCTCCCTACAAAGACCGAAAAATGATATGACAGTCAATATTTTCTTGTGCATATGACAGAAACAGTAAGAATGGGTGCATAAGTGAAAACCTTTCAGTTTCAGCGATGTTTGGACTAAGTTTGATCACTACTGCTTGATCTCTGAAAACAAATTTACCTTTTGTAAGAATTTAACAAATGCCCCCTTTGAAAATTTTCTTAGTGCATGGGATGTTTTTATGGCGAATTTGGTAAGAGTTGTCAGATATGGTCATGGTGGTATGATATGCTCTAACTGCCATTGTTGAGAGTGTGTTCTATGTTGTGTGTTTCAGTCGATCTGAGACTCCCACTGTGGAGCAAACACAAGCTTTTCTTGAAGTGTGTCACAGATTTTTAACACAGAAACCTCTGGAAATTATTGGTAAGAATGCTTTTCTTCTGTAATTTTGTGTCAGATCATGCAAAGTGCGGTTTCAGTTGATATGATTAACACGTTATATATTAATTAATCAATGTAACCAATATCTCAGATTCTAGTTCATCTGGCTCTTCATTGTTTTCAATACAAAATTGGATTGTGACAGTGTGGCTTTGTAACACTTTGTGAGTAAGTGTAGGTAGGAGCACTCGGACCTGGTGTCCAGTCTTTGAAATGGTTAGTCAGAGTCTGGGGTGTGGAGCGCTTAGCTAACCACTTCAATGATTAGACACCGTGGTCCGAGTGCTCTAACCTGCTTAGCCTAGTGGTTAAAGCGTTTGCTCGTCACGCCGAAGACCCGGGTTCGATTCCCGACATGGGTACAATATGTGAAGCCCATTTCTGGTGTCCCCCGCCGTGATATTGCTGCAATATTGCTAAAAGCGGCGTAAAACCATACTCACTCTTTCACTCACTCTAACCTGCTTAAACCATGTCCAACGTTTGTAGCACCTAAAATGCTTAAAAAACATTGTTTGTTAAAGGTATTTTGAAAGATATTCAGGAACTATATGCTCAACTGTGAGAACACTGTGAGTTGCCCCTATGTAATGCATGTTACGTACCTGCACCTTTCACACATGCACATCGCTCTTTGCAGACTCGGGTGATGAAATGCATGACCCGGGTTAAGTATACCATTCATTTTGGATCAGCTCAGCGCATTTATCAATCACCTAAGCACTACTCAATCTGACTCATGTCCATGTGCTCCATACAGGCGTCCACTGTACTCATGGCTTCAACAGGACTGGCTTCATGATGGTGGCTTATCTGGTGGAGAAGATGTCCTGGAGGTGAGATCCGACACTTTCACAGCATCATTGACTGGATGTTTCTACAAGTGTATCAGAGCTCCAGATAAGCTGCGTATCTGCGTAAAAAACGCATCAGAAATGCAGAAATACACAGTAAAATAAAATCCAAGCGTATCAAATACGCAACAAACATTACAGCTACGCTACAAAATAAAACTTGTGCGTATCATCAAAATATTGTGAAGTAACCCTGCGTAATTGATTAGCAAATCAGCAACTTATTTTGAAATTATAAAGGGGCATTCCGTCAACCTTGCCAAACTCCATGATGACAGTTACATCATGATCATTTGCCATCACACTTTCTTGTGGAAGTATCGTGGTATTTTTGAGTCCTATAAAGCTCTCGAACCCACATGACACCAGTTTGCAGGGACTAGATAAATAGTGTTTTAAATATTTAACTTAAATACCCACATGTGTAAAAACTAGTGGGTAACAGAAATTTGAATACCCAGATAGAACTACTGATACCCAATGATTTTAAAATGCATGGGTAAAATACCCACAACACCAAAAGCTTATCTGGAGCTCTGTGTATGTTTTCATACTGTCCCTTATTCACAAAGGGTTGATGGGGTAAGGAGAAGAAGGTCAAGGTTCAATTTCCTGCTGTGATGTGGCCGGAATGTTTCTTAAAGCAGTGTACCTCATTCACACAATTCATGAATCATAAGGAATAATTTTGTATGCCTGGCCCTGTTCCACAAGGCAATCTGAGAACTATAGCTGTTGTAGGTCAGTTTTATGATATCAATGTTACTGTCAACTTAGCACGAAGATCGATTTAAAGAACGTAGACAGGACATTAGGTTTGCGAGGATAATTACACCACTATCAGAGAAAATGCAGTTAGCATAGATTTTAGTAAGGGTGATATGGGTCATTGTCTGATGCAATACCTTGATGTCTTGGTAAGATATCGAATGTCAATGCCGTGATACACTGTTGACAAAATAGTTATCTACCGCCAAACGTTTTGCGGGGTGTATTAAATTGGACACCTTCCGTCCTTGCGTTGTTTCCAGAGCTGATCTTGAAAACCGTGCAATATTTCTTCACCAAATGTGGTACATAGATACAGTTGTTGGTGAACTAGTGCCTTTTAATAGTTTGGAAATTTTGAAAAAAATATTTTTCTTGTTTCCAAGGCAACGACTTTCCCTTAGTCTGGAAATGGCAGTAGTGCTTGTTTCTGGAGCAGATTTTGAAAACTGTACAACATTTCTTCAGCAAACTTGGTACATAGATAGGTTTAGTGGTGTACTGGAGCATATGATAGTTCATGATTATTTTGTACAAAAAAATGTGCAGCAATTCGGGAATTAGTTTGGCCTTATTATACAGTTACCTTCCTAGGGAGTTACTACATTATATCATGCATCTAATTTCAAGACACATTTCAATTTGCACAATGCATTTTAATAATTTGTTCCATGTGCTGGCGATAGAAAGATTTTGGTGTGAAAATCTTTCTGTCAATTTATTGGGTTGTTTTTATTAATGATTTTATTTTTGAAATATGTACCTTGCTTAAGGGGCTGTAAGGTATTCAAGAAGTGCTCCAAAAGTTGTATTAATTATCCATGTTTTAAGAACAGTCTGTTGTTGAATCTAAGACTTGGTGAATGTGAGTGACTTTGTCATTATGTCAAATTATGCAAGGAAAAATACAATGCAGTATCTTAGAGATATAACCTATTTCAATACTATTATTGATTTTAATAACAGCAATGCTATTGCAATAGGAGAAATGTCCCCTATAGTCATGTATAGTCCCCCTGATTGATTGTAATGTATTTCTAATGTATGAACCATATTGTTACCACCGATGTGTAAGCTATAGTTTAGCTGATTAGAAGTCTATAATGAATGATGCCTGTTTGTGTGCTGTGATATTGTTTAAGGATGGTGACAATGTTTTTTTACTTCCAGTGTAGAGGCAGCTGTTCGAGCTTTTGCACAGGTGAGGCTTGGTGAAATATATGTGATGTAGATTCTGGGGAACTGGATAGCAAAAATTTCGAATTCATAATTTTTCTCATTTCACCTCTGAAATAATTGAAAATGGGAAATGTGTATCTGAAGTTGTGAAAACCAGTGAAACTCAATATTGCAATCTGTTCCATTCCAAAAGGTTTTTCTTTTTTTAAAGTTATGTCTTGTAACCTACTCTGCTTCTGCAAACAATCCAAACCTTGAACATCCTGATAGTTCATATGCCAAACTTGTAGGCACGGCCCCCTGGCATCTACAAGCAAGACTACTTGAATGAGCTGTTTGAGCGGTACGGAGACAAGGAGGACACGCCCCCTGCCCCACCCCTCCCTGACTGGTGTTTAGGTGAGTGGTGTGAGTTTGTCATTGAGGTGGAACATTTCAGATACACATCATGGCTGCTCCGTATTTGGCATGTGTGACCTCGCTGTCTGAGATACTGCAATTCACTGTCCAGAGTTGCTTCCTGGTCATGTAAGTGTGCCAGAAACCTATGATAATGGGTTTGATTTCCAGATTCTTCTTGATGATGTGTTAAAGTTTATCTGCACCATACCAGTGCTCATGAGTTTCACCAAGGTGATGAACATAAAAGACTACTGTCACTTAACAGGATCTTATGTTCTGTGTTTCCATAGACTGCCTCCATTGTCTAGTGGTAGAGCGTTCGCCAGGAGAGCGGAAGGTCCCCGACCGCGTCATACCAAAAGTTGTTAAAAGATGGTACTTGTTGTTACCCTGTCGGCGCTCGGCCCTGAGGGGCTAAAACAAGGACTGGTTGGCTCGGAGTCAGTATACTGTGTCTGAGTGGGGTATTCATGTTAAACTGCGGCATGGTATCTCAGTGAGCTAGCAGGGGTGGTCGGGTAGCCTAGTAGTTAAGTGTTCGCTCGTCACGACAAAGACCCATTTCTGGTGTCCCCCACAGTGATATTACTGGAATATTGCTAAAAGGGGCGTAAAACCATACTCACCACGGTAATGTCTGATGTGATGGCAATGTGTTTGAGGCTGTAGACAGACGGTAACTTGATGTTTTCACCTTACTTCTCAGAATATGACGACAGTGTTGATGATGATGGGAATAGTATGAACAATCAGTCAGAAGCCTCTAAACAGAATGGTTCCAGCAAACGGAAACGGGAATTCAACAAAAAGGTGAGTTAAAATCCTTGTAGATTGTCAACCTCAAGAAGTAGGTGTCCCTTCCTTAGTAATTTGATTGTTAATTGGCTCAAGAACAACTTACTTGTAACACATGTTTTTTAAGATTTATTAATACAAGTTACAAAGGTTTATCTTAGATAATACTGTTACAAGCTTCACATTTTGTAAATTTACAATCTTAAAATAACAGAAACACTGTCATGGGAAGCGTTTACCAAAACACTTGATAGCGTGTCAATGACGGCATCTGGACAAGCCGGGGTATGTGGTTCAGCAAAGGTGACTGTCATCAATCATTGTTGTATGACATCATCCTTCAAAATCCATGCTAGTTCGCTAGCCCTAGACTACTAAGTTTTGCTGAGAACAAGTGAAAATACAATGATGATAGTCCTCTCACAGTCTGAGACCTACAGACTCGGAGGACTAGTGAAATAAGGTTTAAACTACTCCTCTGGACTAGTCTTAATAAAAGGGTGGTCGGGTAGCCTGGTGGTTTAACCGTTCGCTCGTCACGCCGAAGACCCGGGTTCGATTCCTGACATGGGTACAATGGGAAGCCCATTTCTGCCATGATATTGCTGGAATATTGATAAAAGCGGCGTAAAACCATACTCACTCACTAGTCTTATAAAGAACAAGAAGTCTAAGGCTGTGACACACACACACGCACACACAAGAAAGATCAATGATATTATAAAGATCCTGTAATTAAAGTAATTATCAAATCTTACAGTACGGTACACCATTTCATTATGTCACAGGACCCTCATATTTCCTGTACGGACCCTTAAAGTTTGTTTATGGGGTTCCCTTGACCGCCGGTTTTGTAGGTCAAGATAAAACCGTAAATGTCTCATTGCAGGATGCCAAGTTCATGGAGGGTGTGTCGGGGGTGTTACAAGTGTCGGTGCAGCCCCGGCTGTCACAGATCCAGCAGTGTGTCCAGAGGATGTGTGACTGGTCCGGGTAAGACACTACGACCACTTTGTTATGTTCTTCAGGTTGTGTATGTATCTCATGCCTAGTGGGATGATCCCAGTGTGTTCCCAGTGCTTTAGGGTTGTCTGAGCTGTGAGTGTGTGTTGCAGTAATGGCTTCCCTGGATCCCAGCCCGTGTCAATGGACATCAACAACCTCGACTTCCTCAGGAAGAAACCGTATAAGGTCAGCTGGAAGGCAGACGGAACAAGGTAACGGAGTGTTGTGGATGTTTTGTGTGTACTGAGTAACAGTGTCAGTTAGGGACTGATCAGTCAAGTAGTTTCTTAAACAGATACAACTATTGGGGCGGCTTCATTGCTTCATTGCTTCATAGCGCTGCGGACCCGTGAAGATCCTGGTTAAAATAGGTCTTCAGCAACCCATGCTTGTTGTAAGAGGCGACTATGCTTGTTTTAAGAGGCGACTAATGGGATTGGGTGGTCAGGCTCACTGACTTGGTTGATGCATGTCATCCTATCCCAATTGCGTGGATCGATGCTCATGATGGCAATCTCTGGATTGTCTGGTCTAGACTCGATTATTTACAAACCAGCGCCATATAGCTGGAATATTGTTGAGTGCTGCGTTAAACAACAAACAAACATGACGTAAGACAAGTCCCTAATTTACACCAAATCTGAGTATTAAGCTTTGTACAGGCGCATGTGCTTCAGTTATGTAATATTAAGAAACTCACATATTGGGGGGGGGTGCTGTTTTTGTGCTGGATGTCCTCAAATATTGAAGCAAGATAGTCTGTCACTAACAAGAATTTCAATCATATTCAATTGTCACAGTACAGAGTTGTTCGCGGATAGGTTACATTTCTGTGTCTACCCCACTCACACCAGCAGCCCGTGGAGATCCTGGTACATGTGTACCGCTGTGTGTTTCAGGTACATGATGTTCATTGATGGTATGGATGAAGTGTTTATGGTGGATCGAGACAACGCAGTGTTTCATGTGCCTCACTTACAGTTCCCCAAGAGAAAGGATCTTAACTCACACTTAAGGGAAACGTTACTAGACGGGGTAGGTCGCAGTAACATCATGCTAGTCGTTGTAGAGTCCATGATGAGACAGTCATCATAATCATGGAGCGGTATTGGAGGGGAAAGTGGAACTGTAAGTGATAATGCCCATGTGAGAGTCATTGGATGCGTATGGTGAAGAAACAGTTTTCTGCATTCAAGAACAACCAGACTATTATTTACAGACCAGCGTAATATACCTTAAATATTATTGATTGATATCAGATATTTCATTACATGCTCCATGGGAAAACATATTTCCTTGCTTCTCACTGACATTCCAGGAGGGGGCACGGGTGGCCTAGTTGTTTAAGGCGCTGCCATTCGCTGTGCAGAGGTGCGTCCCATGGGCACGCCAGAAACCTATTATTGTGGGTTCGAATCCCAGTTCGCCCCGATTAAGTTTCTTGGTTTGTCAGCACCATACCTGGGCTCGTGGGTTTCACCGAAGTGGTAAACGTCTGAGACCTGCATCATTATAACTGGAATACTGTTAAAAGCGGTGTTAAACCCAACTCACTCACTCATTCACTCTTTCCAGGAATAAATCAAAGTGCAAGCACAAATTGAGTCATAGTTTACATGATTTCAATGTGTAAATTGACATGATGGCCGATAGTGTTAAAGATGTGGGTATGGGTTGTGTTGCAGGAGATGATTCTAGACAAGGTAGAGGACAAAACGGTACCACGATATCTTGTATATGATATCATTAAATTTGAGGTGAGTTGACTGGTCAGACTTCTACAGCCATTTCACAAGCTGCTTTAAAATATGCCACTCAGAAGAAGTTAAATCTGTCATGACAGGTTGACTATAGTAATATGAAAGAATCGGGTGTCCTTCAACTTCTTAATATTATGGTCGCTATATGGCTGGAATAATGCCGATGCGAAGTTAAATTTTAAAAAATTTAACTCGCTCACTCTTGATATTATGCTATTGAAACCTTTATATTGCTCAGTGTGAACTTATGTATACAGAGAATCTGTTTCTTGTCAGGGTCAAGATGTTGGGAAGACAGATTTTGACCGGCGATTGTTATGCATACAGAAGGAAATAATTGGCCCACGATATGCAAAGATACAACAGGGCATGCTGGACAAGACTAAAGAGCCATTTAGTGTGAGAGCCAAGCCCTTTTGGGATGTCACCATGTGTGCGAAGGTAATGCACTGAATGAGGGGATGTTCAGATGTTACTGGTAAAGACATACGTACAAAGAGGTATCAGAAAGTTTGGAGACTGGCATGTCTTAGTTGTTGTTATGCTGAGTGTGACATATACTATTATTGACCTGTGTTTGTTGAGTCATCTTTCACAATTATGCATACTTCAGTCCAGTAACTTGTTCATATTTGAGGAGGGGTGGTCGGGTAGCCAAGTGGTTAAAGCGTTTGCCCGGGTTCGATTCCCGACATAGGCCCATTTGTGCTGTCCTCCGTTGTGATATTGCTGGAATATTGCTAAAAGCGGCGTAAAACCATACTCACTCATAACTGACTTTGATTCTAAGCTATCCCACTCCTTGGCATTGAAATGGAAAAAATTTAGTATAGTGCAGTCATAATATTTTTTCCCCTAGGGTCAGTCAGTATTGATGAATGGGTACATGCTGTTTATGGGGAGGCTGACCCATCATTGGTCACATAGGGTGAAGGAATTTCAATTTGGGGAGGGAAATTGGCAGATGATTTGAATTTGGCAGATGATTTCTATGTGGGGGGAGAGAATTTGGCAGATAATCTCCACTAGTCACCAACAGCACACAAAAATCCATTGATGCTGTCCACAACCTGGTACTGAACAATAGGCCCGTCACACTCCATGAGTTCCTAGAATGCTATTGGATGAAATGAAGGCTATGCAGTTCTATGTATGATACCCCCTCGTACAAGGGCTGGTCAAAGAGTTTAACTTTCAACTATGGGCCATAACAAAGTGAACTAGTCAGTGTAGTACATTGTTTGAGTAGTTCATTGCAAGTGTATTTCGTCTGCGAGCCCCGTGGTTTATTCTCCCTGCAGTGTTTTATTGTGCGATAAACAACTCTCACTTGTTGATTATTTCTTAAATAAAGTCTTTATGAAGTCATACCTCATTTGCAGCTCCTGGATGGGAAGTTTACCAAGGAAGTGAGCCATGAGGTGGATGGTTTGGTGTTCCAACCTGGATCTGATGTGAGTTGATGTTCACATGGTCACATCATGTACATAGGAGTCCTTTATTGGCGATGAATATTTCACTTCTTCTTCTCATTTTTCTCCTCTATCGACCCCTCAGCCTCTTTATCACTCTTCTCCTCTTCCTCATTTTTCTCCTCCTTTTTTTTTTCCATTCATCTTCCCCTTTTTCTCTCCCCTCTCTCTGTCCATCTCCTTCTCTACCACCTCCTTGGTCTAGTGGAAGAGAGTCCACCCAGAGAGGGGAAGGTCCGGGGTTCGATCTTCTCGCGCTCAGCATTAAGCGGCTAAAACAAAGACTGGTCAGCTCTGAGTCAGTATCCTGTTGAGTGTTCGTGTTAGGTTCATCTTCTTCTCCTTTTTAGTGTCCATCATCTCCATGTGCATCTCCTTCACTGTGTCCATCTCCTTCTCCATGTGCATCTCCTTCTCCATGTCCATCTCCTTCTCCTTGCCCATCTCCTTCTCCATGTCCATCTCCTTCTCCTTGCCCATCTTCTTCTTTGTGTCCATCTCCTTCTCTGTGTCCATCCGTGTCCATCTCCTTCTCTGTGTCCATCTATGTCCATCACTTTCTCCGTGACCATCTTCTTCTCTGTGTCCCTCTTCTTCTCCATGTCCATCTTGTTTTCTGTCCATCTAATTCTCTGTGTCATCTCCTTCTCTGTGTCCACCACCTTCTCTGTGTCCATCTCCTTCTCTGTGTCCATCTCCTTCTCTGTGTCATCTCCTCTGTGTCCATCTCCATCCATCACTTTCTCCGTGACCATCTTCTTCTCTGCGTCCTTCTTCTTCTCCATGTCCATCTTGTTCTCTGTCCATCTAATTCTCTGTGTCATCTCCTTCTCTGTGTCCACCACCTTCTCTGTGTCCATTTCATTTTCTGTGTCCATCACCTTCTCTGTGTCCATCTCCTTCTCTGTGTCCATTTCCTACTCTGTGTCCATCACCTTCTCTGTGTCATCTCCTTCACTGTGTCCATCTCCTTCTCTGTGTCCATCTCCTTCTCTGTGTCCATCACCTCCTCTGTGTCATCTCCTTCTCTGTGTCCATCTGTGTCCATCTCCTTCTCTGTGTCCATTTCCTTCTCTGTGTCCATCACCTTCTCTGTGTCCATCTCCTTCTCTGTGTCCATCTCCTTCTCTGTGTCCAGTTCCTTCTCTGTGTCCATCTCCTTCTCTGTGTCCATCCGTGTCCATCTCCTTCTCCTTGCCCATCTTCTTCTCCTTGCCCATCTTCTTCTTTGTGTCCATCTCCTTCTCTGTGTCCATCCGTGTCCATCTCCTTCTCTGTGTCCATCTATGTCCATCACTTTCTCTGTGACCATCTTCTTCTCTGTGTCCCTCTTCTTCTCCATGTCCATCTTGTTTTCTGTCCATCTAATTCTCTGTGTCATCTCCTTCTCTGTGTCCACCACCTTCTCTGTGTCCATCTCCTTCTCTGTGTCCATCTCCTTCTCTGTGTCATCTCCTCTGTGTCCATCTCCGTCCATCACCTTCTCCATGACCATCTTCTTCTCTGTGTCCCTCTTCTTCTCCATGTCCATCTTGTTCTCTGTCCATCTTATTCTCTGTGTCATCTCCTTCTCTGTGTCCACCACCTTCTCTGTGTCCATTTCATTTTCTGTGTCCATCACCTTCTCCGTGTCATCTCCTCTGTGTCCATCACCTTCTCTGTGTCCATCACCTTCTCTGTGTCCATCACCTTCTCTGTGTCCATCACCTTCTCTGTGTCCATCTCCTTCTCTGTGTCCATTTCCTTCTCTGTGTCCATCACCTCCTCTGTGTCATCTCCTTCTCTGTGTCCATCTGTGTCCATCTCCTTCTCTGTGTCCATCTGTGTCCATCTCCTCTGTGTCCATCACCTTCTCTGTGTCCATCTCCTTCTCTGTGTCCATCACCTTCTCTGTGTCCATATCCTTCTCTGTGTCCATCTCCTTCTCAGTGTCATCTCCTTCTCTGTGTCCATCTCCTTCTCTGTGTCCATCTGTGTCCATCTCCTTCTCTGTGTCTGTCTTCATCTCTGTGTCTGTCCTCTTCTCCGTGTCCATCTTCTTCTCTGTGCCCATCACCTTCTCTGTGTCCATCTGTGCCCATCACCTTCTCTGTGTCCATCTGTGTCCATCTCCTTCTCTGTGTCCATTTGTGTCGATCTCCCTCTCTGTGTCCATCTCTGACTGTGTCCATCATCTTCTCCATGTCATCTGCTTCAGTGAACAATTTTTATGCAGTATTTTGAAATGTGAATGGGTACTTGATAGGGCTTGGGCGGGCAACTCGGGTACTTGGGTCGGGTGGGTACTGAGTAGGACCCAGGTACCCACAGGACTATCCGGAGCCGTGGTTAGTCACATTATACACTGTTTCATGACAAAAATTCACTATATAACTGCATGGTTACCCAACAATTTTAAGTCTCTAATGTTCGCATTTCGTCATGACTATGAACACGTTCCTTCTGAGTTATATATGTTTGAACAAACCTAAAACTTCAGTCAACTTCAGTGTATGCATGACCACATCGTTTTATATGTGTATTTAAATACTTTTTGCAAGGGCTACTGTCAAACTATTCTCAATTGGACATTTTGTCTCTTGACAGCAATAGCAGGTACCCAGGTAGGGTCGAGTAATAGGGGTGTGGGTACCCGGGTAGTAAATCTGTCCCAGCCCTAGTACATTTGTAATGAATATATGTGATCAGAGACTCTCTGATGGCTCAGTATTGAGTTTGAATAAAATGTAAGGATATTAATTATCTATATGATGTATTTCAGCCTTACAATCCAGGGAGATGTCATGATGTTCTCAAGTGGAAACCCCCAAGCATGAATTCTGTTGATTTTAGGTTGAAAATAGTCAAAGAGAACAGACCAGGGTAGGTTTATAAAATTGCTTATTCAAATTGACTTGTAGTCATTAAGAATGACCTCCCTTGTATAAAATCTTTGGTAAACTGTAGCAGGCCTTCATTTAATAGGAATTATTATACTTATGTATTACTTTCAGTCATATATCTATCAAAAGTAGGATAAAAATAGTGAACATTTTAAAAGTTGTGTTGCTATGTCAACAATTGTGAACTTCCCTTCTTCAGAATGTTGCCAGAAACTAAAGGCTACCTGTACGTGGGCAGCTTAGATCAGCCATTCTCAGCCATGAAGGTGAGAGTCAAGCATCCCACTCACAGTGCCAGGTGGACCCAAGAATTGCTGACTTGCAACATTATGTGTTTAACATTTAACCCGTGAAGATCGGGGTAGAATACGTCTTCAGCAACCCATGCTTGTCATAAAGCTATGACTATGCTTGTTGTAAGTAACGGGATCGGGTGGTCAGGCTCGCTGACATGGTTGATGCATGTCACCGTATCCCAATGGATCAATGCTCATGATGTCAATCACTAGATTGTCTGGTCAAGATTAGATTATTTACAGGCCGCTGACATATAGCTTGAAAACTGCCGAGAGCAGCGTTAAACAACAAACAAATTAACAAATGTTTCTGTTACAAAGTGATATCTTTCTGATAAGCAGATAAGTATTAATTAAATTCAGAATACATTTATATAGGCAAGATATTCATGTCAGCATGCTGAATGTCACGTTTTCAATTTTTAGGCTGAGGAAATAGAATAGGTGCCAAGAGAAGTTTTCCAAGAAGAAATACGCAATGATAAGTCTTTTAAGATACCACTTAGCAATGAGTTGCAACCAATCAGATTCATGCTCACATGAACATTCGTATTTTCAATATTTTTTCAGCTGAACAAAGAACTGAAAAGTTTAGACAACAAAATCATAGAGTGTTCCTGGGATGGAAGAGAGTGGAAGTTCATGCGGCAGAGGACAGACAAGTCTTTCCCTAACGCATACAGCACAGCCATGGGTGAGTGAGTTTGTCACACTGCTGCAGGGGGAGACTTCATCCACAGCCTCCCCAACCTCCCCCACCTCCCCCACCTCCAGGAATGTGGAATCATAAACAAGTCACCCCAACTGGTTTTTTATCCCCCGCCCAATGAAGTTGGCGGGGGATATAGAAACGGGGCTCTGTTCGTTCGTCCGTCCGTCCGTCCGTCCGTCCGTCACGTTTCGTTTCCGGAGCATAACTCATAAACCGTTCAATATTTTTTCATCAAACTTTGCAGGTCTGTCAGGTACATGCTGAACTGGTGCCTTTTGATATTTAGAAATTTTAGAAATATCTATTTTTTACGTTTCCATGGCAACAAGATGGACTTAGGTTCTGTGAGGGTAGGGTTCGGTTTTTTTTTACAATTTCCATGACAAGTTCCACCTCGGTTAAAAAAAAGTTAGGGTTTGTTTAGATTTAATTATGTCATCAATTCTGCAACAGGGGCGGGGGATATAGCCACGTTAGTGTTAAACTCTTGTTTTAATTAATTCCTTTTACAAAATTCAACTTGAGATTGTATTCTTCTATTGGGCTAATTGATATGTAATTTGATTTAAACTTCAGAAAATTGTTTCATTATTCTGAATGAAACATAATTCATATGAAATTTTAGGTGCCAAATTCTTTTATGCGAAAAACTGTTTTCTTCTTTCTTTGGAGTAATAATGAAGAGTTATTTATGCAATCTTGCGAACATACAATTGATGCATATGGCCATTCTGTTGATTGACATTTCAATGTTTGTACTGTCTTAAAGTTGTAAACGATTTGGTATCTACACATGTCCTGACATTTGTGTTCTCTGCAGGTGTCTGTGAAAGTATTCGTAAGCCCGTGACAAAAGACATCCTGATGCACACAATAGAAAGAGAGAGGTGGACACCCCCAGGGTCAAACCGCTCCGAGTTCGGCCACTCCTCAGACAGAGACTTGATGCCCCCTCCTGCCAAGATGCCCAGACACTGATAGTGACTGTGTTTCCTATCCAGATTGATGGACGTGTGTTGACCGTGTCATTTAGAAGCAGTGATTGTAAACCGGTGAATCACTTCAGTGGAGTGTGACCGTCACAACAGGTGATGGTGGGAGTTTGGGCCATGCTGACATATCCCGCAGCAACCACAGCTTGTGCAGTCCCGTTCAGTGATGACATCCCCAACAACAAGGACATGGTAGTGACTGGAGGACCAGCAGAATGGGAAAATAGCAGCAGTGTGTCGACCGAGTCGTCTAGGCTCTTGATACTCACAATGGCCACATTAGGGGTAATTCAGGCCGTCATCAGTCAGGAAACTTCAGGGAAACTTCAGGCCTGTAATAATACACTAAGTCATCTAGGCTCCATTACTGACAAAAAGGGTTAATCCGACAGTCATCAGTAGGGAACTACTGGGATCCCTATAGGCCTGTAGTAATACACTAAGTCATCTAGGCTCCGTTACTGACGATCATGACGATAAGACTTAGACAAACAGTCATCAGTATTGAGAACTAGTTTGGTTTCCTTTCGGCCTGTAATGATTCACTAAGGCATCTAGGCTCCATTACTGACAATAAGGGTTAATCTGACAGTCATCAGTGGGGGGATAGATTCCCTCCAAACCTGCACTGATCCACTAAGTCATGATGAATGATACATCCCTTGATACTCAGGCCATGATCATGACTTACAATTGAGTTAAATCGTAACAGTGCTGATGGAGACTAACTTTTTGGAGGAAGTTGAACTGAAGTGTTGGTGTTGTCGAATCATCCATGACATCGAAACATAAATGATGAACATTATGCTAGGAATCTAATGGAGAGAAAGAGACAGCTGTTTTCAGTGGTAGACATAGTGACACTTCATGGCCCGTTTTCCCAATGGTTTTCTGTGAATGTTGATGCCTCTCATTACAAGGGTTGTTATTACAACTGGCCAACATGTTGCAAAAGGATGCAGTTGTACATCAAGCAGTCATTACAACAGCTCTAGTTCCTTGACCATGGACTTTTCTTATGTTGTTTATATGCTTGAATATTGCGTGCGAGTCCAAGCCACTGATTAGTTTGCTGCACTTACCTCTCTACCTTCACCATCCAATGTCATTAAAATCAGAGCTTAGTTCACGTTACCGCTCAACACAGATCTGAGGACATCCCATTACGGCTCACATCAGAACAACTTTTAATCCGTCACATCAGAGCATCGTTTACTTGATCTGGACAGTTACAGTGGGCATGTGTTTTCTTATCATTCAACCTCGAAAAGGTTATCACGAGGTATTCAGAACACACGAGATATTCAGAACACACGAGGTATTCAGAACACACGAGATATTCAGAACACACGAGGTTTTCAGAACACACGAGGTATTCAGAACACACGAGATATTCAGAACACACGAGATATTCAGAACACACGAGGTATTCAGAACACACGAGGTATTCAGAACACACGAGGTATTCAGAACACACGAGGTATTCAGAACACACAAGATATATAGAACACACGAGGTATTCAGAACACACGAGGTATTCAGAACAACAGTTACAGCCTGTACAACTAATTCCGTCAATAGCATTGTCCATCTCTCGCTTCAAAGAGATAAACATTTGAAATGGAAAAGACTTTCCATAGCCCATGGGAAGTACTGCCATACAATCTCAGCCATCTGTTAGACATTTGAGAATTTTCTTGTGTTCAGTTTTCAAATTTGGAATCGATAGTCTGGAATGGACAGTTTGAAAGTAGTTTCAGAAAGGTGCTTTCTGATTGGTTTATGTCGATTTGTTGGTAGTCATTTTATTGGTTGGTCAAAGTTTTCGAAAGGTCGTTCTGACGTGACCTGTAATGGGATGTCATCAGATCTTTGTGTGGCAGTAGCGAGCACGGAGATATTATTTTAATGAGATTGCTTATCCATCTGCACCATCACCCATCTGTTCCATCGCTGACCCTGCCTTTGAATGAGTGTGACAATGTAGAGGTAAATGTGACACACTTATACAATCATGTACGGGGCGTGATGACCATTACACCGAAATGATGTATTCTTGAAATACTCAAGAAACATCTCGCATTGCAAACATTAAATTTCTAAAAATAATCTGATCTCTTGGTGTTACTCTCGAAGTATAATAATAGGCTGCTTGGTCGTAGCCAACTTCTTTGCAAGCCAGTGATTATTTTGACTGGTGTAACACAACATGTTTTGAGCCCTCATTCCCCTGCCATGTGTTCTCATTATTTACTATTCACACAATTAGAAAACTCTTTGGGAATTATTCTGATTAATACATAAACCCGTCTTAAATTCCTTGTTAGAGGACATGATACCCGTCATAGTGGAGCCTTTAGAAAAATGTTAACCTATCAAAAGGATACCACATCATATGTTGAAGATCACTTTGAACTTTGGAGAGATGAGTGTATGACAAATAACAGCAAAGAGTTAAGATTCATTTTCATTGGAAATTATTTTGCAGTTTTTGTCTGAACAACGCATGCTTAGTACTGTTGCACAAGATGTTAGAGAGGTTCAGGAAAATCCCTGCTGATGGAAATGAGAAGGATGTTATCAAGTATCATTTCAGAGGTACCGTATTCGACGTAATAAGCGCCCCGTCTTAATAAGCGCCCACAGCGATATTTGCTGATATATTGGCTAGTGAACAATCCCAGTTAACATCCCTTCCAATTGATCATTGTACACAAGACTTTTTTATTCGTGTATAATACACACTCGTGTGTTATGTGTACCCTTAATTATGGGCAATTAAATTTTGAAAAATATATCTGTCGTGTATAATACGCACAGACTTTTCTTCTGTATCGTTTCAGGCTGTCAGCATAAACCACGAAATTAACGATCTTAAAACTCTCTTTTTTCTCTCACCAAACTTATACTCCAATAAGAGCTCCCTATTTCTAATTTTGGGCGCGCCCTGGGCGCTTATTACGTCAAATACGGTACTTCATTAACTTTGTATGTTAGTCAGTAATGATCCAGAATGTGTTGATTCACCATTATACCGCTAGTCTAAGAAATAGGGAACCTTCATTAACTCAGACACCATTACATATGGGTTAGTGCCCTCTTCAAGGGTGATTAGAATCCCAGCACTCGAGGCGTCGGCTGAGAGCTTTGTAGTGCATTGAGGAAGGCGCTACTCATCTTATCTTATACCATGTGGACTTCAAACGTGATGGGCTTTGCTCGATAATGAAATAAATGTGAACTGAGGTGGTCTCCCCTCGTCTAAATCGAATGGTCCAACCCTGGCCCCTGCATGTGTGGGGTATACAAAGAATAACAACCTGAAGAAACGATGAACATAACTTGATATAATGTTCAAGACAATGCATCTTTTTGTCCTCCAGACCCCTTCTCAGCACTGTTGTCTCGTATCGGTTCTCCATCTGCTGTACTTTGAAGCCTTGGAAACAACTTCCTCTTGTGTAGAATTAAGTTATAACATAGTTCCTACCTCTTTGAGCTGTTCATGTCTTGAATGTTTAATGTCGAAACCACTGCCACGTTTCTCCTGTTCCTAATGTGTCTAGACAAGGGAAACAGAGCTACCGTTTGTAGTTTGATTTTAGACAATGCTGAGTAGAGGTGAAAATCATTCTGTGTGTACATATTCGTTTATGATATGTTGTAATATTATATACATGGATTCATTTGTACATTGACATTGGTTTCCTCACTTTGGTGAGACAATTGCCTCATGTTATGGAGCCTCTTGTTGGATCCCAAACAACCCGCATGACAATTTGTTACTGGAAGTACTTAACGTTATTCGAATCTACAGGTACCATATTCGACGTAATAAGCGCCCCGCTCTAATAAGCGCCCACGGCGATATTTGCTAATATATTGGCAAGTGAACAATCCCAATTAGCACCCCTTCCGATTGATCATTGTACACAAGACTTATTTGTTCGTGTATAATGTGCACCTGTGTGTTATGTACACCCTTAATTATGGGCAATTGAATTGAGGAAATATATATCTGTCGTATATAAACAGTTCAGGCCATCAACATAACCATGAAATTTATCTTTCAACTCTGTTTTTTTCACCAAAATAATATTCTAATAAGAGGCCCCTATTTGTATTTTTGAGAGCGCCCTGGGCGCTTATTATGTCGAATACGGTAGCCAGAAACATTAATTGGGTGTTCAAAGTCACTTGACATGAACAATTTCATCATGCAGATAGACAGGAGGATCCTGTAGTCCAGTTGTTAAAGTGTCGGCTTGTCATGCTTCATGGCCTAGGTTTGCTTCCCCACATGGCTAGTGTATGTAATTAATCTCCCAACATTGTTTCACTAAGGTGTCAAATCCAGCTCACGAGCGCAATATTTAGTCCAAATATTTCGTCATTCTCTGATAATGTCCTGCAGCAAAAGGCACAGGTCAAGGTGAGAAGGAGCACAATCAGTAAGCGATCCCTCCAGATTCCACGCATGAGATCCCATTTTCCTATTTTAACAAGGAGGATCACTTATTGTGAAATAGTTCATCTTTTTATGAGTTATTCTCCTATTTTCTGCACAGTAGCATACCGTGCTCCTTATGTCGTTGATGTGCAGTTGGCATCTTTGTTAATGCAGTAGAACACATCCGTGCAAGATACCTTCAGAGCACTGAAACTGGGTACCAATGTCACACTTCTGAAGGAAATAATCCTGCCTATTCTGCAATTGTAAGCGTGGGAGAATCTATAATTTTTCAAAGTGATATAATGCACAGATACAAGGACATTCCTTAAATAAAGTGATCTATACTGAACCAAATAAGTTAGAGATCATGATTGGGTAATGTTTATGAAATTGTGTGATCAGTCTTCAGTTCAAAAGATGTTCATGATCCCAAGCTTTGCTCAGTATATACAGTGTTATCCCACATTGAGTATTGTGATGATGTCTAAGGATTTTCTCATCACACACAGAACGTGTGAAGCACATTTCTGGTGTCCCCTGCCGTGATATTGCTGGAATATTGCTAAAAGCGGCGTAAAACCATACTCCCTCACTGTAAGCATGACAAGTTCGTAATCTACTACCAAACACATTGCTTGTTATCTATTGCCTTACAGACTGTAAATAACAAAGTCTGGTCAAGGGTCTCTAGTGGCTGACAGCATGATCAATCAACCAAGACATGGAGCCTGTACATGGGTACAATGTGTGAAGCCCATTTCTGGTGTCCCCCGCCGTGATATTGCTGGAACATTGCTAAAAGCGGCGTAAAACCATACTCACTCACTCATCCATCACACACAGTCCCAGCCTTACACCAAATGCATGATACCAAGTCTTGGTGATCCTATCGAGGTCACCTTTTTTAAGTTTGGGAGGTTTTACTACTCTATTACAAATAAAATTCATTACACATCTGAAATTTGCATATATGAACATCCAAATTAGATATTTGAAATATTGTGTGATTTTAGCAGTTACAAGGATGGCATCCTGAAGAGCATGTACCCCAAAGACATGCAGCCGTCCCATGGGGGCCCCCCCTCCACAGGGCTGTTTCTGTATAGTGTGTACAATATATCACTCAGGTGATCTGCAACCAGTCTTACGGTCATGTTGGAGGATAATTGCATGTTGTATATAACATCAAGATACAAACTGATTTCGTATTGTTTGCAAATATGAAATAATAATGTTTATGGCTTACTTGTGCTAATGGCAAGTATTGAAACATTAAAATTGATATTGAAACATGTTTGTTTGCTTTTGTGTACAATTCTACTACTGATATATCAGGATCTGATCCAGCTGTTCCACGCACACCATGTCCAGGTGTACAGGAAAGACCCTCCAGGAGCTATATAATCTCTTTTGACTGGGGGGATTCTTGAGCTTAAAACATCCCCAGTACCTCAAGTTTGTCACAAGAGCTGACTAAAATGGGGACCTAATTGGTGGCTGTCTAAATATTCACAGAAAATAGATCCTCAGTAAACCATGCTTGTCCAGATAACCAGGGCCAACTTGCACAAAGCGATCTTAGCGCTAAGATGATCGTAACTCCCATACTTTTACATAGGCTTCCAATAGTCGTGTATTAAAGCACACAAAACTAACAGTTACATACCATGGATGTTTAAGTGTGATTTATCACAGTGATAGATTTGACACTTTCCCAAACACCTTGAAGAATTCATGACAGATTTAATTTATTTTATTTGTTGGTTGTGAAAATGGATCTTGTTTGAAAATTTGTGATGTTCATACTGCTTTTTAGGTCAGACTGATGTTACTGAAAAAGCCTTGAGAATGACACTTGAAAAGGCCTTGAATGTTCCATAACAGTATGAACCATGGTGTCGTCGTGTGTAGATTGTGGCTCAAGCACTGGATTGCTTGGCCGAGATTTGATCATTTACAGACTGCTGTGATACACTTTGAATATTGGAACTTTAACTCACAATGGCTGGTTACCATAAACGTGATAAAGAACTCACCTTCAGCAGTGACCACAACCCACTTGCATAAAGCCATCTTAGGGCTAAGACAATCACAACTCCAATAGTTTCACACTGACTTACGACTGTTTGACACATCTTTATAATCACCTTTCAGTGACCTGTTTCACCAACAACTTCAGAAATCTCTCCCGTCACATGATTCAGCGTGTCGGCCATTTTTACGTCTTGTAGTGGATGTAAATGTACTACAACGTGCAGTCATCGTGACCGACTTACTGAGGAAGTTCTCAACAGACCATTCCCATCCAATGATATGATGTGAATACATTTGTTATAAACAAACTACAACAGACATTTCCGTAAAGCAAGTTGAGCACACATACGCTCATGTCACCTCTCTTTGTGAGTAACTATTTTATATTCCCCGATACCTCTGGTTGTTGTATGGCTGTCAGTGTAAGCATGAAGTTACACGCATAGATCTAGCTAGCGCTACATGCTTTGAGGTAAAAAATAGTGATATAAAATATCATAGGAATTTACTTTCACTTTGTGAAACATAACTGGACTCATTGGAGTATGAACCTTCATAGAGTGAATGCCAAACTGTATCAACGTCTGAGCTTACGACTACATTCATACAATGTTTGACCCTTACTCTATGAAGGTTCATACTCCAATGAACTCATAGAAAGTGAAAGTCAATAAAAACAACCATTTAAGTTCGGGATATATGAAAATACAGGATGGGTGCTCTACCTTTTCCAGGCTTACTTCTCCATTGCAATAAAAATTTGACTTAAACAATTCTGATATTTATACTGTACATAAAATGATTCAGTGTCAATAACTCCAGCAAACTGTCGTTTCATCCATGTGGCCAAGAAGGGAACCACACAAACTTGTAAACTCTACCACACTCGGTGGAAACATAACACACATGGATTTCCTTGATATTTTATTTCAAATAAACATTCTCTTATCATAATACATTTGCAACACAGTCACAATTACAAATCACTTATAAATGCTCTTACAAAACAAACCCTTCCCATCTGTTGAACGATAGTCGCAGCATCAGACCCACTCCACATCATGACCCTAGTGCTGTACCACCAACACATCTCTTTTCAAGATACATTCTCATCTAAGTGCACTGCAACATAGCTCACTCTCTCTATCACTTAGCTCACTATCAGCAAAACTGATAGAAAAGCGCTTTATATTAGAATTAGGGATACAACAGTAACCATGGTAACAGTCTTAATTTTCTTACTCACACATTCATTCTCCACAACTTGTATACATGATAATTTGGTCTATTTACACAGATTCTCTTATAAGAATTCATTGTCAAGAGCCGCTTCTACCATTTGTGAATATTTCATGCTTGCCATGCTAACAAAAAACAGGGTAGTGATGCAAAATGAATGCCAATAGCTCACAAAAAGGTGTCTGGTTGTCCTGTTATGTTCAAAGATTTATATATCAGCAATGATTTACCTGTAGGTTTGTAATATGGTCAGGATTTACCTGTAGTTCTGTAATACGGTCATGATGTACCTGTAGTTCTGTAATACGGTAATGATTTACCTGTAGTTCTGTAATTGGGTAATGATTTACCTGTAGTTCTGTAATTGGGTAATGATTTACCTGTAGTTCTGTAATACGGTAATGATTTGCCTGTAGTTCTGTAATACGGTAATGATTTACCTGTAGTTCTGTAATTGGGTAATGATTTACCTGTAGTTCTGTAATTGGGTAATGATTTACCTGTAGTTCTGTAATTGGGTAATGATTTACCTGTAGTTCTGTAATACGGTAATGATTTACCTGTAGTTCTGTAATACGGTAATGATTTACCTGTAGTTCTGTAATTGGGTAATGATTTACCTGTAGTTCTGTAATTGGGTAATGATTTACCTCTAGTTCTGTAATACGGTAATGATTTACCTGTAGTTCTGTAATACGGTAATGATTTACCTGTAGTTCTGTAATACGGTAATGATTTACCTGTAGTTCTGTAATATGGTAATGATTTACCTGTAGTTCTGTAATATGGTAATAACTTGTCTACCAAGTGATCTAATGCTTAGCGTGCGTCAACAAAAGGGGGAGGGGGGTGCTGGATCCAGTCTTCTAATGTCATGGTGACAGTGTTACTTTAAGGTGTTACCACTATTAGGACTGCTGCATCACTGGCTTCACACACAGCCATAGGAAGCACCATGCAAGAAGCACTACCTCCCTTTAGATTTATAAACACCCTGAAAAATAAGTCCTCTGGGCGAAATCTTAATTTCCCCTAACAAGAAGTTTGCAGAACTTCCAAACACAATGATCAGACCACGGTTGATTTCATTCTTCAGGTTTATCTATCTTCTTTCAAAGTTTGAGATATTCACTTTGATTCTGCAATTCACTGGCTTAAATCATGACTCCCTCTGACTTCTTCATCTTCTGTTTGACTCCAGTTCGGCGGTACTCCGACCTCTCCTTCAGATACTCCGCCGTACACTCGTCAATGAAAGCCTGATCTGCATATCTGCAAGATTATAACAGGCCTTATCATATAAAGGATAGTGTAAGGATGTGATAAACCATTACTGTAAACTTGGTATCACGATCCAATAAATATGCATATGAGGCCAACAAGCAGGAACTACTTCTAATGTCCAAACATTGACTCAGTGTCTGCTTGCTCAGTTAGCTATTGACTTATGTTACCCATTAGTTTGATACAGGCTTTCCTGATATGTGGGTGATTAGACAACCATTTTTTAAAAATCCCACACCATCAAAAGGCACCAGTTCACAACTATGTCTATCTTTGTGACAAGTTTAGTTCTCTCTCTTTAGCTCTTCTCCGGAAATGAAACGAGATGGATGGAAGGACTGACGGACAGGGGATAATAAATTATGAAAATAAAACCCAGTTGAACTCTGTCATGGGCAGACCATTTAACAACACCACGTACTGAAACAATAACACAATACAAGCAAATTAACATTTTTTTAACAAGTCAAATGTACGGAAACATATGAGGCATTTGTATTGATGATTAATTCCCATTTATGACAGAAAATTGGCTTATGAAAAAAAGTACAAATCATCACTAGCAATATTACTGTTTCCTCATCAACTTACGCTGCTGTCAGACAGATGTGCATTTCTTTGGCTTGTTTTCTGCATTTGAACGGCAGCAGCAGACCTGCTTCCTTGGCACAGATTCCAAACTCTGCAATAAAGAAATTGTTAAGATTTGGCTTGTTGTTTAACTCCGCACTCAGCAATATTCCAGCTATATGACGGCTGTCTGTAAATAATCAAGTCTGGACCAGACAATCCAGTGATTAATATCATGAGCATCGATCCACGCAATTGGGATCGATGACATGCATCAACCAAGTCAGCGAGCCTGACCACCCGATCCCGTTAGTCGCCTTTTACGACAAGCATAGTCACCTTTTTAGAACTGGGATGCATTATATTACAGTTGAACCATAACAAATGTATAATTCAGGATGGAATAATTATATAATAAATATAAATATACATCATCCAGGAGAGAAATGTACTGTTTTACATATATTTCCAATAAGGGAAGAATGATTCTCAATGTTGGAGTGATGTGACATCACATTGCGCCATTGTTTAGAACACCATATGGTGTCAATCATTGTTCATAATGACACAAAATGCTAACAATGGGCCATCTGAACAACACAGTTTTTCAGAATGGTTGAGATTCTAAAGGTTTTTCTTCATTACTTAAAGTGAAAGTAAAGTAAAAAATAGCAACTTTGCAGATTTTAATACTTTAGGGCATACTTTATCACAAATGCTTGCCAGAAGTTAAATTTCAAACAGCGAAATACTGTAAAACAGATAATAAGAAACGCCAGACAAAATCGTCTCCCAAATGAAAGATTCCGCCACACTGGGGATTCCCCTTACTGGGCTTAAAACAGGTGACCGGTGTTTGATGTGCTGCACAATTTCAAGGATTGGGCCGGCGCCCGGTTTGCCTGGTGGTTTATTGGGGAACTTCCGACTTGTCCAGCACCTTTTGTTATCAGTACAAATTCACCTGAGCATGGGGATTGGTAGGACAATAGGGGATCAAGGGGGCATTTCACTTATGACACAACTAATTGGTGAACTTTATTCACTATACTGTACTGAGTGAAAACTTTTAAAATATATATCAATGAGTGAGTGAATGTGAATCATTTAGTACTACTTTCCCCACAAAAAAGGAATACAGACAAGAAACAGCATCCCACTGAGGCAAATGCGCACTTGGTTCTTACCGGATACAATTCTATGTCACTGAGCAGTGAGATGACAAAACACATAATCTTGAGGGGTCACATGCAAATCTGTACAAATTCACTGAGATACTGCAGGTTGAGCAGGATAATACTGTGATCACAGTCCAGGTAGTTTACTGACACCCAAGGAGAAGACAAAGTATTGCAAATGCCCTTGAGAGGGCAAGAGACAACCTCTTGCCCACCAGAAACCAGTGAACGATTATCACAATGCTGTTTCGCATCTAGTTGGACTGTGAATGATGGAAATGTTAAATGTGAATTTGACAAATAAGACAATATTTTATACAGTGCTCATTCTTTTTATCAATTGTTTATTTCATATTTTAAAGGAAATGTTTTGTTTGTTATTTTACGATGCACTCAGCAATATGCAAGCTATATGACAGCGGTCTGTAAGTAATCGCGTCTGGACCAGATAATCTAGTGATTGACATCATGAGCATCGATTCCATGCAATTGAGATACGATGACATACATCAACCAAGTCTGACCACCTGATCCCGTTAATCGCCTCTTACGAAAAGCATAGCCGCCTTTTATGGCACGCATGGGTTACTGAAGACCTATTCTACCCCGGATCTTCACAGGCCTTAAAGTAAATGAATGCTGGAAGAATGGGTATATATTGCTTAAACAAACACGATATGGATTATTCCTTGGCCAGCTGTTGGACAAGTAGAAAGCCCTGTTTAATGGTCCCCCAAACAGGATGTTAGTCGTACAAAGCCTGTTACAGACATTTATTGTTATTTTAATTTTTGACTACCGTATTCGACGTAATAAGTGCCCCGCTCTAATAAGCGCCCACGGTGATATTTGCTAATATATTGGCTAGTGAACAATCCCAATTAGCACCCCTTCCGATTGATCAATATACACAAGACTTATTTATTTGTGTATAATACGTGTGTTATATGCATCCTTAATTGTGGGAAATTAGATTCTGGATAAATACATCTGTCGTATATATAAACATATCAGGCTGTCGGCATAAACCACGAAATTTACGATCTTTTAACCCTGTTGTTTTTTACCAAAATAATATTCTAATAAGAGCCCCCTATTTCTAATTTTGAGAGCGCCCTGGGAGCTTATTATGACGAATATCGTATGTCAAAGGTTGTTTCACACACTCAACAATTTGTGCAAATGTTAATTTTGTAGGTTTAACCGATATAGCAACACTTTTTGCTTGGTCGCTTCCAGAGTCAATGGACAGCTTCTTAGCATCACAAGTATATACATATCAGCCAATGAAAATATTTGTCATGCACTGCTGCACCGGTAGCTTTCGGTCATGCCCCCAAAAAGCAATATTCCAGCTATATGACTGCGGGCTGTAAATAATCAAGTCTGGACCAGACAATCCAGTGATTGACATCATGAGCATCTATTCACGCAATTGGGATACGATGACATGCATCAACCAAGTCAGCGAGCCTGACCACCTGATCCCGTTAGTCGTCTGTTTGGTAAGTCCCTAGATAAGGAATTAGAACTACCGGTACCTTTGACTTGTTCAGCACACTGCCCCTTCTTTGCCTTGGCCTTCATCTTCTGGGGGATGACAATTTCTCTCTCAGCTTTCCGCAGTGACTGATCTTCAGGGTCACCTGCAGAGAAGCTCAGTTTGCATATGGTGATATACAGCAAAACAAATGGTCAGCCTCTTATTGGGAAGATGTAGCACATGAAATGTGTGATCAATGGCAACTAATTTCTAATCATTGGTAATAATTACAATGTATGGGACAGATAAAGTAACTACATGTTGTTTTGTATTTTGAATTCATTATTTGTATGTAAACAATGACCTTCATTTGTAACCTTCATTCATTATTCTTAACATTTGACTAATTTTGCGTACTTTTCTCATTTATTTCAACTTTGTATTTTTTAACTGAATGATCGCCCATAGTGGGCTTGTGTAACATAGAAACAGGATATTTCATGCTATTTTTTCATAAGATGGTTTGTTTTGTGAGCTATGTTCAATCAAGCATTGAACGTATATACGCTGGTAGCATATGGAGAAATGGGTATTGTGACATCCTCAGGTTATGTATTAAGGCTTTGATAGCTATATTCAAGGTTGACACCATCACTCCCTTGAGTTTGGAGAACTTTGCCGACACGTTAAATATCTTGTTGAAATTTTAAGTTTCATTATCATAGTAACACACCAACGCTGTATAAGAATTTTAAAGCAGGTAACTGGTTCAACAATTTGACTTTGAATCCTTCGTTATGTCTCTCTGCAGGTAACTGTCAATGTTCATTCATGTTGGTTACATACGGTCTCTGGTTATGGTCAATCTTTCATGTTTCATCATTCCTAATACGTAAAAAGGCCGCTGTCTTTGCGGTAGAAGACTAAAAAAACATCCGTGTAATGTCCAGGCAGTGCATTAACTATGTACATGTGGTCAAATAGAAAACAGCCATACCAAGTCCCATTGGCCCTCCCCCCATATTCTCGCTCAGGACACCCGTCTCCCTGTGGGGGTTTGAGAACATTGCCCCCATGTTGAATTTTTGTTTTGTCGCTTATAACGCTCAACATTAGTTTGTGTTTCGCCAGTACGTTTGTTACGATGATTGTCTATTGATAAGATGAAAAAATCCAAATGTATCATAATAATGTTAAACTTTTCCCTAATAGTCGTACACAGAAATAATGCTTTTGGATTTTTAGTGATGTAAGCGGCGAGGTAAGAAAGAACTTGAGGGAGGGCTTATTGTATACGATGGAAAGGGAGAAATTGTTTTTTTCTAATAATGAAGAAGGGCTCTTGTCAGCCGAATTGTTGAGAATGGTCTGTCGATAAGATTTACTGATAGTGAATTAATATTGAGAATGAACTGCGTTAATGTCTTTTTACAGATCTTGAGTATTTATGAATAACGATAGTTTTGAAGTCTGTATTTCACAAAGACTCAAACTGCTATTATTTTCAGTGTCGATATATTGTTCTGTGCACACCAATTAAGTTGCTGGTCTTTTGCTGATCACCCCAAGTAAGCAAATTCTAAGATTCTTTTTTTTTTTTGCAATTAGACCACGCATAATGTGCATCTCAAATACTGAATAGTTTACAGTTGGAATATTGTTTATTGTTGTTGGTATACAGTATATTGTTGGTAGATATATACCCTGTATGCCATTCAACCCGCGCCCGTTCAAATATTTGTACAATTATTTTTTAAGTATCACTTGTCCCCAACTTGATTCAAATAAAACTTTTTTCTATAACCTCCCATCCCCCATTACACCACTTGATCTTTCCTCCATACTTCTTTGAGGGATTCCGGATAAAAGATGAGTTCCTCTGCAACCTAACCTTGTCGGAAAGAGGCGACTCATTGGATCGGTTGCACCAGTGAACATCCATGCCACGAGTCACTTTCTTTCTACAGGCTATCTGTCCAACAACGCTTGTAGTGTGTGTGTGTGTGTGTGTGTGTGTGTGTGTGTGTGTGTGTGTTTCACGCCGCATTAGTTGGTTGGTTGGTTTGTTGTTTTACGCCGCACTAAGCAATATTCCAGCTATATGACGGCTGTCTGTAAATAATCAAGTCTGGACCAGACAATCCAGTGATTAATATCATGAGCATCGATCCACGCAATTGGGATCGATGACATGCATCAACCAAGTCAGCGAGCCTGACCACCCGATCCCGTTAGTCGCCTTTTACGACAAGCATAGTCACCTTTTACGGCAAGCTAGCATGGTTTGCTGAAGACCTATTCTACCCCGGAATCTTCATCACGCCGCATTAAGAAATATTCCACTTACATGACGCCGGCCGCATAAGAAATATTCCACTTACATGACGCCTGCCGCATTAAGAAATATTCCACTTACATGACGCCGGCCTTTAAATAACCGGTCCTGGATCAGTTCGGGTTACCCTCATACAATCAACCATTTTAGGTCGCCTCTTACGACAAACATGCCTGTTGCTGGGAAGGAATGATTTCTCCGAGGCAAGGGAGTTAATTTAACTGACTGGGAACTGGACTTGTATTGTCAGTTAACCCCCTTGCCTCGGGAATGCATGAATTTGTACTAAACTGTTACATGTACACAACACATGTTTACATAAATAGAATTTATTTTAATCTTAAATATATATTTACATATGTATGATGGTATATTGACATATCCATACATTGGCATAAACATCACAGGAGCTCGTCCAATGAATTGACAATTTTAATCGCTGGGTACAGGTTTACGACCGTGACGACTGGGCCAATAATGACCATAGCTATTAAATTATGTGACATGTACATTAAAACGACCACTTGAGAAAGAAATACAGTCGATCGATATTTTAAAGTTGGCACAAACCCAATTGATAAACCAATTAAACTAAGGTTTGGAATAACTGAACCAAAATAGGATGTGTCACACCATGACACACACAACAGCCTGTTTATATTAAGTTCCCATTCCATGTAAGCAGCTAGTGGCAATGAAAGGCTACAGTGTAAACTGGATTTTAAAATAATAATAATAATAAATAAAAAGTCAATGGTAAATATGTGGAGTCTACTAAATATCTATCAAAATATAACCTACAACGGAATGAAATTCCAAAATTGAAACGAATGTATAGAGTAGAGTAAGGTATTCTGTGTATTTACAAAGAAGGCAATACCCGAGTGTTCTATGATAAAGAAAAAGGTCAATAATATCATGTAGCGTTTTAGAGTGATTATGTAATACGTATATCCGGATGACTTTTTTCAGTTGAAACATTTCCTTCAGAAAGCAAATTCATGAATTTTGAAGAAAAGTTGGTTTCAAATGATGAAATTATTCCCCAGAAAGTAGAGTAATAAAGTTTAGTCAACATGGTTTCCCATTGTTTACAATAAAAGATATCACTCGGATGGCCCTTGCATGCTTGAAACATTCACTCACTCACACACACACGTATTAGCCTATTGTTAAACAGCATTGTCTCTAGGCAGCATTTGATCCATATCAGCTACCACGTAGCTTACAACTGCCCACAATGCAGAACACAAGTCCATTGCGTGTGGGTCCTGAACGGTCATTGTGTCAGCGTTGCTGTGGTGGAAATAAAAGTACTTGTCATTCATATTGTTGAGATTGGCCCCTGGGACGCCGGCTGTGATGAAGTTGGCAACATCCCCGCCATCAGCTGGCGTTGTCATCTTGCTAGCATTGATAGACTTCAGAAGATTCAGCACACCCTGCATTATAACCGTCGCAGCCTTGTTACCAGTGAACCCCAGTCCCGTGGGGGTGAAGGTACCCCCATCCGACTCCATCACAAGATCGTAGTTGCTGACGTTGCTCTTGTGTCTCTGCCAGTACTGTATTGCACCAACGTGGCCGGGTTCTTCTGCCGTCCACATTACCATCCTCATTGTGCGTTTAGGGCGGAGTCCGAGCTGACGGATGAGTGACAGAGCTTGCCACGAGATGAATGCCCCGCCCCCGTCATCCATCGCTCCCTGTCCGACATCCCAGCTATCCAAATGCCCACTCACCAATACAACCTGTTCAGGGTACGTGCTGCCCTTGATTTCTGCGACTGTGTTACGGGATTTAACCGGAGGCAGATTTTTAGCCTCCATTTTCAAATTAACGATAATCTTTTCCCCTCTTTGAGACATCCTGTACATCATTTCTGCATCTTCAACTGTGATGCAGGCTGTGGGGATCTTAGTAACATTGTCGTTATATTCCTGTATCCCTGTGTGGGGACTGTAGATGGAAAATGACGCCACGCTTCGTATTAATGACGCCAAGCCACCAACCTTAGCAGCTTCCACTGCGCCGTTCTCTCGATATGCAACAGTAATTCCATATTCTACCCAGTCTTGATTGTAAACAATAATCTTCCCTTTAGCCAAACCTGCTTTCTTACGAAGCTCGTCAAATGTTTTCACGACAAGAACCTCTGCCGTTATCCCTTCTGGAGGTGTCGCTATGCTGCTTCCGAGGCCAAGAATAGCCATGGGATGTACCCGGGGCTGTAGCATTGTCGCGGACTCGTTACCTCTGACCCAGTGGGGGACCGTCACTTCTTCTCCGTGAACATTTTCTAGGCCATCTCCCTTCAACACATTCAACATATAGTCTATCGAGTTCTCGAGATTCTGGGAGCCAACCAACCTACTTCCGTATTTGTCAACAAATGTAGCTAATCTTTCATACGACTGATTTTGTGATTTTCCGTACACCGATCTTTGAATAATTTGATCTGCAACACTCTGATATGAGAGTATTTGTTGCTGTATGCGCTGTGGGTCCACACATGATGCAGGTCCCGGCAAAACAATACAGCAAAATACCGCTGATATCACGAAAACAACTGGCGAAACCATCGTAAACCACGATCACATGACATTCACGTGACCACCTCCCGCACGCCGACTGGGACAGTGGGTTACTCTAAATTCGGATTACGGAATATTAAAACGAAACAAGCGCTACTTAGCAAATAATACAGTGAATCTGGAAACACTGTGACCTACATTAACATGCTAAGGCCTTTCATTTCAGCTTTCATTCATTTTCTATTGTTAAACCACAGATGGTGTTTTACAAAAATGATTTTTTTTGTGATTTGTCAGAGACTGACGCCACACGTTTTCATTATAGTATTCATGCTTATCAACTTGTTTTGATAAAGCTACTCAGAATACAATTGTGTATGTGGAATTCAATGATGAGATGCGTATTTTATACACTGCCAACACTAATAATTGCCAGTTTTACCAGAATACTATAGTATAGCTCCTATAGTCACAATACAATATATATTTAAACGTTTGAATTAGTGACACAGGCGGTCAAAATCAACTACAGCATCATACACTGTGATATAGAGTACAATATTTATGATGTCACTGTACAACGGGTTTATTGGAGACAGTTGCGTTAGATCAAATTCTTTGTTTAAAATACACTCAATAACCTCAAAAGAAGTGTTTACTCTGAACGTTGTTCAGTATTAATTAATAATACCCATGCATAGGGTTAAAAATAACAAGTTTTTTAAAAAGCGTACTGCACTTGGGCAAATATCACTTCACGCGCACCAGTGTATTGTTTACGTCATCCGGACGCCATTATCGACCGCATTCGAATCGTATTATGACGTAAGGTCGGAATGACGTCACAACAGAACCGACGTCATAGCTGAAGATTGTTGACGTCATACGACAATTGCGATTTAGACGGCTTTTGTTATATCAATTTTCTGAAAGAGGGACTCAAAGGAATACAGAAATAATGAGTAATAAAGTAATTATTACACTTGCATGTGTGTCATACTCGCTCTCGCTCGGGAAATAAAAGAATTGGCTCATTTAGCGTTTATATAGATTATTATACGAGCGTGCGTGTCATACTGATTCTACAAAATCAGTATGACACGCACGCTCGTATAATAATCTATATCAACGCTTAATGAGCCAATTTAAGGTCCTAAATCATCCGACCGCCTCTGTGGTCTAGTGGTAGAGCGTCCGCCCGGAGAGCGGAAGGTCCGGGGTTCCATCCCCGGCCGCGTCATACCAAAAGACGTTAAAAGATGGTACTTGTTGTTACCCTGTCGGCATTAAGGGGCTAAAACAAAGACTGGTCGGCTCGGAGTCAGTATGCTGTGTCTGAGTGGGATATTCATGTTAAACTGCGGCATGGTATCATAGTGAGCTAGCACTATAAATCGGCATCAGTCCGGACTAGTACAAGCAGCCACACAAACACACACACGTACATGTGCAATAATCTTGGACGCGACGTTAAACCCCATTTTACCTCACCACCGCACCTAAATCATCCCAAGCAAATAATAATTTTCCATTACAGCATATTAATCGACCGAGAGAGCGGCAAAACAACTCACTTCGATAATGGAGGCATGGAGTAATTGCGAATATAAAGAATACGGACAGCTCAGGTTAACATACAGCATGAAATGATTCCTTGGCTTTCACACACGTGTGTGAAAATACAGTTGCATGCACGTTCTCATTCAGACACGCACCCTTTGATTCAAAGCACAGGTGATAATATTTCATATAAGCACGCAAGCACAAGGAGTAATATTTCTGGTACCCGCGCCACCACGCATGCACATATTGTACGCGTGATAACATTTTAGACACGCACCCTTCGATTCAAGCACATATCATCCACACGTGACAAAATATTATATAGGGGCGGTCGGGTAGCCTAGTGGTTAAAGGGTTCGCTCGTTACGCCGAAGACCCGGGTTCGATTCCCGAGATGGGTACAATGTGTGAAGCCTATTTCTGGTGACCCCCGCCGTGATATTGCTGGAAAATTGCTAAAAGCGGCGTAAAATCAGACTCACTCAATATTTTATATACGCACGAAAGCACTCGTGATAAACAAGTGGTAATAGTTAAGATACGCAAGCAATCACGCGTATATTATATGCTGAATGACATTTAAGACATGCACGCAGCCACTTACGCGCGCACACACGGGTAAATATTTCAACTATCACACCGACCTATTGTTGCACTGAACATTGTCATAACATAAACCAACCAGAAACAGCTACATTGGTGAACTAGAATGTGTTTTTACTCATAAAAACATATGTCCCCTTTTTCTGATACATTAGTTCGAGTTGGTTGTTGCTGTAAATGTGCTTGCAAATCCGAAAAATTACGTTTAATTAAGCAGGGACGCAACTGCACAGCGAATCGCGGCGCCTTAGACGACTGGGCCACCCGTGCCCCCGCAAGTAGATGTAGTACCCATGAATAATCAGTAGTATTGTGTTCAGTAGAAAGAATCTTAAGAATTTCTATTTCCAACACAAGACATTAAACAATATATACATTGAATAGGCAATAGTTGAGCATGTGGTCATTGCACGTGTCTAGTTTCATGAAAACAATATTCATTAGTTCTGACGCGGAAACTAAGCTCAGAGTTGTTTGAGACTAAGTCGAAATTGTTTTCATGGAAACATAAAATACTAAATTTTATTTATTTTTATTAAAATAGCAAAAGACACCAGTTAGGTCGATGTGCAATGCATGTGCCAAGTTTCGTTGAACAATATTGAAAGGTTTTTAAGTTATGACCTTAAAACAAACCCTAGCCTCATTTGAGACTAAATCAAAAGTTTTCATGGAAATAACAAAAGAATGTTAAAAATATTGAAATATCAAAAGGCACCGTTGTCAAGTTATGGCAAGAGAGTTAAGTGACTGTAAAAGTCCAGTTCCCACTGGCCTTTGATAGTCGGGTAACTCCCTTGCCTTGGGAAGATGGTTATGGCCCGGAAACGAACCCTACTCTCGAAATAGTCTAAGTCGAAATAGTTTCCATGGAAAAATATGATAATACATAAATAAATATACGTCAAATTGCATGCAATTTTCTTAACACACCAATTAAAACAATGCATCCAATTTAGCGTTTACATCGAAAGTAATGAGAAGTTCAATCTGTATGGCAAACATATTGATGTGGTAATGTATCGTGGCAAAAATACCTACTTAGGTAGCAATTCTCATCAAACGGTCTCCCCTGAATCACAGTTTGAACAATGCATTCTGTATCGATTAATGGTTATATAGTAGACGGAATCATAGGCTAAAATGCTCACACGTAATTGATCATGTTCCATTTCGCAATTACTCCATGCCTCCATTATTGAAGTGAGTTGTTTTGCCGCTCTCTCGGTCGATTAATATGCCGTAGAAATAGAAAATTATTATTTGCTTGGGATTTTATTGATTTTTGTGCAGTGGAAATCTCAGTCTGTGACAAGCGTACCTGGCAGTTTATCTGCACCCAGCGGTAAAAACAGTCGCCAGTTGGCGAATCCCCATACACCTTATAGGAAGGTATTAGAACTATCATCCACTGAAAATAATATGGCCTCCAAAACTTGGACAAATTATTAAAAAGAAAATCGTTCGCTGGCCATCTTGATGATTTTGGTCTGGTTCTTCCTTGTAGAGGAAAACTAGGTATGTGATGGGGTGCCGCCTGAAAAAGATCATGTGTGCCCTTAATAAACTTCTGTATTCAAAGCTCGTTCACTTTTAGGGTGTTAAGAGAAAAAGAAAGAACACAATATTTTTAACTAATGTAGAAACGTGTAGCTGAGTACAATATATGTCCTGACCCGTGAAGATCCGGGGTAGAATAGGTCTCCAGCAACCCATGCTTGCCTTAAAAGGCGACTATGCTTGTCGTAAGAGGCGACTAACGGGATCGGGTGGTCAGGCTCGCTGACCTGGTTGATGCATGTCATCGTATCCCATTTGCGTGGATCGATGCTCATGATGTCGGACACTGTATTGTCAAGACTCGATTATTTACAGATCGCCGTCATATAGCTGGAATATTGCTGAGTGCGGCGTTACAACAAACAATATGTGTCCTGGATATAAAACAAGTAAATATCTGTGTATTTAACTGATTAGATTGTGTCTAGCATCATACTAGTCCCATACAGGTTTAATAAACCAGACTATATGTACGTCTTTAGGGTCATTTAAAAAACCCATAATATTTACATTAAGTTTTTCATTAACAATTTCTGATCTTTTTACAATAGCTTCCCTTCATTGAAGGTTTTCTTTTACAAATTTCGAAACAATTTGTTCGAATCTCATACATCTTTGCGTTTATGATTTGTGCTATACAAAAGATCACATACAGTAAAGTACGGTTATAACGAACTCAAAGGGACTACTAATTTTAGTTCGTTATAACCGTAGTTCGTTATAAGCATATATACAGCATAATACAGCTAATTATCGGGACCAAAAAAGTAGTTCGTTATATCCGTCAGTTCGTTATAAGCGTGTTCGTTATAACCGTAGTTTACTGTAGTTGTGGATATTTATTGAGGAATCGTTTTTTTCTAGCAACAAGTATTGTTTTAGTTATCTCTTGTTAATGTAATGAAAGTATGTGATGCGGATCTGTGTGTTGTGTGAAGGTGTATCATGTACAACCAGATAATCACTCAAATATATATTTATTGCAATAATATCCGTTTTAAATTTATTACCACTGCTCTAATTGTATAACCCATCTACTCAAATCCAATCGTCAATGTATAATAAAGCGAAGATAAACACCATTGTTAAAGCACTAGTTATAGATGTGGATTGCCTCATTATATGTCAGTGCTAGCTGTACATTAAATCTATATCCCAGAGCAACATCTGACAAAGTCATTTTTATAGATACATGTAGAACACATGTCTAAAATCAGATAAGCTGGCATGGACTAATTATGTTCTGGCCTAATAACTACAATGCATGATTGTACTTTGCAATATATGCTTAGATAAAGTGATGCTTATGCTATACAGAAAATGCAAAGTGCTGATTTAGTTATAGATTCTTGTAATTGTAAACCGTTACTTTAACC